GAAGTAATGCTTCGTTCAGTTACGTATTGCTTTGGTCGTCGTCGTCGAAGAGGTCGACCCCCAGATCTAGTTTGGCTGGTAGCGACATTGCGAAATCTGGGATCGCCCACGATGAACTTCATACTTTGACACAAGATTCCTTTGACCCCGACAAGCACGTTGATCTATTAGTAAAGAGCCCACGTTTGATTGTAAAGTTTGGAGATACAGGCACGCTTTATGTTTCATATGCTGTAAGGGTGATGCTATATGAAAGTGGTCTTCGTTCAATGTCAAGTCGCTGGACCTGGCAGAGCAAAAGGAGTAAGAGGGACCTCTTTGTGTAACTCAGCTACTTTGCCTGACTAGAAGGATGGAAGGATGATACTGTATACTATTGACAATATCCCATACATTGCGAGCTAACAGCCATTTCCTCACAATCGGCAATGTTGCCCATTCTATGACATGTGAGCGATTCTCCTGCTTCAGACATTCATTTCCATGATTGGATTATGTTGATCCGAGTTGATTTGGCTGAGCTACGCTCATACAAGGTTACTTCAGTTGAGCAACATAGAGCATGATTAGATGTGTGGATTGATGTAATCCCTCTTTGGCTGTATCTCGGTCAAATCAACTCGGATCAACATAATCCAATCATGGAAATGAATGTCTGACTCACATGTCATAGAGTGGACAACAGTGGCTATTGTGAAGAAATGGCTGTTAGCTCGCAATGTACGGGCTTTTGTCAACAGTATACAGTGTCATCCTTCCATCCTTCCAGTCATGCAAAAGTAGCTGAGTTACACAAAGAGGTCCCTCTGCATCTTTTGCTCTGCCAGGGTCCACCTACTTCACAATGAACAAAGACCACTCTTCATATAGCATCACACTTACAAACATAAAGGTGCCTGTATCTCCAAACTTTACAATGAAACGTGGGGTTTTTATTAGAGCAATGTGCTCGGCTTGGTCAACTGCACCTTGGGTGCCAGTTTCGCGATCAAGCTTGCCAATCCCAGATTTCGCAATGTCGCCACCAGCCAAACTGGATCTGGGGGTCGACCTCTTCGACGACGACGACGACCAAAAAAATATTTTTTGGGCTAGTTGCGACATTGAACCTGAAACTTGCACCCAAGGTGCTGTTGGCCAAGCCGAGCGCATTGCTCTAATAAAAACCACACATTTCATTGTAAAGTTTGGAGATACAGGCACCTTTATGTTTGTAAGCGTGATGCTATATGAGAAGTGGTCTTTGTTCATTGCCAAGTAGCTAGACCCTGGAGAGCCAAAGATGCAGAAGGACGTGTTTGTGTAACACAGCTATCTTGCATGACTGGAAGGATTGATGGATTATACTTTATAACTATCCGCAACAGTCTATATATTGCACGCTATCAGCCATTTCCTCACAATCAGCGTTGTTGCAAAATCCATTGCATGTGAAAGATTCTCCTGCTCCAGCCCATCATTTCCATCATTCAAGTTGCTTGATCCGAGCTGATTTGACTGAGCTACGCCCAAACAGAGAATGTGTCAATTCTTGAAAGACAGACCCTGCGAATGTCTCCGTCTTTCAAACTTTTGGACGCTCTCATTCCAAATTTTCAAATGAAGCGTGAGGTTTTTATTTGAAAAAAGTGGATCAGCATGCTCAGAGCACCATCCTGACCAATTTTCAAGTTGGAAGTGGGCAACTTCGGGGCGGTGGGCCGTTCACTCTTTATTGCCCGTCATCCACCATTTGGACACCCCCGCGTTTTAAATCTTCACAATGAAGCCTGCGTTTTTTAATTGAATGAAGGTGATCAGCATGTTCCAGCGAACCTCCTGACAAAGTTTCATGTTCGAAATGGGGAATCCCAAGGTAATACATACTATGTCGATAAATCATGAATCGGCGCTGTGCTCCATTTTCGATTTACATAGTAAACCCACACGACACCCTCCCATTCCAAATTTTCAAGAGAAACGTGAGGTCTTTTTTAGAACATCGTGCTCAGCATGACCAATACCACCTTGTGTGAAAGTTTCAGGTTCGAGAAGGGCAATCTCAATATCAAGGTTTGATGTACAGTGTTCATGCATTAATACAAGAGGTGTCCGACCTAGTTAATTTACACTTCTTCCACTCTCAGCTTATTGTTCTCTTCCTCCCATCCTCATCTGTTGGGTCCATTCAAGTATACAACTACCACCTGCGAACAATTGTCCTGCTTCAACCCATCATGTCAATCCTACAACTCTCTTGATCCGATTGCCTTTGACTACATGGCACGTTCCATGGCGTGTACACCCCACTACAACACACGCGTTTCTTTGACACTACAGCTTCTCTTGTACAATCCTCTACCACGACCAATTGCAACAGCATTCCAATGCAGCAATTGCTGATAGCAAGTACTTTACTCCATTGTCTCTAACAGCGTTCTTCACTTGCAGCAACTTGCCTTGCAGCCTTTTCAACGTGTACAACAGATGGCCATTGTATAGAAGCAGCTTTATTTACGTGTAGCAACTTTGTTCAATACATACGACTTCATATGGATATGGATATGGATATGAATATTGGTTTGGTACATGAGATGGAAGGAATTGGATATATACAATACGTGGGAAGAGGGTGTATCCATTGTCAACGCGGCTATCATCCTGAACCAATATGCTACTTTACATGGGATTCCATGGCAGCGATCACCATCCTTTGTGCAACCTGACAACCAAGGCACAACCATCATCATTGTCCAACTCGACGTTTTGACACGCCATCCATATTGTTCGCCATCTCATCCATCCACCTTTTCACAATGCACGCCTAAAGGATAGCATCACCCATTATAGCAATTCTTTGTACCTCTCAATCAATCTATCTCTTGTGGATGTTGTTGGATTAAAGGGATACTCACTGCGTTGGCCAACCATTTCTCAGTTTTTACATGGTGTAAGAAACCTTCCTTCTTCCAGAGTTGGATCTCCTCGTGTGTGAGCATTGGTTGCATTGTATTATTATGGGAGATGTATGCAAGATTGTAAAAGTTGATCCACTCGTAATGCTGTGATGAAGGGGAAAAGAGAGGAAGAGGAAAAAGGATCTGATTGATCATTGTGCCTTGACAAAGCTTGTATTCGATAGTACAATTCACCTCCCTTTTACTTGTGATTAGACCTTTGTGATTTATATAGTCATCTTAGTAATGTATGTACGCAGTGGATGCGTGTATGTATGCATTTGACGAGCGCTGTAAGCAGCTTGATCCATTTTCATTGATATTAGCAAACATGGCTAGCAACATGATGTGTGATTTGGGTTTGGATAGAAATGGTACGAATGGTTTTTATTATGGAAACTAGGCTAATACGCACAAAGCAATTCATCAATCCTTCTCTTCTCCACTTGACCTCCTTGAATAACACCAAAGGACAATGGACCCAATGTATGATGTAAATCAGCGGATGAAACTGGATCTATTAGGTCCTTCAACTAGTGATCGATTGGATGAATGATGAAGAAGGATTATCATTTGCTTGTAATGCAATAGAGAGAGTAGGCAGTAATGAGATATGGGAATGTATATACACTTGCATGATCCAATGTCAGGCACAATCACCATGGAGATCGCCCAAATTGAGGAACGTCTTTCCTGATTGGTTTAATAATGAGCGGGATAGGTTGAAGGGTACAAAAAAATATGCGCTTTAAAGCGAGTAAGCTCATCTAACGGTCATCCGCTCCCCTCCACACACACCGCCATGCGTCCGTTCTCGCCATTGTCACGGAAACCACTGTTGGCGATTGCATTCATAGCTGTCTTTGTATTCCTGTACAATGTAGCGAGTCATCCACGAGTAACTCAAACCATGCAGCCGACAGCCTACTACAACAAATATGACGAACGAGTATGTCTTCCTCAGCGATCACTCAAATTGTATCCTCCTGCCAACAAAGCCAATGCCGCATTTGTTATTCTTGTACGCAATAGGTAATAAGGCAAAGGGAATAGAGCATTGGTTGGGAGGGAGGGAGGTGTTCGGGATATACTAACTAAGTGTGTATGTCTATATGCTTATAGAGAGCAGCAAGATATTGCCGACACGATCATGAACCTCGAAGACAAGTTCAACAAGAACTTCCATTATCCCTACGTATTTCTCAACAATGAACCGTTCACTGAGGAATTCAAAGCAGCAATGAGAGTGGCATCTCCTTATGCTGACATGCAATTTGGATTGGTGCCTGTGGAACATTGGAGTTATCCAGCTCATGTCAACCAAACATACGCAGCTGAATGTCGAGAACGAATGGATCGGGAGAATGTCTTTTATGGCGGCATGGAGAGTTATCATCATATGTGTCGGTATCAATCTGGGTTTTTCTTCAAGCATCCTCTCTTGGATAGGTAATGAAAAAGATCATGTGGTGTGGTGTGGTGGTTGTTGTGGCGGATCCGATTGACGCATCCATCCACCCTAGCTACGATTGGTATTGGCGCGTCGAGCCTGGTGTACGCTTCTTTTGTGACATCACCTATGATCCTTTCTTGTTCATGGAAAAGCATGGTAAAAAGTATGGCTTCGTGGTAACCCTGCTTGAGCTACGTGAAACGATTCCAACTTTATGGGAGACCGTCAAGGAGTATGCTCAGTCACGACACATTGATTTGAATCGACCTGGAAGCCTATTCCCTTACTTTCGTGGGGCAGATGGTGACTACAACTTGTGCCATTTTTGGTCTAATTTCGAGATTGCATCACTTGACCTCTGGAGAAATCCCAGCTATCGAGACTTCTTTGACTACCTGGATCGGACAGGCAAATTCTTTTATGAGCGATGGGGGGATGCACCTGGTAAGAATTGAAACACACACACTATGCATGCATGCACGGTGTTGGGATGAAAGAATGTCAAAGATCGGATGCTAAAGTAATGGTACTAGTACACTCTCTTGGTGCTGGCTTGTTTTTGGATACGGATGAGATTCACTACTTTGAAGATTTGGGATATCAACATGACCTTTATCGACATTGCCCATCAAAAGAAAGCGGATTAGCATGCAGATGCGAGTGCCCCGAGGGAACGATTCCTGATAAGAGTATAGATCATGATAAGAACTGGGATACCTGCTTGCCACGTTGGAGAGAATGGGTCAAAACATCCAAACAACACCGCAAAACATCTTGGAACGTTTGGTCGTAGCCACATCATGCATGATCCCCAATCCCTTATCTTTTTCTCTTTCACTCTGTATAGTTTGCAATTCATGACGCATTCATATAAAGAATACCACAACAATTTCAACACATTATAACGCACAGACAAAGTTGTACACATTACAGGGGAAAGTAGGCAGGGGCTATAACAACAACAACAACAGATGGGCGAGAGAGAGTAGTGCTGGTGGTGGCGGTGATGATGAGATGGTACGATTCTAGAAGTGACTAACGGATTTGTACAAGATCACTTTGTGCAAGACCCTTTCATGCATAATATTGGTAAACAAACCGAGGATCAACGCGTGGCTTTATTGTTGCTGTAATTTACGGGATGCATAAAACGATTGCATTTAATGAATGTATGTTTTGTGTATGGACGTGTACTGTGTGCAGCACACAGACATCAAATTTATCATATAGTTTACATTTTGACTACGCACATATACACTTTTCTCAAGGCTTAGCCGTAGGGTCGAGACGCGTGGAAGGTTTCGAGTCTTACGGGATGATCATGCATCTTCTTCGTCATCTTGAACCTTGTTGATTTTCCTCGGATGATACAAATGGAGGAGGAGGAGGAGGAGATGAAAGCGGATATTGAACAATGAGGATCAATCGTATGTGGTTATGTGCCAAGGAAGAAGTCAAGTCCGCCTCTTTTTCTCATCCGGATCAGCAACACGAACAACCACGCGATGTTGTGAATATGGGCGGAGAGTATAGCAGATGAATGCATGACCTGGTAGATGGCAACACAGGGCTACGATGGTAACACACAAGAATGTACTCCGCACATCAAGAAGCTTTGTGGTGCCTGAATAATCATATCATGCAAACACAAGATGAAAAAGGCGGGGGAGTAAAAATGGGTGCATGTTGGGGGGAGTTGTGTGTGTGTGTTTGCGTTGTCGCTTTATCGCGTAAAGCTGAAGATGCAAATACCTGCAACAGCATTAGTACATGTTTAGATAAATTGTTATTAATGTTTGTATGTGCGAGGTGCGCTGTGTGTGTTTGTGCGGGCCATACAAGATGCAGCATGTACGCACTCGTGATATTAAGGATTTCGGAGCCTGTCAGTATACGCGCTCGTCAACCCCTATGACCATAGTTCGGGTTAAACAACGCCAGCTAAAAGAAAAGGACGATAGCCACTTATGGGACAGTAAGAAGATCAGGTGTACTAATGTAGAATGCAAAAAGGTAGCGACACAATGGGGCTTTGGGAACAACAGACATCATGATAATGCAGCGGACATTGTGATGGTCCCCCAACAACACTACCTTGGATGAAAATGTCATCATGAACCCTTCAAACCTTGTTCGACGAGCTCACGACAATAAATACAGCTGCTTCTCGCACCTTCTCCACATCTTCATCCCACTCTTATTCTCTCTCAGACTTTTTTTACAAAGCTCTTTACACTAAATTCTTCACACGATGGCCTTCAAGAACAACAACACCAAGAACACCAAGAACGCTGCTGCTGCTGGTGGTCATGGCAAATGCTGCAACTCTGATACCAAGATGTGGAAGGCTATTCAAGCTACCTTGAAATCCAACGACATGGAAGCTTGGGCTCAACTTGCTGGTGATGAGCATCGTGTTCCTCAATTGGCTCATGTTTTGGTGAAGAGCCGCGTCGAGAATGATGTGCGTCGTATGTCACCTTCGCAGCGTCATCAATTGCTTCAATTCAACAAGGATGTTCGTGGCGAATCGATGCGTCTTTTTGGTGTCTCGGTCAAGGATTTGAATGCAGTGCAGGTGGCATTGTTCCATGGCAACGAGGAGATTGCTTGTCAAGTGGTTCGCTTTGTGAGTGAGCATGCAACAGCCAACGAATTGCGTTTGTTCCTCAACCACACATGGGGTTATCGCAACACGTCTCTTCATCTTGCTGCCTTCTTTGGTATGCCTACTTTGGTGCAATTGTTGCTTGAACTCGGTGCCGATCCCATGGTGATTAATCGCAAGAACATGGCTCCTGCTGATTGCTGTGCTGGCAACGATGCTTGTTTGGCGTTATTGTGCCCTGATTTGCCACAAGAGGAAGACGTTGCCAAGGATGATAACGTGATGGCCGATTTGGTTCCCACTGCTGTCACCATGAATGCACATGATGTTTCCAATGAAACACCCGCCATGTCTGAGGATGACAGCGATAGCAGCGATGATGATGAATTGGTTGCTGACACCATTATTACTCCCGCCAACACCTTTACCAAGGACATGGTTACCACTTCCAAGGACCTCTTTACTGAGATTGAATCATGGCAGCCTATTGAGTCAAGCAATGTTGTTTCCATTACATGGCCTCCCTTGTATGACAACCTCAAGACCGCTTTGATTACTGATATGGCTCTTTCGGAGAAGGACCTCGCTGAAGTCGTTTCCTGGTATACCATGGAGAGCACCCAATCTGCCATTTGGCCTATCATGGATGATGGCGATGGTTGCAAGACCGCCTTGCTTCGAGAAATGACCCTTTCGGAGGATGATATTGCTGAAGTTGTATCATGGCATCAAGTTCACGATAACAATGCTGCTGCTATTACATGGCCTGTGATGGATGATGGTGATGGCTCCAAGACCGCATTGCTTCAAGAGATGGCTCTTTCTGATGATGACATTGCCGAGATTGTGTCATGGCATCAAGTTCAAGATAACCATACTCTCACCATTACTTGGCCCATCAAGGAAGATGATACCAACCATGGATACAAGACTGCTTTCTTTGCCGACACGGAGTTGCCTGGCAACGGGTACATCAAGTCATTGCAAGATGATATCGATTTTGTTCCTGATCTTGCCAAGATGTTTGCCTTGGCTGAGAACGATGTCGATTTTGTTCCTGATCTTGCCAAGTTGTTTGCCTTGCCGAAACAAGATACCGTTTTTGTTCCTGATCTTGCCAAGCTCTTTGCATTGCCTGAACAACAAGAGGTTGACTTTGTTCCCGATCTCGCCAAGCTCTTTGCATTGCCTGAACAAGAGGTTGACTTTGTTCCTGATCTTGCCAAGTTGTTTGCCTTGCCTGATGCTATGGTTGGCGATGACACTATGGCTATCACCAATGTCAAGCCCCACGTGTCTACATCTTTGGAGCCATCTGGTGATCTCGAAGCGGCGTTAAATCTCGACTTTTTGTTTGGGGCCGAAGACCCGTGCTTATCTGCAGCATCATGCAAACAATCAGGTATAGTAATTCATCTCTGCATATGCATCTTTAACCTTGTTCACTCACACTTTTCTTATTACAGATGGTCCATTGCATGATACCTCGGTCCCCATTTCCATCTCTGCACCAATGCCTTCGGTCGTTGTTAGTGGTAAGTCATGAATTTTGTGCTTTAAAGCTGTTCTTCTTATTCATCCATGTAAAATAGACCACGGCAAGGTTCCTGAGACAAAGAGCGATATGAGCAATGGTATGTTGATTCTCGACTGTCAAGAATCAGGTGATATGTCTCCCACGGTGGTTCATTCTGGCAAGGCTGAGTACCACCACATGGCGTCTTCGAATGACCAAACGAGTAAGAGTTTCATGTTGTTTTTTCTTTATCACTATTATACGCTAACAATTTTCCGCGTCTAATAGGAACGCCAAGTGGTCATATCACCTCTGATAATGATGCTGGGTTGCATGCACCAATCACTTGCGAAGAAGACACGTCCCAAGACCAGCCTATCAAGCGTGCTATCCATCTTGGTGGAGCCATCACTCGTACTTCCATCATTGAGTACGATAACTCGCTTGGCGCGTTGTGTGGTGGGACAACATTTGCCAAAGGCTCAGCTATCAGCGATCTGGTGACAATGAATGGTGATGATGGTGCCACTCCGTTCGCCGATCTTGATCAACACGTGAGCTGTGTACCCTTCATCGATACCAAGGACACGCAAGAACATCATCATGAGCAATGTGATATCGACGTTATTGGTGATACTGCATCCAAGACCAGCATCAAGATGCATCCAAGAGCACTTGTGAAACAAGATGACGACGTCAACATTCCCGAGGATCCTGATGCAATTGATCACGTTGCATTATCCAATGCAGTGAATCATTCTGGTAAGTTGAATAATAGCTGGACTCCTGATATGAATGACCTTTATGCTAACATCCTTTTGTGCAGATGGGTCGTATGATACTTCCACTACCACTGTTAGCAAGGATTCAAGTGATACTACTGATTGGCCAAATCATGATGGGACAACCAAAAGCAAGCATCCTATGGTCGACAAGGATTCTGATACGCCTTATCAGCAGCATGCGACACCACCATTATCCATTGGTAGGAATGCAACAAGTCCGCCCGATGATGGTGATGGTGGATGTCCTTCAGCTATCATCCATGCTGCCTGTTTCAAGATCACTCCGCAACATCAACATCATCATCACCCGCCAACAACAACAAGATGGCAGGATAGCTCAACCTTGTATACCCATTCTCCTACTGGCAAGCAATCCAGCGATACCACTTTCCATGGTGAGCATTCCATTGGTGATGGTGATGATTGTAGCAGCAGCATCCATAGGCGGGATTACAAGGATACTACCTTGGTTGGATTCAAGTGTGACAACGATCCTCATGCTGTGCTACATGGGCGTATCTTTTCTTCATGCGGCACGTGGCCGTCAATTGATCATCATGGTGACGGCCGTTTCCTCAAGCATCCTAAAGATGGTTCAAGACCGATTGTGCATCCTTCGACACATCCAGCTTGGGTCGCAAAACCGGATCTAGCCAACAGTACCAGAAACGATTGCTTGGCTCCCGATGATGGATCATGGTGTACCTTTAATGGCGCAAGTCCACCAGGGAACAAAGAACCATTACTTGATCCTCCAAACGATGCTGCAAAGTCCCTGAAACCATTACTTGATCCAGGATCGGATATATCACTCAAGAATCGCTATGACAGTGGCGGTGGTGGCCAAGGGTCACAACATTGGATACATGGTAAGTTGCTTCTTTTTTATCACTTTTACATTATCTAACCATTTACATTCATAGACCCGTATCTCATGTTGCATGTCGCCACGATTCTCTCTGAGCAATTGGTCCAAGTCGTCAATCAGCTTGGGATGATCGATTCTTCTTCTGGTAAGCCATCCTATCTCTTTATTAAAAAGTCGATGCACAATTTGATGACTGATCCTATATGCTTTATTGTATAGCCATTCGATACGAGGTCAAAGATTCTTTTCCAATGAGTGCGGTGAGGGGACAAGCAGTTGCTGTCTCTTAAACAAGAAAGGTTCCATTGAAGTGTTGAAGCGGTGTATGTGCTATTAAGCACGTACACTACAACCCCACCCAATTCCTTTCTTCTCGGTGACGTGTGCCACCCCCCGAACCCGCTCGTTCATTCGATCATTCCATCCCATTATCCAGAACGGCGTCCTTGCTATATATCAGCCACGTCCTTTAACCGACGACCCAGTCCTTACCTCGCCTGATTGACGACTTTGGACCAACAACATCCGGTGTCCACCTATTTGCTCAACGACCATCATCTACGTATCACCATTGCTCCTTTTGTGTGTGATTTTATCTATACGACTCTTTTTACGCTCTTCTATGTCTCTTGCCGTGGTCTTTTTTACGACAACTCTATACCATCAAGATCACGCCTATGGTACCTTCTCTTATATTAGGCTTTGTGTTTATGAACTTTTTTATGCGACCAAGTCCCGTTTTCTTGTTGGCTTGGCTCAACAACAACAACAACAACTGGAACTGTAGAATAAGATTTTTGTTTCTTTATTCTTTCCTATTATGAAAATAAAGACATTATGTGATTGACTATTTATTTGACAATGAAAAAGCTGCTTTGTGTGGGTGAACTAGTGAATGAAAAGAATGCAAATCGGTAACTACAAGAAAAAGTGGGTATGGACACGACTTTGTTCATGGACTGGCATCTCATTCAATTTGTACATGTTGAGTTCTTGTTTGATGTATTGTGCCATGGCGGGTGTGAGTCGCGTGCACACTGCATCCGGATCCGATCCACGATCATATTCATACCGAGAGAATGTCTCTTTGACTGACACAACCCGTGCAAAACGTACCACACTTGTATCAGATGCCGCCAATGGCAAGGGTGAAGGTTGTTGTTGTTGTTGCGAACAAGAAGATAACAACATGTCAGATGTCACTCGAGGAATAGCTCCTTTGGAAGGTGGTGGAGATGACATGGATGGCATGGGTTGCATCATACGTTGATGATGAGAAGGAGCAGGAGGGGTATGGTGTTGCTGTTGTAGGTTGTTGTGCCGGTGATGATGATGATGAGGATGGTGATGATGGTAATGATGAGCATGATTATGAGGCCAATGTTGCTGTGTAATACGATGCTTGTTGTTGTGTCGTGATGATCGATCCTGGTTGCTTACAAGTCGTCTTGTTGTATCCCCTAATACTAAAAAGTCAGCTCTCCATGCATAAATCTAAATCTTTTTTTATGCGTTGCTTACCCTTATTGAATGGATGCTGTTGCTGTTGCTGTTGTTGTTGTTGCTGTTGTTCTGGATATGACCACGTAGCCACTGACGTAAGAGACGTCGTTCGTGAAACACGGTTGTTGGTGGTAGGCGTCGTCGTTGTTGTCTTTTTTGGCGACTTTGACTTGTTGAATTTGCTTCGTATTCTTTTTGCAAGCGATGTGCTTTTGGTGGGTGCCGGCCCCGTTGGCGATGATTTTGTGGTTATGGTGCTGCATGTGCTCTTACGACTCGTACTCTTATCGGAAAACGATGGACCCATGGGTTCATTGTTTTTTGTTGCAGCACTAGAATGACGACCACGTAGTTTCTGAAAAGCAAGCTTGAGACGTGAAGATGAAGAAGATGATGGTACAGGTGAAAAAGAATCATTTGCTTCTCCATTGCTGCTATTGCTGCTGCTTCCAGTGCCTGCAGAAAAGAGTGGATCAGAGCTTGCCGAAGACGAAGAACATGTGGAAGTGGAAGAAAGCATGGATGAAATGGGTGGCTGCTGCTGTTGATGATGATGATGATATGATAAAGATGGCAATGACCCACTACGCATAATCATGTTGCGTTGTGCCAAGGAGGATCTTGAATGCAAGGAGGAAGTTGACGAACCACCCATTGGCAAAGGGGAACGAGGGGTAGTGGATGGTGGCGGTGTTGGCAGTGGTGATAAAGAAGGTCTACTACCAATGGCTGCATCTCTTTCCACTATTCTTGTAAGCAGTGCTCCCTTGTCCAATCCTTCATCTTTGTTTCTCATTGTGGTTGTTGCTGTTGTTGTTGTTGGAGAAGGTGTAGATTGAATCCTGCTTTTAATTTGTGATAACTTGGATGCCGTCTTTGTCTTTTCCAAAGTAGTAATCGGTGGTGACGATATGCATGGTGGGTCAAGATAGCTTTTGGTGATAGCTTCATCATCCAACAGTGCCTCGTACCTGCCGACAACAGCTGCTGCATTATCCTTGATAGGTGGTGTTTCGCTCCCGCTTTCAGTATCCACTTCATCTTCGTCGTCATCTTCATCGTCTTCATCGGGTGATATCCATGATGCTTGCAGTGGCTGATTATAGATGGTTTGGCAATGATGGTACAATGATTGTGGTGGTGGAGCTTGATGCTTCAGGGGGCAAGAAGAATGGGTCGGAGCATTCCTGTATGGGATACCAACGTGTAGGTCGCCACCGTTGTTGCTATCATTATGCTTGTTTGTTAGTCCAGTTGGTGTTGTTGTTGTTGTTGCTGCTGCTGCAAGTGACATTGGATGAATGAATATTATATATAATGAGCTTGGATAAAACAAAGACGTGTAAAAAAGAATGAATAGGAATGGGTAAAAGAAAAGAGAATTGGTAAAAAGACAAAAGGAGGAAAGAAAGAAAGGATCCGGAAATGTACCAGAAAGAAAAAAGGAGCCATTTGCGTCCCTTTTTGAGGAATTGCGCGCGCAACAGGGGCCATCGTGCATCTTTCAACATTGATATACAAAGCATGATTTTATCGTATGCGTTTATTCTAGTATGGATCGGATGATGATGATGATTGATTATTGCTTCCATTCACAGCTCTCGACAAGTACTTGTACAATGGCCTCCAATCCAACACGATCTTCATCATTGAATCCTTCTGTCTCCTCGCAATCGATATCCAATACACCAATAACGTTCTACAAATATGTAATTGCGTTAGGATAGTTGTACTTTTATCACATATCCCGTGTTCTTGACATATCCATTCCAGACATCTCCCCTCATCTCTTTTTATCTCTTGCTTCTTCCTTTTTCAACTTACGCCATCCACCATCATAGGAACAACAATCTCAGAGTTGGATGCCGAATCACATGCAATGTGTCCTGGAAATTGATGAACGTCTTTGATGACTTGAGTTTGCTGTGTAGCGGCTGCAGCACCACAAACACCCTTCCCAAATGGGATCTCTGTACATGCCAGCTATTCAAACATAGATAGATCTTGTCAATAAAACATACTTCATACCTCCACCCCCTATCCCATCATAAGCTCTTCTTCTCTCTCTCACCTTGCCCTGGAAAGGACCAAGAATAAGCTTCTCGGCGTTGGTTGGATCCACCACATAAAAACCTGCCCAGTTCAATGGCTTCTTTTGAAAGTGCTCCAACGATCGCAACTCGTGGTAAATGACGGCCGAAGCATTGGCGAGATTGGTTACCTGGGACAAGGAAAAAGTTTGAGCAACCATGCATTTGTAATCAGAAGCGACGATCGGGGGGGTCATACCCAATTGCGTTGTCCTTCTACGATGGCCTTGATTTGCTCCAACAATTCGTTATAGAACTCCTTCTTGGGCTGAAGTGGGTTGCCGTTGGGTTGGACGTCAAACATGTGTGATAAAAGTGCGGAAGAAATGAAGCAGCTGGCAGCGATGACACCATTGACATGATGGATGGCGGGAAACCTGAGAATAATTAAGCGGGATCGTCCCATTCCCGCACAGATGCTGTGTTTATGCAATCTCTCCCACGCTTGCTGTCAAAACAGAACCTTGCTCTTCCACCCCCCTTTGATTTACCTTCGCAATGAATACTTGAATAAACCTTTTGTCGTGGATGTATTTTGAAATCTCGTTGTTGTATCATCCAAGTTAATACTTACATATCATGCTACCAGCTATGGTGGGGTTATAAATAGCCCATTTACCTCATACACTGTGTGGCCTATGTCCCTTTTTAACCCGCACCCTCATTAAAGACGTCCTTGTTACCCCCATGTTATCTTTTATTGTCAAAGAAAAGAATACTACACTAAATAAAGAGCTACTCTAATAGCATTACATACGTGGTGGCTGGAGTATAGAATCTAATGACATAGCATGTTTGGGAAAAAGATACCTCGTTGCGTTTTAATGGATTACACGCCGTAAAGAATCGAAGCCTGGAAATAGATGATGCCAACATGTGTTGCTATACGCGATCATTGGATGTTGTCTATTCATGCATAGAAGAATTTTGAGCTTGGTCGAGTCATCATATTCCGCCATTGTCCTCTTTTTCTTCTCCTCCTCCACCACCACACTCATCTTTCACCTTCCCTTTTACATACATATATATACCATGGAACATCCACAACAACAACAGCAGCAGCAGCAACCACAGCAACAGCAACCACAGCAACAACAATCTTCACAAAAAGATACCACGACACAAAAGGAACCGGGCACTGGCCCAGGTCGAAGGAAAACGGTGCGTAAAGGCATGTTTGCCAAAGACTGTACGTTGACAAATGAAGACGATCCAACGCATCCAATCTCATAAACGGCACTGTAGTAAAGCTGCTCATGTATGGTTTTGGCGATGTGGCGAATCCGGCGTCCGATTCCATCTCTGTCATGGACGACCTCGTCATTATGTATATTTCAGAAATGGTAAGCTTGTAAAAGTTGAGTGATAGGGCAAGGGTGACTTAAAGAGTGCTATGCATAGTGTCAAGAAGCTTCGCGTGTCGCTGAACATCGTGGCAAGGTGCGAGTGGAAGACTTCAAGTATATTTTACGCAAGGACAAAAAGAAGCTTGGTCGTGTAGAAGAATTACTATACATGAGCGAAGACATTCGACGAGCCAAGCAATTGTTTGACGAGAAGGAAGTGGATCCAACACAAGATGAAAACATGGGATAATTGTATACACAACACATACACATTTTTTACTCGAATGAAATATCAAATTCTGTACCAAGTGACAATCTAGGTAATATGGGAATATGATCTACAGATGAGGAACAAGAGGAAGAAGAGGAGGAGGAGGTTGAATTCTGAGCAAGGTGTCTTTCTGGAATGGGGGGAAGAGGATCTAATACTTCATCATCGCTATCTTCAACGTAAAGCTTGGTCATCCGCCGAGTCGTTGTATCAATGGATGGCTTCTTCTTGCTGATGTCTTTTGGTAATGGTGGTAATTCGAGATATACATATGGATTGGTCTTTTCAGAGGATGCTGCAGATGCTGATGCTGAGGATGAGGATGGTGGTGGTGGTAAAGGATGCTGAGGTGGCGGTGCTGGAGGCAAAATGATGGATGCGTTTGTATTTGATAATGCATTGGCTGCTTCTTTTGCTTTGAGGATGGCAGATTCTGGTAACGGTGGTACTGGTGGCAAGGGTGATTTTGGCGGAGGTGGTTGTGAAGGAAGTCGTTGTTGTGTACAAGCAATACGCCTTAGGATTTCACCATCCTTGTCAAGAACAGAAGAATCACGTGCTCCAATGGCAGTCGATAGTGGAATCGCATGAGAACTCGCTTTACTCTTACGTAGAGCAAGGCTGGTGCGTGGTGAGAGCAATGTTGATGATGCAATGGTCGCAAGCGGTGATAAATCGCAACTTGGAATAAATGATTCTTCGACAAGCGACATTTTGTACGCTTCCTGGGGTCGTAACTCTGTCTCTGCTGGTAAACCAGGTGCTGTAGCATATACAATGGAAGGTGGTCGTGAACGAAGATGATCATCAATAGGTGAATCATCAGCTGAAGAAGATGAATTGATACTATGTGGCCGTCGACTGGATTGTGAAGTGCTATCAGATCCAATGGATGACCCTGCATCATCTTGTGGCGGTAACATGGAGGGTGCTGTATCATACATGGTCGAGATCTTGGATGGTGGTGGTGGTATTGATGCATTGGCTGCTGTACTACGTTGCTTTGATTGACGTTGAGCTTGTTGTAGGCGTGCTTTGCTCATCATCAGGTTCCTGTCAACGGTTGCCATGTTGTTTGGTTGTTGCTGTTTCCCACGTCTCTTAAGCCCATTAGCCAAATCAACATCGATAGATGGCATTTGCATACCACCTTTACGTCTTTGGGCAATGGGTGTTGTCGTTCGTGGCCTCTCAAGTGGAAACATCAATTGGTTGTCGTCGTCGTCGTTGTGCTGATCATCATCGCCGTCGTCATGCAAAATGCTGCTGAGTTCGTTGGCAGATGCAAACTTTCGAATGGATCGGCCAATGCTATCTTTGGCATTGAAAGAATTGTTGTTGCTGTTGTTGCTATGTTGCTGGTTGTAAGGATCGTCGTCGTCATCATCATCCGCTGCTGAGTGCTGAAGTAGGTTGATACTAGAAGATGTCACCGGTAAACGTGGTTCACCCAATAAACTCCTGCAATGGATATCCGGTTGCAAGCTCTCGGCATCATACACAGGATTGACTTCGCGCACACGAGCTGGTTTCTCAACAACGACCGAAATACATGAATCATGTAGACGAGCTTGATCCATTTCAAAATGATACTGTGGCATACGTGATCCTGCAAGCTGAAAGGCGAATGCATTGTTGTTGATGTTGGTGTCCTTGGTGGAAGGTATTGAAGCAACCACAATAGGAATACGAGCTTTGATATCTTCAAATTGATGCTCAAATTGAAAAGTGATTTCAAGCTCATGATAGATGCTGATAAGAGGTGCGTGCAATGTCGGCGTAAGAAGCGGCTGCAATTCATGGCGTAAAACAAGTGGATGTTTCCATGTCGATTTCTCTTGAGCTTCAGTGACGGTGTGCAATAGAGCTGGCACAGTGCGTTTGACATAGCGTCGATGAGGACGTCCATTTGAACCAGGTATGATACGATTGCGAGCACCACCACTAGCACTTGAACTATGCAATTCAATCTGACGAATTTGGGTCCGAATGGTGCGTACAGGCTTTTGTGAAGCAAAACAGAGATATTTGACAGCGACAGGAATGACTCCTTGTTCACGACACACGATTTGTGGTGCATCAATTGCATAATGGAATTTGGCTGGTATGGTATCTTCGAGGATTTGTGTCTCCACCAAAGGTGCCATCTCCTTGCAACGTAACAAATGGCGTCGTAACTCGATAGGATGTGATGCTGTGATACTCTTTTTTTGCAATCCGATAGCAACCGAGACTTCGACGCGATATTCAATGGATGCCCGTTTCAAAGAAATCGAAGCTGGATAAATGTTGGGTATCTCGAGTAAGAATGGCACCACATGTTCACCTGCTGGTAATGTCGTCTTGCCACCAAACAAAGCTTGTTTGAGTTTGGGTAGCAGCGGTGTCTGCAATGCTAGTCCGCTGGCATTTGTACTGACAGTGCCTTTAAACTTGACGCTCATGCCACGTATCTTGACGGGTCGTCCCAACGTAAACACCACTTGACCACGTAGTGCAATGCTGCCATCCATTCTCTCCTCCCCTATTCCTCCATCCTCGGTTCTCTTTGTCTTTTGCACTTGGCCGATAAAGTCCAATACAGTGTCTGCTGGTATAATGTCAATCGTTTTGAAGCCGACATCTTTCATGGCGAAATGAGAGGAATGGGTTGTGTGTTGGGTGTGCTTTGGCAAATGGGGAAAGAAAAGAAGAAAGAAAGAAACAAGTAAAATAAAAATATCGGGTTTCAAGGAGAAAGAGGCGGCACGCTCGCGATCAAAATGTAGAGTTGCTGTTGAGTTATATTATTACGGGTAATAACAAGAAGAAGGGGGGGGAGGGAAATTATCCTTGTTGTGTATGTATGTACACATACATTTACACCTTGTTCATTGTCCCTGTCATACATTTGCTATACTCATCCTCGTGTTCATGTTCAAAAGTGTGACCTAGTCTACTTGTGTCGATCCCCGATGCCTACCGCAAAGCTATATACCATCCACTTTCTCTTTGCATGGTTCCCACAGTAATGATGAATCAGGTCGCAAACGCCCCTATTTTTGGGTCACTGCCGAGATTACTGAAGCAGTCCTTTTTGCCATCATTTCCACTTTTGCCACAAACATGTCTCGCTCGCTCTTGTTTCATTATCATCATGACCATCGTACTACGATGCACATTCTCCAATCAATGTAGCAATAGCAGCATTAGTAGAAAACATGCACTACAACTCCTTGCTGCTCTTCCTCCCCGCCTTTGATGTGTGCTCCGATTATTCCGAACATCATCATCATCATCCCATCATTCATTTCCTTACTGACTTTGATGGATCATTCATTATATATAGCGGAATCGAATTTGGTAACCAGGGGATGTGAAGAGGTTGATTGCCAAAGAGACCCCAAAAAAAAGGTCCATAACAATGATTACAGGATCCAATGCTAGCTCTCAGGGGAAGAGTCGAAATGAACAGTTGCCAATTCGGTGGTTGATCATGTTGGCTTTGCTTTGTGATCACGCCATCCCAAGAATGGCAGCTTGACATGCACATGTTTGGAAGCTTTTTTTTCTGTGCTGCTGCTACAAGACATGAACGTTGTACAAGAGCATGTTTGTCCCACAACAACGTGCTTGCTTATTTCTATGATTCAGGAACACAGAGCACACAATTTATATATGTGTGGCTCAACATTGGATCCTCTACCACATTCATCTCACCAATTAGAACAAACAGCCACCTGGTGTACATTTGAAGAATGAGTTTTCTTATACCTAACGGGTAAATGGGCTGCCATCATCAAAAAAAGATGTCAGGGGTGGTTGTTGGCAGTGAAAGCCCATCAATGCCCCGTCGCATTTACGTTTTTATACCTTGTTCCTCGGCTTGTTCCCATTGATGGCATGCCATTAGATCTGTGGTTTTGCCCTGAACTTTTTAAGGATCATCTTTATCATTACCATATCATGCATGAGGCCGTGGTGCCGCGTTTAGAGTATATACCGCTTTCAATGATCTTCATTGTCAAATCTATAATTCGATGTAACATGTCTGCATATGTCGTAGTACACCAACATAAGCTAATAGCGTCCATGCCAATGTGTTATAGTGCTGCAGCAGTAGTACTACTACAGCAGCATCAACAAGATTCGCCCATTGTCTCTTTGCATCTGTAGTACGACGACGAATGTTTGCTGAGCATGATGATGATGATGATGATGATCTACCATCTCGTTCTTGGGAAGAATGGGCTTGGCTACTGTCACTGGACCCCGGAAGGATCGCCATAATTGCATGTTCCTGTGCGCTTAAAAAGTCGAGGATTGGTATTTTAGGTTGCTGCCTCGCCCCCATTAGGTTAGCACCATTGAAGCCATCGCTCGGCAATCTTTACTTCCGCGCATCTTGGTTACCTCTATACAAATGCATGCATCAATATCATCATCGCAATTATAGCCATGCTATTTTACCTCGTAGTAATCGGTTGGATGGAGCTATACAACCCCTACTTGGGGTGATCAAGTTTCATGATAGATGATTATACACCTCCAATGTCTTGTATCCACCTACATTACAAATGTCATACAATTCTCGACGAGTCATTGGCTCACTATCTTAATTAACAAGTGCGCATGGTTACTGTAAAACGTCAAATACACGATGCAAATGTATCCCGGACTTTTGTTGCTGCATGAATTTGGTACTTGCTTTCTGGAAAGATGCTTCTTGTGAAACATTAGTTCTGTATCTTCAGGGCAACATTGATCGTTGTTCAGCTAAATAAACAACGCTGGGTGTACTTTAATGATGCTAGTCGATATACTGGCTACATACAAACTATAGGCCACGTCAACTTTAGATCAAACCATTGCTGGCAAAGCACAACAACAGCTGGGCTGTCAGCTAAGGATTCGATGTAATGTCTACATACACACCATAATAGGTCACGTCAACTTTCACGTCAAAATCTCATGGCAAAGCACAATAGCCGAGCTGTCATCCAAGGCTAGTGATTCAAGTTACGCATTACTTTTCTTATAGCAACCTATGGACATAGCATCATTCACTTAGTAACCCTTTGTTGTGAATAATGTCCTTTTCTACAACCCATGAAGCATACGCATTTGAGACTTCGTTGCAAAAAAAAAAAAAGAAAGCATACTTACAAACGAGCTTCGAATCTTAAGTCTAATCATCCACGTAGTCTCGAGACTATGTCAAACACAAGCTGGCAATCTAGGTTGCTACTTTTTATATAAGAGCTATCTTGATTGCGCACGAAGAAACTCCCTTGAAGCCATGAATAGAGCTAATCAAGTGACGTGTGTGAGCAACTATCAGCCAAAGAATAAGAAGTTAAGATGCGTTGCTTGGCACAGGGTCGAATTCCTTTGTTTGTTGCCAACTTTGATATGAAGATTACATACAGCTATTAAGGATTTCAGGGTGCTAATACATTACTTTTATCCAAAGAGCTCAATATGATATACAAAAAGGTGTACAAGCAAAGGCATCTACTTTCTAATAGGTTGTGGTTGTCGTGGTGATCGTCGGCATTTGACTTGGCAACAAAGCAAACGTGAAGCCTGGTGTGTAGCAGCAGCAGCAGCAGGATTCTTGCTCCGCCCTTTCTTTTACTACTACTACTGCTGCCCACTCTCAACCCCCCTTGGAAACCATGGCAAGTGCGAGATGACACTCCTGCAACGCGTCCAACCATGGACACTGACCAAGCAACATAGGAAGATGATCAATACGATTGTGCATTGGACTTGATGCGCCGTTTACCGCCGCAGAATGTCGAGGACAATTTGAACAAGCTATTGGACCTTGTCGACCCTGATTTGGAGGACAAGATATTGTCTGCTATTGACAAACCACTCAAGGTGAAGCGTTGCCCCAAGACTGGCAAGGATTATCTTTTATGCGACTATAATCGGGATGGTGATTCATACAGGTAGGTAACCAAGGATATCCCAAGTTACAGGAAGCTTATACACATTTACATAGATCGCCTTGGAGCAATGAATATGATCCCGAGATACCAGATACCGTGCAGCCACCACCTTTTACCCCTTCACCAGCATTGCGAAAGTTAGAGATTGCTGCCAATGAAGCCTTTGATACCTATCGCGACATGTATTATGAAGGCGGCATCTCATCCGTGTACACATTTGAATATGACGATGGATTTGCTGTGGTGGTCCTCATCAAAAAAGGTATATTACAAGGACATGTGGCAAAGGATGATATTAAATCTTTTATTGTAGTGGGTGATGGTGGAAGACGCATGAACGGTGCGTGGGATTCAATTCACGTCTTTGAAGTGCATGAACGCGGTCGCAATGCCAACTACAAGTTGACATCCACGGTGATGTTGTACATGATTACCAAGGGCCAAGAATTAGGTGATATGAACTTGAGTGGTAGCATGACTCGTCAGGTATAGCATTCACACACATACACATATACACACACATGAACATAGGGCTTATTCTTTATATTTATTGAATAGGTGGAACAAGATCATGCTGTCGACGATCCTTCAGCGCACGTTGCCAATATTGGTCGGATGGTTGAGGACATTGAACTCAAGATGCGTAATTCCCTTCAAGAAGTCTACTTTGGCAAGACTCAGGACATTGTCAATGATCTTAGAAGCTTGGGGTCCTTGGAAGAGAGCCGGAAACAAGCCGAGATTCAAAAGGAACTTGCTGGTAGATTGATGGAAAGAACTACACGTTAAGAACTTGAATAAATGAAGGATGATGTCTCTCCTAGTTGAAAGTCAGAGCAGAGTTACTCGCTTTACTATCCTTCTTCCTCTTCTTCTTCACTCACACACACACACACACACACACTATTACACCACTATGCGGAATACCCTTGTGGTCTTATTGTTGGCTCTATCAACACTGATTGCTGCACAAGACGGTGCCACTGTACGCACCCATTCCATCTCGATGCCTTATATTGGTATGGTAGAGATGTCCTCCTCTTGCATCACGAAAAGGGCCGCTAATGTTGCCTGCCGTAGACGATGAACTTCAAAACCGCTGGTTCGACTTTGGTGGCGATACAGTTATCAATACCAATCGTCATATCCGTTTGACAAGCAAAAACCTTCAAGCACAGCAAGGCTACTTGTGGTCGCGTCTGGTAACGTTTATTGGTCTCAACGCGTCCCATTATTAGACCTGCTCATATCTCTTGTTGACGATAGCCTTTGACATCATCCAACCTTGAAATCGAATTCGAGTTTCATATTGGTGGGCAATCAGGTCATCTTTATGGTGATGGTCTTGCTAGTAAGTTGTGAATCAAATCATTGGTATATAGCAACACGTGATACTGATTTATGCAACCCACCACTAGTGTGGTTAACAAAACAGCGCTCAACACCTGGTCCTGTTTTTGGTTCAGTGGACAATTTCGAAGGTCTTGGCGTATTCTTTGACACCTATGATAACGAAAGAGCACATGTAAGCGATTACAACTAAGCAAAGGAAAGGGTATCATGGTAACATGGGAATATCCATAGCGACATACATTTCCATACATCTCAGCTATGCTAGGGGATGGTATGAAATCTTATGACAATGATAAGGATGGAAGGACTACCGAATTAGCTGGATGCGAGGTATGTTGTCATGTTGTGGTTGTGATCGTATTTGCTCATCCATCCTTGTCACATGATTAGGCCAACTTTCGATCAAAGGCATATCCGACAAAGGCACGATTGACGTACTACAAGAACAATTATCTTCAATTTGATCTTATGTGGCAAGAGGAAGACAAGTGGGATGAGTGCTTCAAGGTTGGTAATGAGGACATGGAGGGGGAGGTTTTCAATATCCATGCAACCTAACTCTCTCCCAACCTTTATCAGGTGCAAGATGTCCAATTGCCTGAGAACGTCTATCTCGGTTTTACTGCACACACGGGTGAATTAACAGGTATAGCAAGCATACTTTATAGTAGATCTTTGTTAACAAATTCACCATATTGGGTCATAGATGATCATGACATTATTTCCGTGTCTACTCGCACATTACCACCCAAGGCCAGAGAACCTGTGAAGGTAAGAATAGATGGATTATGAAGTGACATACGCAGAATACTGAAACGTTTTTTTATTTGATCCATAATAGAAAGCAAGCAGCGAAAAGCAAAGGCAAAGCGGTGGAGGATTTTTCTCATTCTTGCTAAAGATGCTAGCTGCGGGTCTTTTAGTTGGTGTTCTTTTTGTTGTATATCGAATGTATGATAGTAATAGTCGCATGAAGCGTTTCTAAGATGTAACAAAGAATACAATGCAATATCAAAAAGCCCCATTCAGGTTCCGAAAAGGGGGGAGAGAGGGGGGGGAGGAAGAGTAGGCAGCCAAATGCATAGTGACCAATCGCCCTGCACCCACCATTCATCGACCTCTTTCTACAAAGGTATGCATCCATCCTTTTATTCTACAACTATTCCAATTGTATTAGAACGAACGCTCATGACGAATTGTATCAACTTCATATCACCCATCATTGACCGATTTCGATGGATGGATGGATGTACCTTTTTTATCTCTATGGATACACTCATTTAGGCCAACATGGTTGCATTGAATCTGCCCGCTGACGTTTTGGCCAGCGCCGATGGCTCTCGCAAGCTCTTCAACAAGTGGTCGTACGAGGATGTTGAAGTGAAGGACATTTCTCTTCAAGACTACATTCAAGTTCGTCAGCATGTCTATTTGCCCCACACCGCTGGTCGTTTTGCTGTCAAGCGTTTCCGCAAGGCTCAGGTATGCCTATTCTAAGGATAAGGAGGGGGGTGTTCAACAACAACATCACTCACGTGGTATCATAGTGCCCTATTGTCGAACGTTTGACCAACTCGCTTATGATGCACGGCCGCAACAACGGCAAGAAGCTTATGGCTGCTCGTATTGTTCAACACGCTTTCGAGATCATCAACCTCTTGACCGACCAAAACCCCATCCAAGTTATGGTCGATGCTATCATCAACACTGGTCCTCGTGAAGATTCTACTCGCATCGGTTCTGCTGGTACCGTTCGTCGTCAAGCTGTTGATGTTTCGCCTATTCGTCGCGTCAACCAAGCTATTGCTCTTTTGACCACTGGTGTAAGTAATGGGAGGGTGATCATGTGGTTTACAATGGGATATTGATGTGGGTGTGTGGATGTTAGACTCGTGAAGCTGCTTTCCGCAACGTCAAGACCATTTCCGAATGCCTTGCTGATGAGCTTATCAACGCTGCCAAGGGCTCTTCTAACTCTTATGCCATCAAGAAGAAGGATGAACTCGAGCGTGTCGCCAAGTGTAAGTAATTGGATAGCATTTGAGGGGGGATGGATGGAATAACTTACATACTGATACCATTTACGTATAGCCAATCGTTAAGGTGGGATCATCGTCATTATCGATATGGACATGGACTGCTGCGATCATGGGTGCTTTCTCATTGCAGGCGTGTCTTTTGTATAAAGAATAAATGTATTCATTGGATAAAATGCATCAATGATGGTGGTTGGTCATACAAATGGTTTATCAGTGATTTCCTCAATCATCATTATGGCAAACAATAGAATGAACCGATTCATGCAGATGATGCGTCCCCAAATCCAGAAATGAACAAAACGACTCAACAAGGACGATGAAGGTCTTTTTTCGTTTATTCGATAAAGTTGACCCTGAGATTATCAAGGAACCCTTAATGTGCCTATGTTTTGTATCAGAGAAAAGGTGATTGATTGTATGGATCATGCAAACGCTGTAATCAATGATTGGATCATTCGTTGTGTTTCCATGGCAACCATCGTATAGGAAGATGCTAGGGCAGTAATCCTATCTTGGGGCAAAGGACATGCAAAAAAAACATACTTGTGAGAGATAGGATCAAATGTGTGGTTGCCATGGTGATTGATTTCAGTGGTGGATTGGGTTGTCAAGAGATGCGTACTCGTCCGCCTGCCAGCGATGCTCGTCACAACGGCCTCACAAGAATCAAATTTTTACACTGGTGAATACCCCCTCTCTCTCTCTTCCTCACAACAATGGAGAACTCTGAAGGCCAACTCGTTGACTTGTACATTCCTCGCAAGTGGTTAGTCTCTATCTCTCTCTTTCGCCATTACGCATTATCGACATTGCATTGCTTACACCATTCCTATTAGCTCTGCCACCAACCGTCTTATTACCGCCAAAGACCACGCCTCTGTTCAACTCAACGTTGCCGATGTCAACGCCGAGGGTCGTTTGACCGGTACCTTCGCCACCTATGCTCTTGGTGGTTTCGTTCGTCGCAATGCTGAAGCTGACGATAGCATCAACCGTCTTGCTACCGAGGATGGCTGTAAGTGTAGATAAGCTTATCTGAAGGGCTGTATACTTATCGATTGTTTTCTCGGTCTTAGATCTCAAGAACGTCTTCTCCTACCAACAGTAAAAGAAAAGGCATGCCTTGAAATAAAAAAGATGACAAGCTCGATAGTTTGATCGTTCTCCAGAATATCTTTTGTCTCATGGTTGGGGGGGATCAACGAATTGTAAACGCGTTTTTTCTTCTCATCATATCATTAAATTGACAACTACCACGTACATTACCTTGATCATGTAATTGCCAACTCTAATGTGTCCTTCGATTATATCTTTTCGTTTATGCAATTCGATGCCTTTATTAAGTCAAACCTGAGATGTCACGTAGTGGATCACTTTAATCATCACACACGCACACACATGATACACTACGAGATAAAGGTTCCAAGTCTTTCAATAAAGTGAATGAATCACACAAGTCCAAATGACAACAATGCACCATTACAAAGTGGGCACGCGCTACTTGTGCTCTCTTTTTTTTCCCTTTTCTTCCGCACCTGCAAATTATCGTTCCTCGCGCTACTGCCGTGTCAAACACACCACTCCCACTTGCCGCCACCCATGTTCGCTGACGACTCACGGCTGCCGACATTAGTTGATTACGATCCAAGTGCAACGCATTCACCTCCACAATTGGCAACGAGTTCAAGATTGAATGGACATGGAGGACTCATAATACAACCGGCGCGAATGGCAACGACGTCTTCAATACCGGTATTGAACGTAAAGAATAGACGAGGTATGCTTGACACATGTGATACAACCAACACCCACCAGAATGGATAGGCTGACCCTGTTACAGAGGAGATCAGTGAATCCTGCAATCAAAGTGGATATCTTGATGCTGGATGGTCGAATTTACATCTTCAATATCTGTCATGTGTTCTCCGAGGCGATCGCAATATACCAGTGAGCTTACAATCCGCATATGAGGTAAATCCATCATCTTTGTTTTGATAATGCTTTCTTTGTTCTCATACCTACTCTAGCTTTGTGTCAACTTATGTTACAATGGCGACGCCCAATCCCTTTATCAACGTATCTACAATGAGCTCGAGAACCATTACAAGGAGCTGGGATCTTTATTATCGAGGTAAAGAGGAGGAGGATGCCTATACCCAACTTGTCAAAGGTGCTAACAGGTATTTTTAGTATGGCAGCAGCTAATGACGACTTTTTGGGTTATCTACGTACAATGTGGGAAGAAAACAATGAAAAGCTGGTATGTGTGTCTATATTAAGGGAGGAAATGGATGATGATGATAAGCTCACACCATAAATAGGAAAAGATCAGATCCGTGTTTATTGAACTTGAACGACGATACATTATCAAGCAAACCCCTTATCGATCAATACGGTAAATCTCATGGCAAAAGGATGATGATGAGATGATGGGATTTTGATGCATGGACAATAGAGAGCTTGGAATCCATCTTTTCTACGTCAATATCGTTGAACATCATGATCTGGTCAAGAGACGTCTCATATTGAACGTGCTCTTTTTCTTTCACCAATCAAGGTAAACAACTTTATCATCTGCATCCTTTTCATTATGTTGACATGTATACAAAGAAACAACTGCAACATCCCAAACGATCAAATCCATTCAGCTATCAAAATGATGCAGGAGATGAATATCTTTACGACCGGCTTCGAGCCCTGTCTGATTTACGACACCGAGCTTTTCTATCGAAATGAATCCACGCGTATTTTCTCGAAGCTCAATGTGCCTGGATACCTCCAATTCGCGGCTCGACGACGTTCATTTGAGGAGAGTCAACAAACAGGGATACCTTTCACGACCAAAATGCACATGAGCGCTATTGTGATTGACAAGTTCATCCGATCCCCTTTGAAGGACATCCTTGCAAAAGGTATTACAAAGTAGCATCAGCATCGGGTTATCACTCATCATCGTATGTTTTCACAACGTAATAGGCTATTACATGATGCTCGACTCCAACGATGTATCCTCATTAGTGATGCTGTATACGACGATCACTGAACAACAAAAACAGCTATTACGAATCGAATTGGTGGAGTATATCAAGGTAACCCTATGAGCTACTTTATAGAGTATACGTATTCATATTGTTATATGCGTAGACAAGGTTCAGATCCAAGACGGAGGAATATAAGAATGAAATGAAAACCATCAGCTTCATATACAAGTTCAAAGCCAAGCTGGAACATCTTGTTACCAATGCCTTTGAGAAGGATGTCATGCTCACCCAAGCCATTGCTGATACCTTTGAGGGTCTCATCCAAGGCCGCGAACCAGCCATAGCCATTGCCGCTGCGGAATTCATTGATAAAAAAATGAAATCACAAAAGCTGTTCCAGGTAAGCAACCATCAGCTGGGCTTGTTTGTAATGAGAAGGATATTAATACCGATGCATAATAGAATGCAAACAATGATTCCAATCTCCCTGATGTATTTGATGGGGCACTTACTATCTTTCGGTCACTTGCAGGTAATCTCCCATGATATGCCTTTGTATTCCTGCTAATGACTCATCCCCTATTTCTAGACAAGGATGTATTTGAAGGCGTGTATCAGCGACTTTTAGGCAGTCGATTGTTATCCGGAGCAAGTAATACCAGGGCTGAAAAATTGATGGTGATCAAGCTTCAATCAAGTAAGTAAAAAACGAGTCATCGTGTCCTTTTATGGCATTTAAACTTACTTACACGCGCATGTTTATAGTTTGTGGGAATGATTATATGACCCAATTCACGAAGATGATCACAGATATCGATGAATGGTCAGATTTCGATGCTCGCTACAATGTAAGAAAGTAGATAACCTAAGGGAAAATGGGAACTGATGGCTTTATATGCATATAGGCTCAAGTGAAGATTGACACGCGGTTCGATTTCCAAGTGCGCACGGTGTCAAATGAGGCATGGTCGTTTGCTGGTACTCATAGTATACACCTTGGCAATGAAGTAGGTTTATCTTTATGCATACAGCACAACGTAGTGATCTCATTGTCTTGTCATTTTAGTTGCAACGATACCTGACGCAATACGAAGCAGCCTTCAGTGCCCACCATAAGTCTCGCAAGGTGTTATGGTCCCATTCGTTGAGTACTTTGGTTATGGATGCAAATTTACGCTTTGGTACGACCCAATTGATTGTCAATGCCTTACAAGCATCGGTCCTTTTGCTATTTAATCGGGATAAGGAGATGTGGGAGTTTGATGAAATTGCCCATGAAACCAAAATCTGTAAGTTGTACCTTTTTTTTCTATCTTTGATCCACTCACACTCACCACGCTTTCATAACCTGTAACAGCTGATGACCAACTCAAGGATGTTCTGCGTACAATGACTTGCTGTCCAGGGGCATTGTTGCAAAAGGATTCCCCCGACCCTGAGTATATCTGGGAACAAGATACTTTTTCGTGCAACTTGAATTTCCGCCATAGTTCAACCATTGATCTTTACCTTGCATTCTCTATGGAAGGCAAAAAGGGCATCGATCCTGCGAAAAAGCAATTACCACGCCTTGGCGATGATCGAAAGTACAAGGTAGGTTAGTTGGTATCCATGATGTTCCTGCTATTAATCAAGCAGGGATATGACTAGATCGATGCCACCATTGTGAGGATTATGAAGCAGCAAGGGCAGTTCAAACATCCTGAATTGTACGAGAGCGTGAGCACACAGCTTCCTTTTACAATCTCGGTAAGATTAAGCAGCAGCATCCGGCGATAGAAGCTTACTAATAGTGTTCTCTATGATTAGGCAAAGGAGTTTAAGGAATCGGTGGAGTCGTTGATTGATAGGTAAGTGCTATGAGAACAATGCTTGATTGATTTGAGATGTTAATCAGTCATCATGTTTAATAGGGGTATGATGAAGCGACAAAGATCAAAGACCAACCTATATGTGTATTTGCCGTAATTCAGCACTGTAAATAGTAAACTGTATATATATTTGATATCAAGCTTGCCATGTTTATTGAAAATTAACAATGTTGGATGTATTGGTTGAGTGAATAAGGGAGAAACACGATCTTTTGTTGGGCAAGTGGGGGGGGCGCAACCCGGTTGCCATGGTGCATTAATTTTCACCCCACCATCAACATGAGCTTTTTCATGTCCATAGCATTAGATAGGTCTCTTGAAAAGTCGACAATCGAGATTACAACAAGCAATCCATGCATCACTTTCTCCATTTGGCTTGTACACAACCATCCCCAAAAACATGGACGCCTTGCATTAACGTATCGATTCATTGTTGTCAATAGAGTTAAGAGCAGTAGCGGGATAATACGATCTGATCATGGCCCCCGGGCCGAGCGTGTGCGGTATTCATTACTGATCATTTTACCTGCAAAGTACTCGCTCCCATACCCCTTCTCTTTCTCTTTACAATCATGTCAGCACGCAACTTCTTGACCACCGGTCGCAAAATTGTTGCCATTGGCCGTAACTTTAGGTAATGACGTTGCCATGGGTACCGTGAATGGCGGGACAAACAACATGGACAGTGTGGATAACAACAACGCGTAGTGAACACGCAAAGGAACTTGGCAACGCTGTTCCTACAGCACCCTTTTTCTTTCTCAAGCCTACCTCATCGTATCTTGCCAACGGTGGCACTGTGGAAATTCCCACGGGATGCGAGGTGCACCATGAAGGTTTGTTCTATGAAATCCCATATTGACCACCTCCAAAGTTTATTAGTAACACTTGCAATAGTGGAACTAGCTGTTGTTATCGGCAAGGATGGACGAGATTACCAACCTTCTCAAGCAATGGATCATGTGGCAGGTAATGAATGCATGGTGTTTGGGAATGTTGGGGTGGTTGCATGAAATAACACGTTTATCTCTCTAGGCTACGCTCTTGCAATTGATATGACCGCTAGAAATCTCCAGGTACACAAAGCGTTACTCAACAAACACATATGATCCAACTTGTTTTACTCATGATTTGAATAGACTGAAGCAAAGAAAAAAGGTCTTCCTTGGAGTGCATCAAAGGGCTTTGACACATTTACTCCCATCAGGTGATTATACAACATCAATTGCGTGGATGTTTTATTGACTCGAAGCAGTGATTTCATTCCCAAGGAAAGCATCTCTGACCCTCACAATGTGGATCTTTGGCTCAAGGTAAATATATACAAAACACTGTGGGAGAAAAGAAGGCACCACGATGTGTGTACATTCGCTTACCTTTAAGCATTACGCTCTAGGTCAATGATACTTTGCGTCAAAACGGCAATACCAAGGATATGATCTTCAAGTAAGCGATTCAATCAAGAGGATGCATATAGAAGCATACTAACACAAACATCATAGCATTCCTTCATTGTTATCCTATGTATCATCCATTATGAAACTTGAAGCCGGTGATGTTCTATTGACGGGTACACCCCAAGGTGTTGGTCCACTTCAAGCTGGCGATGTTATTACAGCTGGATTGAAATCTGGAGGCGCGTCGAATGACTTGATGAATGTCAAATTCAACGTTGCTGCTCGCAATGGACTTTTTAAAGTTTAGTGATGTATTCATGCGATCATTGCATACAATAAATAGCTCCGATGTTGTTTCTTTTTTTCGTTCTTCTCTTTTCTTCCTTACCCACGACTCCTCTTCCCATGGCTGTAAGCAACCCATCCCTTCATGTTCTTGAATTGATTATCTCAATGCATTTGCTTCAATAGGAACATCATCCAAAACTATCTGCATTGCACACACGCATGTTCAAGGCCAAAGCTGAACGTAAACTAAGGTAAAAGCAGTGGTCAAAAGTGGGCGTTGTCTACACACAACCTAACCTCATCCATGTATATGCACACTTCAGCTTTGAGCGTATAGGAAAGGAAATTGGACGTGACGAGGTCTATGTTGCTGCCGTGTTTTATGGGCAGGTAAGTTCACGCGTCTTTCTTTTACCACCGAATTCGGCAAAAATTTATGCTAATGATGGTACGACACAGGCCAAACCTACCACAGAAGAGCTCGAAAAACTATCAGCTGTTCTCAATCTTCCAGCTTCGCACTTGAAGGATGATCTTGGTGCACACTACTTTCCTGATCGTGGAGGGTAAGGTTTTCGGATGGATTATCAAGAGTGCACCCTTTATTAACAAATCCCATTGTTGTAGACTCATGGCCGTACCACCAACAGACCCAGTGCTTTATCGTCTTTACGAAATGATTCAAGTGTATGGCTACCCAATCAAAGCTGTTATCCATGAAAAGGTATGGATGTCTTTTTTGACCAAGTTAGCATGGATGAAACACTAATGTGAACTTTTTAGTTTGGAGATGGGATCATGTCTGCCATTGATTTTAGTGCAAAGGTCGACAAGGTAAGTAATCCCCCACCTGATGGATCAACGAGTACTCCTTTTATTTATCCGTCTTGGCAGGTTGAAAATCCTAAAGGCGATCGTGTCAAACTCACACTCGAAGGAAAATTCCTCCCATACACAAAATGGTAGTTGAAGCATGTAAAACAATGTTAAATAGCTTTGTTAAATAAGACGTGGATATGTATATATATAAGTTGTATAGTACATGGTGGGGGAGACGGGTTGAAATATACAGGTATAGTCGATACTTAATGGTTTGGTGGATGAGTTGGAGGTGGAGTTGTAATGGTTGGGGCATTGGTACTTGAAGAATCTGTTTGAGATGGCGGCGTTTGCTGAACATGATCGCAATCGTATTTGCATATGGGGCATATACTTGCTTTCTTGGTGAGCCAGACATCTAACGATGATAAAGGTGAGTGAGTCAACTACCAATCTTTGAGGTTGCCCAATGATGATCTTACCAATGCAGCCAACACAAAAGCCATGATGACAGGGTAACACTCGTATCATATCATGAAGGTTAAGCTCTTCAAGACAAATGGCACAAATGGTATTCTTGGTCTCTTGCGCATCCCGATATTCTTGCACAGGACAAAGCTCGTCCAGCTTTTGAAGCGACATTTTGTGGGTACTCTCAGTGAGCGGGATGTTACCGCTACCTATAGCTTGCTCATCATCCATAGACCCATCATTTCTTGAACCAAATCCAGTACGTGATGTCCTGCACCACCGAAAAAAGAATAATGCCACCACGAGAGCACCACCTGCTGCCAGCAAATAAGCAATGTAGGCATGGTCTCCAGTAAAGACATCCCAATAGTTGCCATCCGCATTCCCGCTACCACCTGCGTTATTGTCATCTTGATCAAGTGAGAAGGTTGATTCGGAAAAGAACATGGCAATTTGCACATATTGTTGAGTAGGCTTGCCGCTGGACGTGAGAGTATAATTGTGGATCAAATCTTTGAGCGTGTTGCCATACACGTTGGGTACGAAAAAGATGGCAAGGAATATGCCGTTGGAGTGATTTGCAATGTCATTGTCGCTCATGTTGTTGATATTGCGAGTTGTTGGTAAAGAAGCATCCCAAGTGGGGTAGGAGCTATTATCGGTGCTTTCGGTGATCAATTCAACAGAAGGCCAAGTTGCATTGTCGAACACAATAATGGCTCCGACGTTTAGGTGATACTGGTTTGACAATGCTTGGATCTGGTTCACTTTATCCGACCATAGTGTACATCTTCCCCCTCGTTGTATCAGGGCAATCGATGGTTGTGCCATCATAGATGGACTCGTCGATGTATTCCCATTCAATGCTTGCACATTATCCATACTTGTCCCCGGGCAACCATCTCCAAAATCCAACAAAAGCCGCTACAGCGTATCCAAGTATTAATCCCAATGTTGGCTTTACATAGGTGCCATTTCATTGTTACCTCGTTGTGCCCATAGAGATCATCGTATAAAAACACTGTTTGAAAGTCTTGGCTGTATTGCTTAACCGAGGTATCAGTAAGATAGGTCGCCGACTGATTCGATTTGCCGAGTTCATATTGCACCACCACCTGCCTATAGTAAAGTACTCTGTTAGGCCCACTTTACTCAACCCCACTCTTGACTCATTCTCAACAAACCATATAAAGGGGTTGTTACGATTGGCTTGTGAAGCGACGTTGGGTAGTAGTAGGAGCCATAGGACCAAGAGAGCAATGACGGCCCGAGAAGATCGATTCATCGAGTCATTCAGCTGAAGCTCGTTGGGAAGACGAACGAATAAAAAAAAGTCACTGAAACAAAAGGATGCCGTTAATGGAGGTACAGTCGAATCCAAAGAAAGCTTCCAGACTTTGTCTCACCTAAACCGGTATTCAAGATTACCCGCTCCACCTTGGATACCACGTGACCCTATCAAGTGGTTGGCTCATCGTCCAATAACCCCACTTGATTGGTATTATCTCATCATACTGTAAAAGATAATGAAAACCAATGCCAAGAGAAATGTCATCATTTGAGCCATCCCACGTTGCATTTGCTACTTACCAAGTCTAACCTTGTTGTTGTGGTTGTTTCCATGGCAGCCACCCTTCTCCTTTTGGAACTCTATTGTTATTATCATCCCTTTCTTGTTGCATATATCAAAGACCTAAGCTAATAAATGATGATGGCTCATTGTTCTTCACCATGTTACGATCGCTCATTATGTGGATTTGATGATGATTGGTTGATGGCCAAAGTGATCGCTCATCCTCCATGCTATATCACACAATCAATCAACCGAAGACTACTGCACTCGGCAACTTCCTCGGGGAACATGCACTTGATCAGCTTTATTGCCAAAAGGGTTAAACCACATATGCAACGTCGTTGCTGATAATAGTTCAAATATGAACAAAGCATGACTAAACTTGTCAACTACACTTGTTAACGCCACCACAGTATAACCAAAAGGTGCGTTGCATGGTCCGGAGCTTGAATGGGGCACCGGCTATTTTGTGAACACAAGGCGATCCCAAGTCAAAGCCTGTAGTTGTTTCACCTTGTTCTTGTTCATAAATGTCTTCCGCAACTCCAATCGACAAGAAAAGACGTTGGGCAACTGACAATGCCGATACATCCACACCAAACGTTTCACGCCCTCCTCTAAAGAAACGATTCACAGCCAACGGCTCCATTGGTATCAACAATGCGTCCCAACCATCCTCGACAGCAGTTGCTAGCACTTCTTCACAACCTTCCTCCAGCGATCCTTCCACATCAGCCAATCGCCCAACAGACGAAGAACTCAATGTATATAAACGAACGTCCATACGATTCAACAGCGTCTCATTTTATTTTACTTTACTTTTAGTTGGACTATCGTGGGCTATCAAGGGACGGTTTGCTGAAGCAAATGCGAAAAGCCAAGGTACGATTCAACTGAATGGGGTCGATCGGTTATTGAGCCATATGACATTATCATGTGTAGGATGACTACCTAGCTGTGGAACAAGCTGTTGCATCTTTGGAGGCTGAAGGGAACGATTTCGCTGCAAGACGTAGCATGATTCGCTTTGAATGGGCCATGGTATGTGGATGAGATACTATATAGCAACATCATGGATACGTGATCTGACTATGTATGCATGCAGATCTTCAACCAATTATCGCTTATTGGCAAAGCATTGGGCGTGGCGAATGTATCAGAGATGGGTATGTATATGGGACGTCTTGTGGCAATGGGCTATGTTTATCTAAACGGATGTATAGAGTTGCCAAAGGGGATTGAAGATGTTCGATTACTGAGTGAGAGGTTACAAAGCGCACAAGTGGCCACACGATCAACAGCAAAGGATATTGTGGATTTGGCACAACGATGGATGAGCAGGAATGATCGCGTACATGAAGAGTACAATCAAAAAACTGGTAAGAGTTGGATTTATATGATGCTATGGATATCCATAATAACACCTATCACTAGATCATTCGGAAATGCAGCACGTGTTGATGGATTGGATTCGCCATGAAGTACAAGACTTGTTGTCATCCTATGAAAAGACCCAAGTGCTCGTCAAAGAGATGGATCAGCAACACAATACGATTGTCAACCTTGCAGAATCTGCGACTCAAGATATTCACAATGCTGAGGAGCAACTTGAAAGGGCACAAAATGCGTTGGATGAATCTATGGATAAATTGGCTCAAATCGAGAAACGGCATGATCGATCAGAGAGTGCTGCTGTGGCTGCTTTTTTGAATGCTCATCCTGGTGCCAAAGCTACTTTACAGCGTGACACTCCTACCAGTAATTCTCCCGCTACGACAACTCAAGAGAATGAGCCAAAGAATACACCTGTAAGCATGACATTCATTGGTAATTTTTCATCCAGGGACTGACACACGATATCTTAGACGCAAGAAACGGATGAGCAGACAGCCAAAGAGTATCAATTGATTGTGGATGCACGTAGCAGAGAACTTGACGACATGCAACGAGAACGACAACAGCTCATTGAACAAACCGAACGACTACGAGGCAAATTTCTTGTGTTGACGGATGAGCAATTGATGGCTACTGAGTACTTTAAGGTGCTGCAACTCTCCCTGGAGCATTACAAGTCGCGCGCACACTATTTGGAGGATATCAGATCACAGCTTCAGTATGACATGGATGAAGTTACTTCAGAACGTCGAAAGGTTGCGGATGAAATCAAAGCAGAAAAGGTGTCTCAGGGAATGACAATGGAAGGAGAAATGCGGAGGCTGGAGAATGATTTGGCACGTATTCGCAAGCAAAGGGACGATTTTCAGCGTGTGGTGGATGAACATAGAGCCAAAAAAGACAAGGAAAAAGAGCTGCATGATGCTATTGTAGCTGAGGTTGAGAAGGAAGCAGTAAGTAACACATGAATGGGATTAATACTCCGTGTTGATGAATGTGTTCTTTTAGAAACGCATGATGGACTTGGAACGACAATTATCAGAATTACGATCATCCGCCCAATCATCGATCGGCATCAAGGATGGACTCTTTACAGATCTTAGTTCATCGTACGAGGATATATACGCAAAGATATCGCAAGTATCAATGGCATGATGATGAAAGGCATCTTTCTAATCCAAGCATCATTAGTGACGCAAAGGCGATCCTAGGACTCCTTGCAGAAAAGGATGAAAAGCAGCTTAGTGCCGAACAAGAGACATTGCAAAGTTACCAGGATCAGTTCTCAGCGTGGAAAAAGGCCGTTGACAGTCGACAAGACATAAGCACCTTGATCAGCAAGATTGATGATAAGAGCAATGAGCAAGAAAGGACAAACCTGATGATACAATTCTATGCGGATGTATGTATACAAATGTACTACGGGATCATGATACTCACGATGACATGTAGAATGAAGCCCAATTGATGACACAGATTGATCGTGCTGGTGCTATATTTTCAAAGCTGGAAGAGCAAAACTCCAAGTCTGAAGTTGGTCTCGCACACATGGAGGAACAACGATCAAGGCTACAAGCCGAGGTATGTGTGTATGTTGTCGTGAGAATAATGAACAATGACAATAACAACACGATGCATGATCCTATAGAAAGCCAAATTTGCACACACATTTAGCTCTCTAAAGGCAGCCAAGGACAAGCAAATGGGCAATGTTGCGGCATTACGTCGAACCAGTGAACAGCAGCTAGACCATATTCGACAATTGGAGGATCGTGAAAGGAGTCTTGATTCGCAAGTCGTAAGTATGCGTTACAGGAACCAAGGGGGGAAAGAGAGGGGAGGAGTGTGTGACATACATATTGATATGATATTGCATTTACTAGGCTGAGAAGGAAGATCAAGTGCGAAAGACTGTACAGACCTTGGAGGAGCATCGTATAAGTGTGGAGGACTTGCAACAGCAATGCAGCGAAATTCGGATATCTTTGGAGCACAATGACACGTTACTGCATGAGGTATGATTGCATAAAACAATGTTTTGAAAACGTCTTCGTGCTGATATTTATGCTTTCCCCCCTAGCTCCAAAGGATGGTCAAAGACAAGACCCGGGTTTTGGACGAGGAGAAACAGCTCCGTAAACGTGTGGATGAAGAATTTGAAAAGATGCAGCGCAAATGGAATGCGATATCACAAAGCGATAGCGGTGTACAAGACCAGCTGGCGGAAGAATGTGAAAACTTAAGGGTAAGTAGAATAATAATGGCACATTGTGTGAGCAATGGTAGTAACAAGTCGATCTTAGGGCATGCTTAAATGCAGTGCTTGTCGTACTCGGTTCCGGAAGAAGATAATCACTCGTTGTATGCACACATTCTGCCAAGATTGTATTGATAAGCGACTCGAGACTCGTCAACGGCGGTGTCCAACGTGTGGTGAATCGTTTGGTAGTGGTGATGTGCGCCCTTTTATCTTGTAGTATACTAGGAATCAATTAATAATAACAGGTTTATTATGATTCATGTGTGTTCATCTATTTTTCTGTTTTCTACTGGTCGATGTAGAGGAGCTGTTACAGGGGATTAAGACTAGCAACACAAAGGATCCACTCATCGTGGTAATATGGTGTGGGTAATGTTGTTGATACATTCATTGGAAGGAGAGAAATGGCTCTTCAGGAGCAGGCAGCATGAGCTGATTACTAGGGGAGCACGTAAAACTTTCAGGGAAAGCGGGATGGTAGGATAATGAGATAAGGAGTATTGAAAAGGAGCCCTTACATAGACTTTGATGTATAAAAGACCATTGCAAATGGCCATTGGCATATCCATTATTGTCACTTTCAACAAAGAACATGCGTTTTGATTTCATTGCCCTGTACGCCCTCGTCGGCACTGCGTTTGTCAGCACATCCATCGCAGCTGAACCACGTCTCACCTTTAGCAAGCGAGTCTTGAGCAACCCAGACCTTTCGGCTACAAAGGTTGCTGGCCAAGCGATCCCAATAGCGAACTCTCAAGCTCAATCAATAGCATCTCTGTTTTACCAGCTCTCCAAAGCGCTTGATGACGATACGGATTTCATGAAGCCAAAGAAAGCAGGTTCAAGTTTGCCAGTATCAGGAACTCCAGCGTCTGCTGCGACACCACCAAAACCTGCAACGTCCCCAAAGAAGGAAGCACCATCTCCCAAGAAGGAAGCACCATCCCCCAAGAAGGAAACAACACCTCCAAAGAAGGAAGAAGAAGACGACGATGAGACTACATAAACCTTTAATTCCTTCTCTTTGTCCCTTATTAGCTTGAGTATCTACTATATTGAATAATAATAAATGATAAGACTTCTTTTAGTGAAAGCGATTGCTATCATGTGTGCTGCCTTTTATGCTGTATAAACATGTTTCCCCTCAATGGGATGGGTATAGTGATACGCACTTGTGCCTGTTTAAAGTCTTTTTGATGGCCATGTCGTAAGCAGTAGGGACGTTTCTACTTGAGCGGCGTACGTTTAAGTATAAACAACAACATCCAATGACGTATAAAGGCAATCTTGTATGTCTCCTCTGGTTATAATCATACCATGACAACGTCCAATATTGAAATATGGGTGAGTATCCATGATACCGGTTGCTGCAAAAGTCACCAGAATGTGAAGCATGATGCATGTGACACGGATGTCATGATGACATCTGGCGCATAAATTTATGCAGGGCTTACACATTTGATTTCGGAACAAACACTGAAACCCTGTACTCTTTAAAAGAAATCTCCCTCGGCTATCCAAAAACGGGTCTTCTTTATTCTTTACATTCTACTACTCTTTTCAACAATGTCATCTGCAGTCTCACAATTCCTTACAGATCCTTGGTCAACCCTCAAAGTCTTGGCACCATCGGTAGCTGTCGAGATTATCCTCCACAAGCAAGTATGGCAAAAGGCATCCTTGCGCGATTTGACTCTATGTCTTGCATTGGTAAATGCATATTGGCTGGGGACAACACTCAACGTCAGCTTCTTTGAAACACCTCTTCTTTGTCAAGTCCCCGGTCTTGATGAGCGACAACGAGGAGAAATTACACGACATCGTTATGGCTTTATCAACAAGGCTGAGGTGAGAGTTATAAAAGATCTTTTTTTTTCATTGTTTGTTTCTTAACAATACGTTCTATTTAAGCTTGTCATTGGTGTCGTGAGCTTGGATCTCTATTGCGAATGGCGTAAGCGTATTATGGACCACAATGGCTTTGTAGATCTTTGCTTGTCCAAGGCAGTGATCGCACCTGTTTTGATCAGCTTTGCACAATCAGCCTATCTTCTACCCAAGGCCTCAGAATGTTGCCGCGATCGACAAATTGCTGGTGTACGTGACTCTACCAAGCAAAAGTGCAACATCCACCGTGCCTATGTTGGCTTCGAAGCTGCCAAACTTGTTGGTGTCGCTGTAGCCGGTTTGCGATTTGGAAAAATGCTCACTGTCTAAGATGTATGATAAGATAATAAACTCGTGTGATTTATCATTGCGTATGCATCAGGGAAGAAAATGAACGTCTTTGTGGAACATTAGCTGCATGAATTTCATCCATGAGTTGGCGTGGTCTATGACCCATGCATACAACATACAACATCCTCACTCAATAAAGGCAAAAAAAAAGAAGACGTACATGTAAAAACAAGTGTACCATTACGCGAGCAGCTATGTTTACATAAAAGACAGGATGATGTATTGCTCAAAAGAAGCGGTTGGATAGGGAGAGTACATTCGAATGGGAAATAACAACTAAGCGAGCAGTAGTAGGTGGGTTATTCGGTTCAAAAGTCTTGCATGGTATTGTCGTCAGCGCCTTGCAATCGCCATTCTGAAAGTCATTGTGTTGCCCCAATCGCTCCAAATCGAGACCTCACGGAGACCATCATATATAAAAATTCTTTTTGAACCTCGTATAGGTTGTCAATGTAATTGGATAGGATGATAGAGCAGGGTTGAATGAGGAGTTCATATAATGGGAACGGCAAGTAATGAGAGAAGAGCGGAGAATTGAGTGCAGCGGAGTTACGAGGGGGCAGTGGTTGCTCTCCAATCTGGTGAAAGCGTGCATACAAATTAGCCTTTAAAATGCCTTCGACTCAAATTGCTCCCCATTCACCTCCCCAAATACCTTCTACTATTCAAATTCGTTTTGTGCAGTATCTCCGCTATAGCATGGTGGTTTTCTCATCGTTTTATAGCCACCTTCTTTATTTGGAAGTTTTTGGGTATATGTTACATATCCATGATCAGGTTTTCAACAAGGAAAGTCGGCATAGCTCAGCTGGGAGAGCGTTAGACTGAAGATCTAAAGGTCAGGTGTTCGATCCACCTTGCTGACACACGAATTCGCATTCAATTCGATTCAAAAATCGGATTGAATCATCGCTTTTTGCATTTTTCTTGATGTTTTATGATCACGTGATGGAGTTTTTTTCGTGTAAACGATATATCGTAACGATGGATACTACCAGCTCCTCTGTCTGCATCTTTTGGTGCTTTGAAATGTTCGTATCTTCATTTTTAAGTATACGTGTATGATAGGCAAAAACAGGCATCAATCGACTATCATACCGAAAGTTAAATTATTGACCACTTTTTTTTTGATGAACCATTCAGGAATTATGAGGAATGCTTTTGTACAATAACAGAATAGAGGTTATGATATAAAAAAGGTTGATTCTATGATGAGCCTATGATGTTTATGAATAACATGTGTGTCAAAAAGTATCATATATATCCGCTTTGCAGCAGCAGGATCGCCTTTGCGACATTGTGATGCTATTCTTATTATAAGCAATGTGTTGGTTGAAAGAGCTGCTTCCTTTTCCAATTAGCTGTTGGTCTATGTCTTTTGAACATATTCCACTGCTACATAACAATGAACATTGCTTGTGTTGCGGTGTAATCGATGTATGTATTAAAGCAAGTTGCTACACATGAATAAATCTACTCCCATACAATGGCTATAGCTGACAACATAAAGGAAAAAAGGGTGTTCGATCCACCTTGCTGACATATGAACCACTGACCACGTAAGAGAAAAAAGGGTGTTCGATCCACCTTGCTGACATTCGAGCCATTAAGCACGTAAAGGAAAAAGGGGTGTTCATCTTCCTTATAGTGCTCTCGACACCATCTTGCATAGGGACAATAATATAGGTAGCTGCTACTCAAAATCTTCTTAATCAAACGTGAAGGCTTTATGGGAACAACATTGATCAGCGTGCCTGAACGCACCTTGTGTGAAAATTTCATGTGGCAATCTCGGCTTGTGTCTCGATCCATCACCGTCTCTCCTCCATTTGGACCGCCCCGCATTTAAAGTTCTCGTAATGAAGTCTTCGGCTTTTAAGTGATGAAGTTGATCAGTATGTCCCAGCGAAATACATACTATTTCGATAAATCATGATTCCGAGTCCCACATTATACCCTCCCATTCAAATCTTTATAATGAAGTATAGGTTCTTTATTAATAGAGCATGTCAAAGAGCATCTTATGTAAAAGTTCCAGGTTCAAGGTTTGGTTTACAGTGTTCATGCATTTATAGGGATTTGATTTCCACTTCTTCCACTCTCAGCTTGTTCCTTCTTCCCATTCTCAACTGTTGCCCATTCAAGCACATACAACTACCACCTGCGAACGATTGTCCTGCTTCAGCCCATCATGTCAATCCCACAACTTCCTTGATCCGATTGTCTTTGAGTGAATGGCAACTCCATGGCGTGTGCACCCCACTACAACACTCGCGTTTCTTGATACTACACTCCCCTGTCACAACCAATCGTAACAGCATTCATTGCAGCAATTACTATTAGCGAGGTCTGTACTCCATTGTCTCAAACAGTATTCACTACCTCCTCTACCACGACCAACCGTAACAGCAGCTGCTATTTCAGACGGCCTTGCAGCCTTTCTACGTGGTATAGAAGCAGCATTATTTACGTGTAGCAGCTTGCTTTGCTACATGTGGATTCCTATGAATGACTCGATATCAACTATCATGTACATCGCAATACAAGCATTTGTTGAGCTGCAAAGAAAGAGATAAATCAACAGCCGGATGGTCAGGGATGTTCTTATTGTATCTGCAATGGCTATGGAGGCAATCAAGCGCAATGATGAGAAATTATTGGAATGTCGCCTTGGTTACTTGGGACGTCGTTAGCAGGAAGGAAGGATCACACCATGTGGATACGGGTAAGGATGATGGTGGATTGGATGGCATTGACAAAAGGTGTTTTGCAGGCATGGATGAAGTCAATGCATGCAGCAGCTATTTTGCAATCATGGAACGACGATACCCACGGATTGGTTTCTGGAATGAGAAAGAAGATAGGAAAGCGAGATTAGATCATCTACATCATTGTATCCAGAAGTTGTCATATTACATTCATTAAAGCTTCCTTGTTCATATGCTCAAAGACGGCAGGCAGTGGCAATAACAGATTGTATACATATTTAAAGAGACGCTTGTACTTGTAAAGATAATAAATCTATTTGTTGCAGTACGTTTGGATCATTGTAATTTCATTACGTTTTAAGAAAGAGTGAGCTCTGATACAATGTGGCACGAGTACATCTTGTATGTATCACCTTATATTAGAACGAACATGGAGACAGGGCTTGTTAACCATACCCTGATTCACTCGAAGTTTTCCATGCGGTCTATCAAAGGCGGATCTTACTATAGGGGCAGGTGCTGTTGGCCCGCCGAGCCCATTGCTCTAATAAAAACCCCACGTTTCATTGTAAAGTTTGGAGATACAGGCACCTTTATGTTTGTAAGTGTGATGCTATATGAGAAGTGGTCTTTGTTTAATGTAAAGTAGCTAGATCCTGACAGACAAAAGATGCAGAGGGTCGTGTTGTGTAACACAGCTACGTTTGCATGAATGGAAGGGTCAATGTATAGTTACTTTATGGATCATCTAGGAACAGGCATGTATTGCTAGCTAACGGCCACTTTTATCCAATCATCATTGTTGCGAGATCCACTGCATGGGAACGATGCCCCTGCTCCAGACATTCATTTCCATAATTAAAGTAGGTTGATCCGAGCTGATTTGACTGAGCTACGGTCAAAGAGAGATTACATCACTCTGGACATAAAGCACGCTCGATGTAGCTCAACCGATGTAATCTTGTGTGAGCGTAACTCAACCAAATCAGCTCGGATCAACTTACTTTAATCATGGAAATGAATGTCTAGAGCAGGAGTATCGTCCACCTACAATAGAATGCACAAAAGTTGGGAATGCACAAAAGTGGCTATTAGCTGCCAATGTATGACATAAAAGTGAGGGTTGCGTACCTTTCTTGCATTGTCCCTGAAGTCCTGACTTTTTAGCTGAGTTACCCAAAGAGGTCCTTCTGCATCTTTTGCTCTGCCAGGGTCCACCTACTTGACAATGAACAAAGACCACTCTTCATATAGCATCATGCTTACAAACATAAAGGTGCCCGTATCTCCAAACTTTACAATGAAACGTGGGGTTTTTATTAGAGCAATGTTCTCGGCTTGGCCAACAGCACCTTGTGTGAAAGTTTCACGATCAAGCTTGCCAATCCCAGAATTCGCAATGTCGCTACCAGCCAAACTGGATCTGGGGGCGACCTGTTCGACGACGACGACCAAAAAATATTTTTTGGGCTGTTTGCGACATTGAACGCGAAACTTTCACACAAGGTGCTGTTGGCCAAGCCGAGCACATTGTTCTAATAAAAACCCCACGTTTCATTGTAAAGTTTGGAGATACAGGCGTCTTTATGTTTTACCTATGCTGTAAGCGTGATGGAGTTGCTTTTTCCTAGTGGATGGTGTCGGCTGCATTAACGGAAAGATGAAGAGCTGAGTGAAACCGCACGTGGTGGTTACACAAACGCGTCCTTGACAGGTTGCTACACAAATGGATGATGATGATGATGATTGCCTTTTGTGAAGGTACGTAACTAAAACAGCATCCAACCATGAAGGTGTGTCAAGGTATGTATCACATTTGCATGTAGGAGAAGGTCGAGCTGCACAAACCAATTTGTATATGTAAAAAGATACGTATACATATTGAATGGGTCACTCATCCTGAAACTCAATGGAGGGATCTCTTCACTTTTTCTCTTCTCAAGCTCATCCCACTTCCCACTCCTCCTTATTGTATCACAAAAGCCATGTACTTCTTGCATGACCGAGAACCGGACCACCTTTATTATTCCATCTTTGAAGCAATAGTATGTAATCCACAAGCTAGCAACCTCCAACAAGCGTGTAATGCTTTATTTCATCTAACTATCTTGCTACTGTGCATTGCCACCACCATCGTCGTAGTCGTCCTCCGTCATCATTCGTACTCGTACTCGTCACCAGTCGTCAATCTCATCCGTCACACCAACATCCAAAAATACACAAGTTGAAAAGAATGGGGTCCTGCAGGCTTCCTTTTGAATCTCGTTGTCGTCATCATTGTCATTGTTGTGAATGTGGTAATCATCGTAATCGTCGTCTCTATAAATAAGAAAGCAGGCAATTTAGACCATCTGATACTGGAATGATGACGATTTGGTATACCGTTAGGCGATCCTCTCAAGGAAGAAAGCAAATTAGAAGGAATCCACAAACCAAATCACCGCCATACGAGCAACGTCGGGCGATCCCTTGTTCTTGAGAAAGCACTGCACGAATCACGCAAGGCCAGTTCGATCCATGGCAAGGAAGGACATCACTTACGTAGAGTCCAGGCTCATCGTTATCCTCATTCATCCTCTCCAAAGAAAGAATGCTCCCCAATCCAATCCTTCCAATCATTTTCCCACCTCATGAAAAGAAATCCTCAAGGGAAAGAACGAGCCTATCACGAGAAGAGCGTGTTGGTTAAACACATTCACAAGCTGTTGCAAATCCCCTTTTACCTAGACACAGTGACCATGCTCTTCCAAAGATCCATCGTGGTCGACCCATCCTCAACTCAAACGCAGGCCTATAGAGCCCTGGACGCGTTCCAAGAAGCTTTTCCAGCACACTTGGCTAGTGCAGAGCGACGCAGCGGCCACTTGATACAGGCTGGGACTTGAACCCAAAGAGATGACGATGATGCCCCAAGTTGCATTGCCTGACCAAAGAAACCTACTCAATTCATTATTAGCACACATATACAATAAACGCCCTTTTTCGTTGTTTGCTTCATTGCACTTGCCTTTTCCATAAACACAAGAACCCCTTTGTTGTTGGTTACTGGAAACCGAAAACCATGGTGTAGTGTTGTTGAGCCGAAACAGAACGCCAAACCAGCCAACGTCTTGAAACCAAACTTGCCCCCTATATAAGCTAACACGTCAATGGGACCAGTTCGGCTGCAACATTGGACTCTCAATGTACCTGTTGACACCAAGCGTAGAGCGGGAATAGCAACGAACAAGAGGAAGCAACGATATCCCCATGGCAACCACCAACCACCAACCACGCTCATTCCTCAGCACTTGGACACACTCACTCCCTGACAATGCATGTTCAGATCTACATTAACATCTCACAGCCAACAAGAGCACTCTTTGATAATACATTACCTTGATCGAGATGTCGTGAATGGAATAAGGAAAGGTGGGAGAAAAAGAAGAGAGGGTCTCAAGTCGTGGAGCTGCTGTCCCAAGTTTAAATCCCCCTACTGCTATTACACTGAGGCCACTCAATAACCCCACACACACACGATAGACAATAGGTACACGTAAATAAAAGAAATGATCCTCACGTATAGCAAAAGGGTGTGTGCCATTTTACACTTATATGATAATGATGATCCAACAACAGCTATTACCTTTACTACCAGCTTAGCTCCAACAAGAAAGTTGAAGGATGGGGATGATGGGCTGGAGCAGGAGAATCGTTCGTATGCATTGGATTGGACAACAAAGGTGAATGGAAGGAATGGGCTATTAGTTGGCAGTTTACAAATAACTTTGCAAAATGACTTTGTGAAATTGGATGATGTTTTGTGTTTGAGCGTAACTCAACCAAATCCTCTCGGATCAGGAAAGTTGAAGGATGGGCATGCTGGGCTGGAGCAGGACAATCGTTCAATGTCATAAAATGAACAATAGTGCCAACCTTGAGGAAAAGGCTGTTAGATCGCAATTTATGGACTATCTATGCCATAGCAACGACCATGTTTAAATGAGACAATGAGATAATCAGAGGAACAATGTGACACCAAACGGTCTTCGGGAAGTCAAAGTGGACCTACTCGTGTCTTCGGAAATGAAAAGTAGCTGTGCACAGACCACATACTCTTGTTTCAGCTCCTGGATGATGCACATACCCAAAAGTTACATGTCTACAATGCTTTAAACCGTTTGCTACTATCCATGGCAACGACCATCACGTGCTGTAAAATTGGCTGGGCAGTAAAGAGTGTGACCGTGTTTACACACGTCTCATAACAGCAGCGTTGCGCAGCCATGGCAACGGTTGATCTCAACCAAAACCAACTCGCTTTCCCTTGATCAAGACCGTTCATGGCCATTGTCAATGTTGACCACTTGTGGGAGGTGTAAAGAGGTAAGTTGGAGTGAAGGATCGTTACAACTACATTGTTTCACTTGGTAGCATTGGATGGCAATAGGGTGCTCTTTATTTTGGGACCTGTTTACAATTGGCATCTCAAGAGGTATGTTGGACTTGTTCTATTATGGCAATCTCTCACTCATTGTCTACTTTAGACTACACGACCATTGACTGGGAAAAGTTGGCTATGGGGATTGCATGTTATTGAATCTTCCACCTTTTGGCTTCGTATTGTTCCAAGGACACTCCCTCGCCCCAGTATCGTTCTGGTATCCCCCCAGCGGCAAGATGCACGTATGGCTATGGCTTCACGCAGTAGGTGCGGCGCATATGATCGCAAGTGGTCTTTTGGCCTATTCGAGATCGTCAACAAGCTTGGTCCAACTGGGAAGCGTGAGACTGGATCATCGAAGGGGAAACGGATTCGTGTCGGTTCAATCGGGTCATAGGGTGGGGCCCATAAGGACAATCAATGTGTATCTTCTCCTGGCCAAACAAGCGACTTTTCCTCAGCTTGTCAAAGGAAGCTATCCTTGTGGTTCTCTTGCACCCAGAGCTCTCTCACGTTATGCTTGGTGGATGAGGGGTACGTTTGGCATTCTTGTTCTCTGCACTGGTGTTTCATCTCCCCCCGCTTGAGGTGCCATCGGTTCCATGTCCTGTGGTTGCATGTGGGATTTGTAGTCAACCACCTTTCCTTGTGGAGGGTGCCAGGGACTTTTGTCCTGCTCTTCGGCTTTAACCTACTTGCTGTGCAAAGCCTTCAAAGGGGTTGCCGCGATGACCACTTCAAGAGGGACCTCAATGGCACTAGCCTGCCAACTCTTGGTACAATCCATTTGTTAGGCAATGTGGAGAAGAGGATGTGTAATGGAGCTCCTGACACAAAAGGGTGATCATCGCCCAAGGGGGCCACAGGATTTCTTTCTTTGGTACATACAAGCCGTCAAGTCATTGGATGGTGTCCTTATCCTTGGTGTGATGGCGATTACAAGAAGATGCAGACGATAACGACCATGATGGACAAGTAGCTAGAGTCATTGTTGAATCCACTTGCACTTAGCTAGCGTATTCCCTTGTTGCTTGTAAATGGTAGGGTAGATGGAATAGATTCGTTCCGTTATCGGTCTTGCATGTACGAAGTATACGTCTTTTGACCATGATCCTCCATTGAGTTTCAGGATGAGTGACCAATCAATATATCTTGCTGTGGGCAAAAAGAGTAGCATAAGGCCATATGCAACGTCGAGCCATTATTGCCAAACATGTGTGTGCTTTGCTGCATAAATTGGATGATGGTTTACTTTTAGGTTATGTCCTCTTGTCATCAATCCCATTACCACTGCTTATTGTTCTATGACCATGCAGTCCAAATCTCACCCCTTTAGTATTATTTACACGTACACACAGTATGCAACAAAGCATCATCCATCAGCTATGTTGTTATTATACATGATTAATCTACCTACTACTCTGTTCCTGTAATCTTGCCAAATACTCAATTGATACGCCTATCAACGAGCTCTTCCTGTTATCGTATCCTTAACACAAACAAACGACTACCTACATGAATCTTTTGTCGTTTTTAATCAATACATAATGTATGCTTTGACTATGGTCAGATATGACAAAAAAAAGTGGATCAAAAGAATCAAGAACGAGATCACGTGACCTACGCGAAAAAAGAAAAAACAAAGCTCTAAGAGAGCGATTGAATCCTTCGAATGCCGTGACCTGGAATCGAACCAGGGTCAGTGCGGCCACAACGCAATGTACTGCCACTATACTATCACGGCTTCTTTTCCTCTTGTTATTAATTATGTTCACGCGCGATGATAAAGCCTCGATTACCCGATTTGGAAGGTGCGAATTGACGCTTCGTTTTACCACCATTCGATAGAGAATCTAATAACAAGTTCATTCGTACCTTCAAATGCATCATTGGCAAGGTCATTCATGTGTAATTTCAATAAGAAGTGAAAAAAGGTGATATTGTTTGAAGCTCAGACTGGATTTTTTAGCACTTGCAAATGTTGAGACGAAATGGTTGACAGCGCCAGCAGGTTGGTTTGAACTCCAGAGTAGAGCAATACGCTTTAATGAGTCATCATTGACATATACCTTCGAGGGGATGTAAATGTCATGCATAACGAGGGGAATTTTGATATGGCTGCGGCGTGTGTTATGTGAAATACAATAATCAAATGGATACAACAATCAATTTTGAAGTCATATTTATAAGCTAATATGCATAAAAGGTGGGATCAACGTAAGGAGGGGGATGGGTTGTTGGCACGTAGTAGTAAACTTTAGACTACGCTCGGTTCTTGATTTTTGGAGGAGTAGGCATTACAGCATTTTCTTTCTTTCTTCCTTTTACACGCACACACACGCAATGCAGTCAAAAGACGAGATCCGACAACGCATTCAGCAATTGACAGGTGCTATTGAAAAGCATCGAAAGGATCAAACGAACAGCCACGTTCGAGGAGGATATAGCGGTGCACAGTATACCAATCGGCCAATGTCGTTTTCACGCACCTGGACCAACAATCACAACCGTGCCAGCACCAACAAATCTGCTATCTTTAATGGCCCCAGGAATGCCCCAGCAACGAGTCGCAATAGTGGTAGTTACAACAAACAGTTGGTGTTGAACAAAGCAGAAGCAAGTCCACGAGCACCTCCTCAACCTACAATACCATCGTCTTCTTCTTCTTCACCACACAAGAAGCTCGTGCTCAACAAGACTACAACGACACCAACAACGTCCACTTTTTCAGCTACAACAACACCACCAGGAGCACCCAAACAGATTGAGATTGGAGGTGTCAAGTTTATGGTCAAAGGCAAAAAGTTGATACGACAAGATCGACTAAAGAATCAACCATTACCGAGTGGAATGGCTGCAGGGTCTCATGTGGTTGTAGTACGTCGTAACAAAAGGTAAACGATGATGGATGGATCATGTGATATAACACTCATAAAATGACATGTATCGGATAGAACACGACCACCGGGGAGCGATCTAGAAGCTGTCAAAAAGATGCGATCAACAACAGCACGTAGTCGTAAAGGCAATATGGTATTTGTACGTGGACCTGAAGGATATGTGCGGCAAGGCCCCAATGGAAAATCACTTGTACTCAAGAGCAAGCGAGTGTCGAGACGATATTGTGGTCATTATACACGTTATGGTATGTATATACAAATGGTTGTTACGACTTTAATGTAATACTTTTTTCTTTAGGCAAATGTCCACAGCAACCACGTTGTCCTTTTATTCATGATCCAAAACGCCGAGCTATTTGCCCTCGATTCCTGCAAAACAAGTGTCCCAAACCAGCCAATCTATGTCGATTATCGCATCAGCCGATGCCCAACATTATCCCACATTGTGTCCATTTTCAACGAGGACGATGCACCAACACCGAATGTATCTTTAGCCACGTACATGTGAGACCTGATGCACCTGTTTGCCGTGCCTTTGCTATGGAAGGATATTGCAGCAAAGGGCTCGAATGTCGTGATAAGCACATTCATGTTTGTCCCGAGTTTGCAGAAACTGGAAAATGCTCAAACGCCAATTGTCGATTACCTCACGTCGCACGAAGGGCTGCTACAGGTGGTAAAGGTACAGCAGGCATCATACGACCGGGCACTTGGGTTAGTGCTTCTTATTGGCATGAACAACGCAAACTTCAAGCAGACAACAATAGCAAACGCAACGCCAATCGGACGCTCTCTAATATACCCCAACCTAGCAACAGCAACAGCAACAGCAGTGATAACAACAACACGATCACACCGCGACCCACACGAGAAGAAGAGGAACAACAAGGATTCGTGCGTCTCTTTGATGACAGTGAAGAAGATGAGGGTTGGTCACAATACCTATCTCAGGATCATGTACAAGAAGAATCCAGCCAACTTCATTTTAGCGACAATGATGAGGACGAGGAAGATGAAGATAGTTCAGAAGAGGATAGTGGTAGTGATATGGATGAAGACCAGGAAGAGGAAGAGGAAGAAGAAGAGGAGGAGGAGGTTGACGAGTATGAGATAGCAGAGGATGATGGGGAGTATGTAGAAGAAGGATAAGTTAGCAAAGTAATAAATGGACCATTTGCACGTGTATAGCTAAGCCTACTTGTTTAAATTGTTACTTGGACACCGCCAAGCATCGTTCTTTTCTGTATTCGGTCATTTCATATCCCTTAGATCAGCCATTTGGCACTAAAAATTCGATATTCATATTAGACTACTAGTGAATCCACACTACTCTTTTTTACCTCTCTTTATTCATTTTACCTGTTCTGGATGTTTATAGACGCACTGCTGATTTGTGTGCTTTTTCTTACAAAATGGATTGTATGCGATGATACAACGAGTACTCCTCCGGTCAATCATCTTGTTGCCTTTGGAGATTCATATACGGGTAATAGCTCTATTATGTTTTATCCTTTCATGTCACAACTCAAACCACCTTAAAGCCGACAAGGGCGACGAGTGCAATGGACCAAAGTGGATAAGACAATTGGCTTGGGATAATATTACAATTGACAATCATGCTGTTGGAGGAGCCTATTGCGTAGACACCAACAATACACATAGTCCTAGTGTGAATCAGCAAACTATGCATTACATCAATTCGATGCCTGACGATGATCCAGCAACGACCATCTACGTCATCTTTGTTGGTATTAACGATATGGTGGGCCATGTGCGTAAGTGATAGGAGGATGCACGTATACTTACAACAATAAGCATGTAGAATGATGCTAACCTTTTGTGGCACACTAGATCCGACCGATGTGCTTCGTTGCATCAGTAATCAAATTGATCGACTTCACCAAACAGTGGATGCCAACCGATTTCTTGTATTCAACATGGTCCCATTTGATAAAAGTCCTCGAGAGACAGGAGAACAAGCCATGGCACAAACGTGGATTGAACACTTTAACCAGCAACTGAATACAACCATTACCGAGAAAAGTGCTCAGTACAAGGATACGCAAATGGTCTTGATTGACACCCATACAATAATATCACAAGTGTTGGATAACCCTGAAAGCTATGGGATCACTCAAGGAACGACTGATTACTACGCCCGCACGCATAACCCTCGTCAAGACAATGACATGTTGGATAATGGGAATGTGTATTTTTGGTTTGACAAGGCTCACATGACCAATGTTGTCCATGCACAACTTTCTAAATCCATTGTTGAGCAAAATCCTTTCCCAAGCATGAATTTAATGAGCACAGGGGGTTCATCCACAAGCTATAAGATATCACCGGTGTATTTTGTAATAGTAATCATGATTGCATTATGTATACTTTATTGTTGAATAAAAAGAGAAGAAGAGGAAAAGGATGTTGTGCATGATGATGCTTATCTAGAGTGTGCGTGCACATGGCAGGTGTGACAAGACCACTATCGATTGGCCAATATCGTTTTGCTTCCCAGCAGCACACAACGACACATGCTTCACCCCCAGTTGGTGGGGTCGTCGGCTTCTTGCTTCTTGCAACTCTACTCACTCTCTCCCGCAATGCCATTTGGACTCGGTCATGAATTCGTTATTCTTGTCTCCAGGAGTGCACTATGGTCTTTTTTCGTCGACATTAAGCTTCAGGATGAGCACAATATACCCACTGAAGGACCCATGATTGTGTAAGCAAACTCAAAAAAGGACCACTCCAACAACGCAATTGACATGTCACAGTGCAGCGACCCATCACAATATGATTGTCGATCCAGCCGTACTTTCGGTGACCTTTCCAGACCATCGACGCTTCCACTATTGGGCCAAAGATAGCATGTTTAAGCATCCTCTCGCCAAACGCTTTCTCGAGAATTGTGGGGTTGTCCCAGTCGACCGCAAGACTAGAAACAATGCTCAACTCTATGCTGCTACATACGATGTCATGCGTCTTGGTGAATCCGTCGCTGTATTTCCAGAAGGCACAAGTCATACTTTACCACATCTTGGAACATTCAAAGATGGTACAAGCTTTGTAAGTATACTGCACGCCTAGTTTATGCAATAGACTCATGATAGCATTAGGCTGCACTCGAATATGCCAAAGTGATTGAGGAGGATCCCCACCCTAATGCCGATGGTTCTCTTCCACGAAAAGCTGTAATTCTTCCTGTTGGTATCGTTTATCCCGAGAAATCAAAGTATCGCAGCGTTGCCATCGTCAAGTAAGTAAAGGCTTATGGGTTTACTCCACCCCAACCACGTCGATTGACGTCATTTATGATAGATACGGCAAGCCATTGCACGTGGATCCTTATATGGATACCTATTATCAAGATCCCAAAAAGGCAGCAAAGCAACTCACAGCCGATTTACGTTCTGCAATTGAAGGGCTTACGGTGAATGCTCCTGATTGGGAGAGTCGAGATGCAGCAGAGATGGCTCGATGGTTGTTATTTCCTGGAGAAAATGGGTCGATGCGCGATTATATTTCCGTTACTCAAAGGTTGGTTTTGTCATGATCACTACGACTGCTACTACTACATTGTACTGATAACGCATGATCATTTGCTATAGTCTTATTGGAGCCTTTGCTGACCTTTCGACATCGGATCCAGACATTGCATTGTTGGAGCAAAGTTTGCGTGCATACAAGATGGAATTGGAAGCTTTGTCTCTAAAGGATTCTCATATTGCAAAGTACAATGAGCGGGATATCACAGCAGCATCTACTACGATGGAATTACTTCGGCGTACCATGGCATCGATGATTGATCTACCTCTCTTTCTACCAGGCTTGGTGGGTCATTTACCGTTGTATGTGGCAGGTTACTATGCAGGAAAGTTTGAGATCTATGAGGAAGTCAGGGCACAAAACAAGATCTTTCTCGGCTTGTTAATGGTTCCCTTTGTCTACATTTTGGCCTTCATTTGGGGATGGTACACGCTCTTTGGAGGAACATTCTTTGGATTCTTTGCTGCATTGGCTACCTTGGGCGTCTTTGTATGGTATCACGTGGTATCCATCGATGAACGATATGAGAATTTCAAGGATCTCGTTGGACGCTGGCGTCTTTTTGATGCGGTTGTACTTGGACGTGGCATGTGGCGAAGAAAGGATCGTATTCTACAACTTAAGCAATTACGTGATTCCAACCTGCAAGGGGTTCGACGCATGGTGAAAGCTTACAAGGGTAAAAATGATCATGTACACGCAGTTTGGTTAGCCATTCGTTCTCGTGTTAAGCAATTTGGTGATCCTGCAAAGTTACATGGTAGACGAAAAAAGCTAGCAAAGCAGTTTGAGTGGTCATTTGAAGAATAATAAAAAGAGATGTTCTAAATGAAATGAATGAATGAATGATATCATACCCAGTATCCCGGGTTACCGGAGTAGCCATGGAAACTCATTTGGTAGTATATAAATCTTTCCTGATGCAGCTAATGCTTTCACCTCAGCAACACCATGTTGAAAAAGCTTTATTCTTGGATATTCCCACCACCCCTCACGCCTGAAGAACTGGCCCAAGTTGAGCAACAAGTTGAAGATCTCATCAAGAATAACAATGTGGTTGTCTTTTCAAAGACGTATTGTCGTATGTCAATTCGCGTTTATTGATTCCAGCAACTTGGATCGACGTGTCTCATTCCTTTTTCAGCGTTCTGCAATAGTGCTAAAGGGCTCTTGAAAAGTCAAAACGTTGAATTTACTGTGGTAGAGCTTGACCGTGAAAGTAAGTTGATAATACCATTCAATCATCATGTCATCTCAACGCCATCATCGCTCCATAGCCCACGGTTCTGCCATGCAAGATTACCTTGAGAGACGCAGCGGCCAACGCACCGTACCCAACATCTTCATCAAGCAACAGCATCTTGGTGGTTGTGATGATCTTAAAGCAGCCGATAGGGATGGTCGATTACAGAAAATGTTGGCAGCTTAAAGTGTTAATGTTATTAAGGATGATTCATTGAGTAGTATGATGAGGAAATAAAACACCCCTTGGTGCATTGTGTTTAAAGTGAATGGATGGTGTGGGGGATCTTTATTAGATGACGTAAAGCGAATGATACGAGTGGATAGCAGCTTGACATTGATGCAATGCAAAGGAATAATTATATGCAGGATTTGCCACACTTTTTGTGCATAAGGTGTCATGTGCAGGCAAGAGCTATACCGGATAGAATCACGAGCCGATGATTTGTATATGTGCCAAGTCAACCCCGAATGCTAAGCCTGGATAGGGTGAGTTATAGTATACTCCTCTTTTAGCTTTCTCTCTCTCTCTCTCTCTCTTTCTTCCACTTCCGCCCTTGGACAATAACGACCACACACAGTAATGGAATACGGATCGTATGACAATACCTCCTATCCACCACCACCACCCGCCAATGGTCGTCGCCCCGAATACGTGCATCGCAACAGCAGCACTGGAAGGTCACAGGTAAACGAATGGAGGAGGTGTGCCTGTAGTGTGTGGCCCCTGCGGCGCTTACATGAAACAACTTGTCTCTAATGTGGGGTTATTGTGTCAGAATGGCGAGATTGAACAAGTGGTGACCAAGCTCTTACGAACCACCAAGGCATTGTTGGAAGCATTGACACACTGGTCTCAATTACGAGCGACTACTGCGGATATCCTTGATTTTCGGGAGACTTTGGAACGACAATTCCATTCAGTATCACAAGCCTTTGAAGACAATGGAGTGCCCATGAAGTAAGTAGGGAATGATGATAAGGATATAGTGTCATGTTGTTATTGACAAAGCAATGAATAGTGATCTTGCATGGATACCTCATCAACTAAAGGACTCGATATCGGTTGCTATGAATGAGGAGCCATCCCCTACTACATTGGAGCAGCATTTGCCAAAGATTCGAGATGTGATTGTTCACTTGTTACATGGATTGAAGGGGAAGCAACATCAATTACGGGAACGGGAAACAGCTGCTTGGTCACGAGATTCAATGCGATCTACCGATTCTTGGCGTCGAGAAGTACCACAAGCTGCACTTGCTCGTGGGGCAAACCTTGCACAGTCTCCTACACGACCTTATTATCCAGCAGATCGTTCACCACCTCCATCCGCTGCTCGTATTACACCATCGGATTATGATCCTCGTACAAGTGGAATGCCACGCCCATCCGTTTCTTCAGACAGCAGCTCAACGAGTAGAATGAATTATCCACCACCCCAAAATCGACCTTATTCGCCTACTTATTTACCATCTTCACCACGTCAACAACAACCACGTATACCTTCACCTTCTCGTTCTACATCTTCGTCAGTCGCTGGTGATGATCGAATGGGTACAGGTCTTGGTCGGCCCAATAGCACATCATCTTCATCACGTGGTTACTTTGATACTCGACCAGCATCACCTATAGCACATCCACCTCCACCTCCACCACCTCCACCACCACCCATGTCATCGCCTGCAGCTGTGCCAGCACGTACCTCTCCAAGTGATTTTGATGAAAATGATCCTGGCACTGCTAGTGCACTTGCAGCTCTTAAACGACAAGAGAATCTCGCTCGTCGATCTTCAGTACGTCGTGCATCCATGTTGCGTGGCAACAATGATTATCATCCTATGAAACGACCTGCCAACGAATATGTTCCACCCGTGCCTTCACTTCCTACTCCTGACACACGCAAATTGGGTACTGTGGATGAAATGCAAAATGACAATGCTGTAACAACAACAACAGCACCACAAGCTACAAAGGACGAAGGTGAAAAAGGTATGCCATTTATACATAATCTAATTCAAGGAGGGGTGCTAATGAGCATATATACAATAGGTCTCAGCCTTTATTTGCAGATTGGCAACAATACCAAAAAGGTGCAATATACAGGCGAAGTCAGCTTGTCAGCATTGCGTATGCTCTTTATTGAAAAGTTCAATTACTCTTCCGGCCTCAATGATTTTCCCAGCATTTACATCCGCGACCCTGCCATCAACGTGTCATATGAGCTTGAGAATCTTCAAGAAGTAACCAACAAGTCGGTGCTTTCTCTCAATGTGGATGGTATGGTTATTTGAGATTACTTCATGAATTGCACGTGATGCTCACATACTTTGATGATAGAGGACGTGGCACAGAAGCAGTGGTTGCAACAAGTGACTGATTCGGTTGAAAAGGAGATGGGCGAGATCCGAAAATTGTTTATTGAACACGTGGATGAAATCAAAAAGCAAGTTGCTCAAGTCGCTGACAATCAACAAGCTGCCGTACCTCCACCACCACCTCCACCACCTCCACCTGCACCAGCACAGGCTCCAGAACCAGAGTCATCATCGACAACGGCAGATGTTCCTGAACCTACGACTACAACATCATCAAGTAATGAAGAGAATACAACCATTTCTACACAACAACTTCAATCACAATTGAAGGAAATTGAAACGCTGAGACGAGACATGGCCGTATTACGACAATTAGAGCGTGAGATGCGTGAAAGCACGGATGGAGTGGTGCAAGAATTGAAAGACAAAGCTGAAGAGTTGAGGAAACAAGATGAAGAGAGCAAAGACAAGCAAACAGCACGAGCAGCAGCACGATTGTTTATTGAAGAAGGCAAAGAAAAGGTGCTTGCCGATTCAGACAAGATCACAGCACGCCTTGAGGACTTGCAGGATACAGTGGATCAGCTCAAGTTGGATGTGACACAACGTAAATGTCGTCCTTCGGATGCCCAAATGGCTCATTGCAATAAGGAGCGGGATATGGTCTCCAAGGAAATTGAGGAATTCGGCGAGTATCTTGTCAGCGTCAAACCACGATGGAAGAAGACATGGGAAATGGAGCTTCAAACCATTGTCAAGGAGCAACAAATGCTCAAGGAACAGGAAGGCTTGTTACTCGACATGCGAGATGATTTGGCTGCTTTGGTGGAAGTCTATGATCAACTTGAGAAGATTTGTGCTTACCAGAAAAAGGCCAAGCCTGTCATGCGTGAATTCCATGTGGCCCCTGCTGAAGAAGGTTTCGAAGGAATGAGCAGTGTCCTCAAGCAAGTTCAAACCATTGATGTCGATCATGATCGTCGACTCAAGGCTCTCAATCAAGCTGAAAAGATGCGACAACGTGAACTTGACAACCGCATTGACGAATTTGAACAAGAGCTATCCACCTTTGTCGATTCCAAAAAGCTGAAAAAGACGGGCGGTGCAGAGGAAATTGAACGACAACGAAAACAGAAGGATCAGGAAATGTTACGTCGCATGTACATGGAACAACGTGAGAACAAACAACCACAACCCAATGATGATGATGACAATGAGAATTCGCAGCAACAAGAACCTGAAGAAGATCAGCAGCAGCAATCAAAAGAAAATGAAGAAGAACCAGCAGATGAAGATCAGCAATAGCAGCTATTATATACATATCATTACTATCACAACAAACATATGAACATTGCATACATACACATACAGACATATTTGGATTACTAAAGATAAGGGAATGAGAGATAATGGGTTGGGGTGATGATCAAAGTTTTCATTCTCGTTACACGCATTGAAAGTTTTTCACGGCCCGGTTGGTTGTTACACATGGGGGTTTTAGGAGAAAATCAAGGAACGCCGCTTGATTGGTTTCATTGTCTTTCCGAATACGTGTCAAAACAATCGCCACAATTCAAGGTTCCCAACCGGTTTATCCAAAATGAACAAAGAGAAATGAATTGGATTGGAGGGTAAGTGTTTGGAGAAAAGGGAGGTTGTTGCAAGCTACTCATTCATATTCATCAACGCTAGTTAGTCATCTGACAGCTCTTGTACATCATGTGAAAGGGCCGTAAACATCCGAATATTTTAAATAGGCACACTTTCTCCTGTTTTCGCCTTTTTTTATCTTTATCCTTATCTTTAAAAAGTGTGACAATCATGTTGGTTTCTGGGAGAGTACTCAAGGTATGTGTCTTGTAAATCATCTCGATCTTTCTTGTAATTGACAACGTACATCCATCATCGTCATTTAGTCTTGGTGTCGTCAACAGCAACGTGTGTTTGTACGCCACTATGCACGTGTGGAAAGTGTGCGATTGTCAAAATTTGAAGACCAACGACTCGATTATCAGCGATTGACTGAAAATTTGGAACGTGTTCGCAAGTATGTATCTATTGACGTTGATGATGATGATGGTGTCATGCTGACCTTCAAAATCATATAGAACATACGACAAATCATCCCATCTGACACTTGCGGAGAAAATTCTCTATGCGCATTTGCCGACACAACGCCACTCAAAGCGAGAGGATCAAGAAGATGGACTCCCAGGAACAACAATGACACAGCAACAGGGTGGTGATTCATATCTGCATGTGGATGTAGATCGGGTAGCCTGTAATGATGCAGCCGCTCAAATGGCATTATTGCAGCTGATGGCAGCAGGATTGGGAAGAACCAAGGTGCCGACAACAGTGCATTGTGATCATCTTATCGAAGCACAACATAACGCCAGCAGGGATTTGGGTCCTGCTGAGGGATTACACAAGGAGGTATACGAATTCTTGGCAGCAGCATCAGCCAAACATGGTATTGGATTCTGGAAACCTGGGTCGGGTATCATGCATCAACTCGTACTTGAGCATTACGCATTCCCTGGTGGTTTACTTTTGGGCACGGATGGGCATACACCTCATGCTGGTGGTCTTGGTATGCTTGGCTTTGCAGCGGGTGGTGCAGATGCAGTACATGTCATGGCTGGTGATCCATATGAACTTAAACAACCTCGTGTCATTGGTGTACGATTGGAAGGTCAATTATCAGGATGGGCATCCCCAAAAGGTACGTCATTGTTTATTGTGTACGCGTGTGGGTTTGTTTGCACGTATGCATTATAAATACTCACGCTTATTTTTTCCCATGCCCCTTGCAGATATCATCCTTACCGTAGCGGGTCATCTCAAAGGCAAAGGTGCTGAAGGTGCAATTCTTGAATACCATGGCCCAGCAGCAGATACATTATCATGCTCAGGGATGGCAACCGTGTGCAACATGGGAGGCGAGGTAATTGGTCACGTGGGAGGAGTTGATGAGATGGGTGTTTTTTAATGCTTATCATCATCTTAGATTGGTGCCGCCTCCTCCTTGTTTCCATTCAGCCAACGTATGCATGACTATCTTTGTGCAACCAATCGTCATGATGTTGCCTATGCTGCTCAATCGGTGGCAGACACTTTTCTACGACCTGATGAGGATGCCAAGTATGATGATGTGATTGAGATCCACCTTGATCGTTTGGAGCCCCATATCAATGGTCCATTTACTCCGGATTTGACAACGCCTGTTGCCGATTTTAAAAACAAGCTCAGTCACGAGGATTGGCCACAAGCTCTTAGTGCCGCACTCATTGGCTCATGCTCAAATGGATCTTATCAAGACATGAATCGTGCTGCACACATTGCACGTCAAGCAGCTGAAAGAGGTCTCAAGGTCAAGGTGCCATTCCTAGTGTCTCCTGGTTCCGAACAAGTACGAGCTACGCTTGAACGTGATGGCCATCTCGATTTATTCGATCAAGTGGGTGGTTCATTACTTGCCAATGCTTGTGGCCCATGTGCAGGTCAATGGGATAGGAGTGCTACTAGCAAAGACAAGAAACAAGATACCTATGATGCTCCATGGAACTCAATTATCTCCTCCTACAATCGCAATTTCCGTGGCATCAATGATGGCAATCCCAATACCCATGCATTTATCGCATCACCCGAGGTATATATATGACGACTCTAGCTATCCATATACATGCTAAATGATATGATAGATTGTGATGGCAATGGCATTTGCAGGCAAATTGACATTCAATCCTATGAGAGATCGCATTGTCGGTGTGGATGGCATACCTTTCAAATTCCAACCTCCTAGTATGGATCAAGCTAGTGATGATGACCTTCCACAAAAGGGCGATTATTGCAATGGCGATGATCATCGATACTACCAACCACCTACTGATGATGGCGCAGCAGCCTTATTGGACGTACATGTGCATCCACAATCACAACGACTTCAGCTGTTGGAACCATTTGCTGCTTGGGATCAGAAAGATATCGAGCAAGTACCCATTTTGATCAAGGTACAAGGCCAATGCACAGCTGAGCACATTTCCATGGCGGGTCCATGGCTAAAGTATCGGGGGCATTTGGACAATATTGCAAACAACCTTTTGATCGGTGCAAGGAATGCTGAAAATGGTGAAATCAACCGAGTACGGAACCTTGTCACGGGCAAATACGCGAGTGTTCCCGAAACGGCACGCGATTACAAAGCTAGAGGGATCCGATGGGTTGTGGTGGCTGACGAGCACTATGGTGAGGGATCATCTTCACAAGAACATGCGGCAATGGAACCACGCTACTTGAATGGTGTTGCCGTGATTGCCAAGGTACGTATCATACACGTCATGCTGCTCATGGGGTGTGGTGGTGGTGGTGGGCGAAAGAGGGTGATGCACATAGACACAAAATTGTTTGTGCGTGTGTATGCTGTGTGACATTTGCTGATGATGTTGTTATATATGGATTAGTCCTTTGCTCGTATCCACGAAACCAATCTCAAACGACAAGGCATGCTTCCTCTCACATTTGCCAACCCTGAAGATTACAACAAGGTGGATCCATCCGATCTAGTCAGCATTGTCGGCCTTTCAGACAACAGCATGCAACTCACTTTGGTGCTGCACAAGGAGCGGGGAGACACAGTTGAGGTGCCTCTATCACACACATTTAGCAAAGGTAAGATTTTCTCGCTTATCACAGGGTTGATGGGTTTCTTTTTTCCCTTGGTTTCTATCCATATCATCATACTTTATATTTTGGGGAAGGGATAAGCATGATGAGAAAATGCTGACATATGTTATAGATCAGCTGGAATGGTTCAAGGCAGGCTCGGCATTAAATGCCTTACGAGAAACACGTGTATAAAGCACGCAGTAGTGTACAAAGAATCCAAGTACTGTTACATAATAATATCTGTACCATATGGTTGAGAAAAGGAAACGATAGCTCTATGTGATATGGGTTTTATGGCTGATGCATCATTGTGTCTTTGGGCTGTGGGTCATGGGGATGAGTTAATGTGGTAGATTGGTGAGCGAAAAGGAAAGAAAAAACTCCCGTCTCCATTTTTTCTCTTTAGCACCACACACGACAAGTGATACAGAACAAGGACCCGCCAAAATTCTCCTCAATGTAAATCATCATCATCCACCGCTTTAGAGAGTCGAGGCATGTGATGCACGTTGAATCACGGGCACCACCAAAGTAAACCTTGTGTTCAAAGTAAAGCATAGAAAAAGAGTTACAGTGTCGAGTGATCGCCATTCGATATCGAACCAAAAAGCCATGCTTTTCCCGCTCTCTCTCGTCTGTCCTCTCATCCGCGTGTACAAAAGATCATGGGACAATGGTATTGGGCTTGAAGCAATGCTGTGTAACTGGGGTTCGTGCTCTTGGCTCATTCACATCACTCATTATCAGAAATTTTTACACCACATTGACGACACTGATTGAGTGCACAGCAATCGATAATAAGGATGACACAACAACGGAAGCCTACCCGAGGGGCTATAGAGAGCATCTATCATTAGCCTTCTTCCTTAACCCAATGTGACCCTTTAGTCACTCTTTTTTGTGTGCCGGGCTTATCCGATATTGCTGTTTGCTTGTTTTCTTCGTGTGTTTAGTTGTGGGGTGAAAGAATAGGAGGGCCGTGCACGACCAGTGCTTTGTAAACAAACACTCCAAAGCGCTCAGGCCATTTTATTGCCATCACCGCAAGCTATCACCACATCACCACTACATTTGCATCATCATGATTTGCCCAATGCTGCTTGCTATTTTACGCATTAGCTACGCTGGTTAGACCAGTGACAAAAAGGGAACTCTAAATAGGGTGTAACGCGATCATGGGGCCTGTTGTTTCCCTTTCCCTGTTCTTTTTTGCTTCCTCCCTTACACTGGCGCATCCGTTTTGGCATGCAACCTGATTTAGAATCAACGTGTCGTGGGTGGGTGGTTTGGGGGGAGGTGAACAATGAACCAACAGCCAACGATACCAGGCACATTGTACATGCACACAAGCGGTATTGAGCTCATTTTGTTATCAATGCAGAGTCGTATTCTCTTATGAAAATTGCTTTCAGCTCATCGTTGCTCCCATGACTATCCAAACCTTATTTCTTTCAAGCGACTCGTGATACAGGTTACGCGGGTCCATCAAGCGCGTTATACCATCCGTTGTGTTGTTCCCCCCACTTTATTGCTACCACCACCACCATCATCATCACCACCCTGTCGATACAGGTGACAAAAAGCCGTGTGCATTCTCATGAAAAGGAATGATGTGCTACATCCACTGTTGTCTCAATCTACTTATATAGTCCCCTTTTTCTTTTTCTTGTGCTCTCTCTTTTTTCTTTACAACCGCTTTTCTCATATCCAACCTTATAATAATCTCACATTTTAACTACTATGGTGGCCAACATTGACATGTCTCTCCTCCATTTCACCAACAGTGCCAATGCTGAGGGTATGGTTGACACGTCTAAGGTATGCAGTGGCCGAGGCAAGAGCTACTGCTTGATCCACAGGCGTTACTTTGAGACAAGCTGGTGCCCGGATTGCAGCCGTGCTACTGGTAGGCTTCTTTAAAAACGACCACGCATGTACTCTATCGCACATGTTGCTCACCAATGTCTCTTTGATCATTAGTGCTCGGTCGCTAAAACGCGCAAAGGTTACTCACTGTGCCTTTTTTCTTCTTCTAAACGTGCGCACATCACCTACCCGACAAGAACAACAAAACACCTAAAAAAACTTCATGTCATAGCAAAAAAAGAAAACGAATCCGAAAAGTACATTATACCAAACACCCACTCTCACACACACAAAGCATTCTTTCATTGTCACCTTCCTTACTCCTTCCTCGACAACAAAACCATAAGACCAGAGATCTCTCATGCAGAAAAAAAAACCACCACCCGCCATGCCACATACCAAAAATGTATACTGTATCCTGACCCCCTTCAATGTTTGTAATTTATAATCCATCTATGATGATCTACGTATATCTAACAGCAATATCAGTCTCACTTGACTATTATCTTTCATTCATTATCCTTGCTATTGTCGTCGTTCTAACAACAACTACCACATGAAAAAAGCGTATAGTGCGCGTATTATTCCAATAAAAGCTCCCTTTTTCCTACGTTGTACAACAGCACACACACAATCAATGGCGATCTGGGCAATCGACCCGCCCTTTTTTTCCTCGTCCATGTTGTGCAACAGGTCGTCACCATAATCATCAACATCCCAAGACCAATACAACACTGATCATGCGCCCGTCGTACCAAAAAAAGAGACCACTTATCGATATATGGAGCATCATCTCATACATCACCAACGTTACCCTGCACCACCCACCCATTCTATCCACATGTCAATACCTCCATTATGCTCCAATCTTGTTTTACCCAATCTAGCCACAGCAGCTCATCATCACTATTTCTGCCGGCACATGCTATTGGATTCCCACCTTGCCCTTTTACGCGTGGTGTAGCTCATTTGCATCTGCATATGATAATGATTCTCCGACATGGTGGTGATGATGATGGTGACAATGGGTAATCCTGCTGGCAGCAGAGTCACCTCATGGCAACCATGCCCATAGTAGGGTAACCATGGCAACGCATGGATGATGAAAAAACGCGATTATGGATGCCCGTGGGAACAACAGGGTGCATATACATACACACACTTGCTCACTGCAATGTCGCGTAGTGTTCTTAAAACAGCTTTGGTGGTGGGGTTAAATATCATATGCTCAGCAAAAAACGGCGATCTCTATTCTTTGTTGTACCAACCAATCGTTACGCCACTCGTCATCGTTCTAGCAACAAAAGGGCCGAATAGATGGGATGCAATGTACATGCATGCAATCGCCGCATTAAATGCATGTACGTGCACGCACGTCCAAACTGCTGGATCCCATTTTAAAAACGACCAATGTGAGATGATGATGATGCTTACAACAGTAAATGATATTTTTTTATTGAACACATGATGGTGGGGATGAATAAGAAAAGAATCAACAATAAACAAAGCAATGAATTTACATTGGTTGCCAGAGAGAGTGGGCTGCACCAGGCATCCAAGTGGGGTTAGAAGTGTGACCTTGAAGGCAAACATAGGTGTGGCCATGGTATTGAACGCGATCGCCTGGTGCATAGGTTCCCACAGGATCCCATTCGGATGCACCTCCACTTCCGTGATGATGACGGCTTTCATGGTGATGATGATGTTCGCCACCACCTTGATGATGATGTTCATGGCCACCATGGTTACCACCTTGATGTGCACGACGTTGCTCTTCTTCTTGCTTACGACGTCGTTCTTCAGCTTCTTCATGTTCACGTCGACGTTGCTGTTCTTCCATTTGTTGGCGTTCACGTTCCAATCGCTCCTTTTCTTCTTCCATTTGTTGACGTTCTTGTTCCTTTTGCTCTTCCTTTTGTTCATGATCCTTATAGAGCTTGTGGCCCAAAAAGCCTGCACCAATAGCAAGGGCACCACCGAGAACAGCAGTGCCTACATCACCAGCAAGAGCCTTGTGACGCATAGACTTGATGCGCTTAGCATGTTCCTCGCTAATGTAAGATGGGCCTTGTACAGGTTGCATGGATTGTTGTTGAGCAGGTGGGCTATTGAAGCCTGAGGCAGTGATAGTCAAATGGAGACGACCAGCATCCTTTCCCTTGATATTGTAGATGGTGTAAATAGCATTGACGTGTCCACCAGGTGCTTGAACAATAGGAGCCAACTTGATGGCACAAAAGCCGATCACTTGATCCACACCCGTTTCCTCATCCATCACCTCTACAAACATCTCTTGTTCACCACGCAAAGGTGATTCGAGAGTTTGGTTCCAAGTCGCGTTGGTACCAGCATCCTTGGCAGTAAATGTCTTTTGCCAATCCTTTTCTTCGAGATTCAATGCATAGCGCACATAGGGATCTTGTCTTCCGGTGTCAACATCTTGCATGTTGGTTGCAGAGTTCACGACGACCTTGAGTGTGCCTTCAGTTTGCAGCATGATTGAAAGTGATAGAGTGTATAAGAGAAAGAAGAAAGAAAGAAAAAAGGGTGCTAGATCAATATTGCTTACCCACCCCTCTTTTTAAATGCAGGCATCCAATTACTATTTTCTTTGATTTCTTCCTCATTTACGCCTGCATTGCTGTCAATGACATCACGATCTAGTCGCGTCGTTGACAAGAATAGATAAAGCAAAGAGCGCTAGTGGCGATTATTTTCAGCGAGTGTGTGGGTATGCTATGTGATTTGTTTGTGTATTTTTGGGGCAAGTACGTTCTATACCTAAAGCAGTAAGGTGCCTATTCCTCCTATTCGGAACCAAAGGCTCGGCCGTTTCAAGAGAAAGAAGCAAAGAGCATCAACGTCTTGCTGCATGCATAAGGAAAAGAGGTGTTATGCCTATTTTCCTCTTTCTTTCAATCCGATCCCCGACAAGCCGCTTGGCGCTTTTTTCGCCCAGAACATCAGGTGCGGAGAACATCACGTGTGAAGATTCCCCTCTTATTTTCTGTAAATGGTACATGGTACCAAGATGTCATCGCCATTGACGTTGCCTTTGAAGCCGACAAAGAATGATATGATTGTTGTGCAAAAGTGGTTCGAGAAAAACTAGCATCAACGTGGAAAAGATTACTACCCACACAGGTAAAGGCCATATATGACAGCTGAACCAGCCCTTTCAAGTTCAAAACAGGAAACGGAGTCGTAAGCTTTGCGGAAACCTTAACCTTGTCCTCGTTACTCTACTTGCACCGTGCGTTGGATCATTATACACCACGCTTTGTGTGAGATGGGACAAAGAGTGGCACGCTCCAAGTAGCTCGTATCCAGAAGAAACAGCTCATTTCATTGAACAGCTCATTGTCTCCCATTAATGGAGGCCGCTGCATAATGCTGATCATTGTGTCGGATTATACCAGCTACTAGCATTATCAATTAGCCATATGGTAACCACCCAGCAGCTGTTACCGGAAAGTCTCGGTTGTCATAATCGTGGTGGTGCATGCTATTATTGTAAAACGAATCACCATCATTTTCATGATCTCGTGTTATGCATCACAATAAAGCTTGTTTCAAACGCACTCACGCCTAACATGATAACATCCGATCTCCTCCGTCAGTTTAGCTATGCCTCGGGTGAAACAATTAGTTTCATTACCACAATACAGGTAGACAAAGGACCGACAGCAATCCTTCTCACTAGCACGCACATGCAAAACGCCTAGTTTGTGCATTGATGCTATCGTGATTGCATATCGAAGGAATCACTTTTGATTATGTAATGCTCATAATGTGAAGCTATCAAGGATGGGGCTGTGTTGTTATTGAGGTAATTGTTGTATTATGGCGTGGTTGTTACCCGTCATCTCCTCTCTTTTCTTATGCACGCCCATCTTTTTTGACACCACATGTCCCAAATCGATGACTAATTACAAGAGAAAAAAGGTGAGTTGTACAAGGTTCGATCAACGTCCTTTCATTTAGACACTGACATGCTGTGCTACAAAAATCCCATTCCGCACAAGTTGGATGCATTTCTCTCCCTCTTTTTTTGTCGCTTGCTCAGTGTCATTTATATTGTTCACCTCTTGACGCAACAATAGAAGTGACATTGCGTAGCATGGTGGCGTCTACTTTTTCAATGGAATATCCCAAAGCCAATCGCTCATTCACTAGCATGTCCCATCTACGACGCCAGCTGCTACCGAAAACAAAAGGTAATTCTTTTCTTTAGCTTTGTATGCCTACGTTGTGCCTGTGGGATTGGATCATCATGCCGTCAATGATGGCATTGTGAAGCTATTGGTATATTCAAAGAAGCCTTTAGTGATGATGTGGTGGTGGTGGTGGAAGTGGTGGTGTGATTAGTATAGTAGCCAAGAAAAAAAAAGAGGGGCGGGGTTTGTGTTCTGGCACATCACACATCACACATACACAACACATACGCACGGCACATAGTTTTTGTTTTCTTTTTCCAAATCTAATATTGCAGCATTCTTTTCTCTTTACCTTCCTTTTCTCCTTTCCTTTTCCGTGCTACAGATATGCCTAGCGGTACAGGATTTGGTCTCATGCGTCTGTTTACGAGGAAATCGCCGCGTAGTCATTCTAGCAAAAAGAAGTTGCCTGCAGGCGAACAAGAATCCGAGTCGACTACCAGCACCATGTCTTCAACTGAAACGACTTCGATTCATCGTTACGATAGCGGACGACGATACAATGCACGACAAGATATTCCTTATCTTCTTCCAAACGATGAAGAAGGTAAAATGATTACTACTACTACCACCACGACCACGACCATCATCATCATCACATGCTCGACACTAACATACATATCCATCAAACCCACTCATCAGAAAACGATCGCGCACACCAACAGCATTGGATGATCAATGTTGCTTTTGGCAGCAACTTTGATGCACCCGTTCAAGATGCATTAGAGAAGGGCATCGAAGTATTGGACTCGGGTTGTGGTAAGATTGGATATGTTTATATGAAGAAAAGACGTATACAACATCTAACTCGATACATTCTACAACACAGGACCAGCTACATGGACTTTGGAAATGGCAGAAAAGTACCCCAATTCGACGTTCAATGGCACGGACATATCACCACGATTTCCACAGACGATCAAGCCGCCCAATTGTCATTTCTTCATTCACAACATTGTCGATCCAGCACCGTTTCCTGATAGCACCTTCATGTTCATCCACCAACGACTCTTATCATTGGGTATCCTTGAGAATGAATGGGACAAGGTATAAAATGGCTGACGACAAATGACGTCGTGATGATGCTATTTCTTTCTTTCTTCTTTCATGATGGCTGACAATCATTTTTTTCCTTTCAGGCACTCGCCGATCTCATGCGGACGCTGAAACCAGGTGGTTGGATCGAGCTTTTGGAGGTAAAAATAAACTGGGTGGGGGGGATGATTGAAGGTGGTTTCGGTGCATGGACTTTTTACACACACACGTGTTATACCTTACAACATACCCCTTTGAAAAGTCACTCACTTTTTCGTGTTCATAGATATCGTATACTCAATATGAGAATGCTGGTCCCAAGGTCACTTTGCTTATGCAATCAGGTATGTGTGATTATGGGAAATGGAGGCAAAAAGCATGGGGTAAACGGACGGGGTACCCGAAAATTGGGCGATCGGTCCACCATCCACTGTTTTTTTTTTGCTCTCCTCACTTCCCAGGAACCTTTCTTTTTCTACCTCGGATGTTGGGGCTAATGAATTGTATGGTGGATCCAATACAGTGGTTACGTATGGCAAATCCAAAGGTCTGAACCCCGGTGCTGCACACGTGCTCGATGACATGTTGACACAAGCTGGGGCTGTCAACATTTCCTCACGACGAGTTGCCATTCCTTTGAATCATGGTGGAAAGCTTGGTGATCTCTTTTGGTAGGTTTCATTTTGTCATCTCTATTCCGTCCTTTCACTTACACGATCCAACTTTCTACAGGGACGACTTTAAAGATATCTTTATGGCATTGTTCCCGATTGTTAGTAGACTCCATAGTGATCTCGCTGATATTGAAGACTATAAGCGTTTCTTGGATGCTTGTAAGACTGAATGCAGTGAACACGAAACGGCGCTCTATTGGATTCGCAGCTGTGGTCAAAAGCCTAGCAACGACGACGAGTAAATCTATTTGAGCAACAATCACATTCCCTTTCCCCCCCCCACAACCCACCCCACATCCATTCTTCCTTATACCGCACTTATTCCCCTTCCATTTTCTCACTCCAACAATCGTTTTCTTCTTTGTCCCTTTGTCCCTTTTACCACCACTATCTCTTCCCTTTTACTTATTTACGCAGCAACGGCACAAGTACCAGCCACGACCATTCTGGAAAAAGTGCTTCTTCCTCACCACCCTTCATCTTCAACTCCATTTGTATATGTATGCTTCTATACTTCCCTTACGCTTTGTAGCTTAGAAAGACTTCTTTACCACCTTTTCATCTCCATCACACCCCCAACCTTATGTTTGTCCACTTGACATGCTTCCCTTCTTTTTGTACAAGATCCCACTGTTCTGCATTAAAGAAAAGTAGTGTAATTTCTTATTGACATTGATCCTATCACGAATGTCATCATGCTTGTAGCTCGAAAGTGGATAATCAAACCCGCCAATGCTAATAGTAAATGATATGATTTGTATTTTACAAGCGACAAGAAAAGGAAACATGCATCTAGTGGGTACAAGAGTCTGACAAGACAAGAAGAAAATGTGTAATGTGAACGTGCTGAAAAGGGATATCGTGAAGCTTTAAGCCTTGAACACAAGGCAAGTGCCATCATCAGAAGCTGTGACAACGGTCTTGCCATCACTATAAGGACCTAGTTAGTCATCCACGAAAATCTCCCTCCCTTGCATTGTGCCTAACTTACCTTGATACAGCAAAATCCAAAACACCATCACGATGACCAGACCAGTTCTTGATGCATTGACCCGTCCGAGCATCCCACAAGCGAATGGAGCGATCCACAGAGCAAGACACAAGGAAAGGCGAGTTTTGAACAAATTTAACCTTGACCACAGCATCCTATAAAGAAAGATATGAGCTAACCATACACCATCACAAGCAACATTTTAAGAGCCACATGTCTTTACCTCATGATTCAAAGTTTGACGCAATCGCTGTGTTTGTACATCCCAAATTGAAATAGTACCATCGGTAGATCCAGTAGCTGCCAATGCGAGCCTATTTACAAGGTGAGTCACCCTTAAAAGAATGCCCTTCTCTTTTGCAAACTTACACATCACAGAAATCAGCCGTCTCCACAGAGTCGCTATGATTCTCAAGAGCGCTGACAATCTATATCACGGCATGCGTTAACATCATTGCACTTTTTTAAGCATCCCAAGACAACATACCTGGCCATTGGTAAGGTTGACGAGACGAGCATTGCCATCCATGGCACCAGTAATAGCCAAAGTGCTATCCTTGTTGACAGCCACAGTGACCACAGGCTCTCTATGGAAACGAGCATCATCACCTGAAAGACGCACTTCGGATGCAGCGGACTTGGGATCCCAAACGATAAACGAGGTATCTTCAGATACCGTAACGATCTTTTTGCCATCAGGAGTGAATTTGCCAGAAGTTACAGGAGCAGCATGGCCGTTGAAGATGTTCATAAACTTGCCGCTGGGCACTGTAAATGCAAAGTATCAATACCTAGTATGCCACCCACCCATCCATTTCATGATTACTTACTGGCCCACATCCAAATGGTAGAATCCGATGCGCCTGCCAACAAGATGTTGCCTTTGGGATGCCAATCAATCCACTACCATCATCATGCTCTCTATTAGCGATTGTGCACCCCCCATCTTTTGTATGAATGAATCATCCTCAAATATACATACCACAATCTCATCTGGACCTTCCACAGCTGTGCAGAATTCACCGGTGGCCGATTTCCAAACACGCACTTTACCATCCATGCCAGCTGATGCAACATACTCGCCATCCACGCTAAAGCCAACAGCAGTAACGGAATCGGTGTGGCCTGATAATTCGTACAACATCTCGCCAGTATCGTTTCTCCAAATGTAGCTCTTGTCATCACCACCACCACTGACCATAATGGTAGGCTCCTTGGGGTGCATAGCAATGGCATAGACAGGCTCTAAGGATCCAGATCACGTGATGTTGATTAGTAATTGAAGGGATTATCCTTGTTTCATCCTCCATTGTACCTCGATGATCAAAAAAGCCTTGAACAGAATCATCCGCCAATTCCATCATGTTCTCGTCATCGGCAGAGGGTCTCACGTCAAAACCTTCCAATGGATTGCTTCCTTCAGCTAAAATCAATGATCCAAGTCGTTAGGCTACAGGTTAAACGTGATCTCAAGATAATTCTATTACCCATATCATCATCATCGCTATCGTCATCATCCATAGGCTCTCCTTGATCAAGGTTGACAGTATCTTCTTCAAGAATGTCTTCGGTGCGGATATACTCCTCGTCCACAATATCTTGGGTGTGGTGCTGCTGCTGCTGCTACATTGAACGCATTACGATCAGCGATCTGAGAGTGCCAAGACGCCGCATGGTGAAGGATTACCTCGTCGTGTTCTGACATGGGATTAGTGCAAGTAAAGAGTTGCTTGAAAAAGAAAAAAAGACGACAACTGCAAACTTTTTGGGTCGTATCGCTCTCGCCCAGCAAATTCACATTAGCCCCGACGACCCTCTCAGCCTGCCATGCTTTACAATCCCATTGACGTACAATACAATGACCATCATCGAAAGCATTTCTTCTAGTACCTCGTGTTCTCATGCTATCATATCCAATCATTGTCAACAATGACGTCCATCTTTATATAGATGTAGAATCATTTACCCCCATTTCATAGTATTCGTATACCCTTTGTGGATGATTAATAATAATATGAACAATGAATGATGTACATGGAATGGATTATGGATGATCATGTTTACATGAACGAGGTTCTTGTGGGGACATTGCTTCTTCATTTGATGTGTTGTATCCATCATCATCATCATCATATCGTGACTACTTGAGCAGAGAAGACGAGGAGGAGGAGGAGGAGGAGGGCTGTTGCACCCCCCAATTTGTAGCTGAGCTGCGTTGCCATTTACACATCTCTTTCTCGGTCAACTTGATCAACCGCTCCTTGTTCACATTTATCACACCATATAAACACACACACACAACACCGCTTGACCTGAACACATGTCTTTGGAAGGTCGAGATATCATAGTCGGCGGCAAGTACAAGATTGGTCGAAAAATTGGTGCCGGCTCCTTTGGAGAGATTTACTTGGGTAAATGACGTTCTTTTCATGTGTGGGTGTGTCAGCATCCCTTTCCTGTTCCAGATGAAGCAACTCGACCCATCAGACCCATCCAACCCGTTGCCATTGTTGTCATTGTTGTTGTATCCAGGCAAACACACACACACACACTTGGTGGTCTGGTTGTCTCCATATCTACCCATCCATCTCTTCTATCTCCCCTCACTCACTCACTCTCACTCTCTCCCACCACACTTCCCACACTTTCCACTACCGACTTGCCTCTTGTGTGCTCGCGTGTATTCCAATCATGATGAATAATTAATCAATTGACTTTTTTCTTTCTACTTTTAGGTACCAACATTACCAGTGGAGAAGATATTGGCATCAAATTGGAAAGCATTCGAGCAGCACATCCTCAGCTAGAATATGAAGCCCGCGTATACAAGACATTGGCTGGTGGTGTGGGCATCCCATTCTGTCGTTGGTATGGCAAAGAGGGCGAATACAATGTCCTAGTCATGGATCTCTTGGGCCCTTCCTTGGAGGACTTGTTCAACTATTGCAAACGACGCTTCACCTTGAAAACTGTCCTTTTATTGGCAGATCAATTGGTAAGATCAAGATCCATATTATTTCAACAAAAGCTGACATGTGTCATCTCTTTCTATCAGTTGTCCCGTATAGAATACATTCATTCGAAAGGTATGTAGACATCATCTTCCCCACCATTGCGTATTCACAAAGAATTGCTGGGGGCTCCTTAGGTTTCATTCATCGTGATATCAAGCCTGATAATTTCCTAATGGGTATCGGCAAGCGTGGTAACCAGGTCAACATGATCGACTTTGGTCTTGCCAAACGATTCCGTGATCCACGAACCAACGTGCATATACCCTATCGAGAGAACAAGAATCTCACTGGCACACCACGTTATGCAAGCGTCAACACACATCTTGGCATTGGTAAGAGGGTGAAGGGATAAAGTAGAGTACACTTGTATTGATACAATCATATAGAGCAATCTCGTCGTGATGATCTCGAGTCGCTTGGATATATCCTGGTCTACTTTTGTAAGGGCCAATTGCCATGGCAAGGCATTCGAGCAAGGACAAAGAAGGAAAAGTATGACAAGATCATGGAGAAAAAGATGACAACACCTGCGGATGCGTTATGCCGGAGCTTGAGCCAGGAGTTTGCCATATACCTCAACTATGTCCGCTCCTTACGATTTGATGACAAGCCCGATTACTCTTATTTGCGCAAGCTGTTTCGAGATCTCTTTGTTCGTGAAGGATATCAATATGATTATGTATTTGATTGGACAATTCGGAAAATGGCAAGTTACTTGTGTAAGGGGGGGAGCCTGTTTTCATTATCATTAACCATGTTGGTATATATATATAGCAAGAAAAGAAGCTAGCGGAGAACCAAGGGATGCGCATGGACCCACCTTTGTATAACAATGTGCCATACGATCCACTCCCTGTTCAGCAACGTCGTCCTATGGTTACCACCGGGTTGCCATCTCCTGGTATTGGTCATCGCACTTCAACCACCCAGCCGTATCGAGCAGAATCAAAGTCGCCGGATACATCAAAGAGGCTCGATGATGTGATGCTTCAATATCAACAGCAGCAACAGCAACAAAAGCTATTGCAGCATCAGCAGCAGCAGTATAGTCATCAACCTCCAGTGATGATTCCGCAATCGACTCCTCAAGATCATGCCTACTTGGCCAATCATCATGGCTATGCTGGAACCGGCGGTGGAAGAATGCTTGTAAGAGATAACCAAGCCAGTGGTAAGTGCGGACGACTACTACGACAGCAGCCTATTGCAACAAGTTTCCTAAATCAAATCATTCATTCTCCACCATTAGCAGGTTCATCATCCAACAGAATGTAAGCACAAAATCTCCCTCTTTTTTCTTTTCTTTTTCCCCTTTGGCATGTGTTGTTGTTGTATGCATGTGTTTTTTTTGTACTTATAAGTTCAGGAAATCCCCTGTTGTAGCCTGCGCACACAAAACAAGGCGCTCCCGAATGTCGGAAGTTCATCAGCCATGGCCACCCAGTCGCCGTCGTTCCTAGATCCTGCATCGACTTCATACCATCATGATTATTTGCCTGAAAGTAATGTTGGGGCATCAGCTGGCATCCATGGTACTACTACAATGGATCTTAGATCATCGGCTGCTCTTCCAAGTGAACGATCCAAGACATTGGGCAACAACCCTACAAAGCCCCTTCACATGTTTAATTCTTCAAGGCTTTACGATGACTTTTAAACCCCATTCATCCATTTCTCCACATATCACCAACCCACTCTACGTGCCTCTCTATTATTATACAACAATAGCAACGACACTCACGCACACACACACACACACGCACATTCACTCACAACAACGCACACTCTATATACATCTTAAACAGGATCATGCACTTTGTAAATTGTTTCCTTTGAGCAAATACCTCTTTTCTTTCCATTGCTTCTTGATCGTTGTAAAAGACTTATACTCCCCCAGTAATTGTTTTCAATGAGGATAGATCTTATTTATTGATTTGGATGAGAGATTCGACTATGCTTCATTATCAACTACATGCTTTAATGTGCTGACAACAATAACATGGCTATGTGTCTTGTATCCAAGGACGACGTTGCGCAACATCAATTGCCATTTTGGGACATTTTTGAAGACACGCCGCGAAATGGACGCGATGCTTTTGTCTCTCTCCTCTTTTCGTGTCAAAAACGTCAGCTCCCACAATGAACATCCACCACAGCGACAATAGTGAAAACCAACCTGCCGATGAGAATGAACAGCAATTCCGAGCCGATTTGGCGAACAAGATCGATCGGACGGCGTTTGATCCCAAGCAAGATAAGGGAGAGCGTCGTCGTTTGCGTAAAAAGTATCGCTCCCTGATTGGTGAAACTGAAGGTATGTATGCAATCGGCAAGGTATCTTCAAGGTGGAGGCTGATATGGTTTTGAATAGGCAATAAACGAGAACTCGCTCAAACAACCTCTGAAGGCCTTGACAACAACCTGGATCGAGGAAATAAGCTCTTTAAAGAAGGTAGGTCGGTTTTCCTTTTGATGAGAGAACAAAGACTAATAGAAGCATCTAGTGCGTAATCCATTGGAAGCTGTTCTTGATTCACGGTTCATGACATTGACGGCTGATATTGCAACACAACGAGCTCGGAATGCCAACATTGGTAACGCTGCATTTGATGCCGACGAATTCATCTCCAAGATCAAGCGATTCGGCACATGTCCAAACGCACGCGAATTGGATGATTTGGATTGGAAAAGCATCGGTTATCGTGCAGCTGCCCATAGCGACAGGGTCACATCAATAGACTTTATGTAAGCAATGATTATCCATCCTTCATTGATATGACATGCATACTCACAAGCTATGTTAATAGGCTGGGTCCTCTCAAGACTGAAAAGAAAGAACGCAAAACGGCTGGTCGAAGGAATATTATTCGGATGGATACGAATGCTGTACGACCCACCCAGGTAAAATATCAGCATGAGAGATGTCGATTGTTTCCATTAATCGATTGCTAGTTGGATGAAACAGATTTACAAAACCAAGAAAACGAGACATCTGCCAACGTCAATGAGATTTATCGACTTCTCAATGAACGTGGTCCTTACAACTACCTAAAGTTCGTCACCAATCCAACGTCTTTTTCACAAACGGTCGAGAATATCTTTTACGTTTCATTTCTGATTCGTAATGCATTAGCCGAGATTGATGATTCGACTGGAGAACCCATGCTCAGTAAGTCATGTTTATATTGGATACGATTGAAAAGTAAAACTCATCTTTCATTACGATCCTAGGTATCTGCTCACCACCCACTGAAGACCAGATTGCCGATGGCGTGACCAAATCACAGCTCATCATGAATATGGATATGGCTTTATGGAAAGAGATCATTTACACATACAACCTTCAGAGCTCTGTCATCCCTACGCGAACCAAATCACCCCTCGCTGTCGCTGGTACTAAATGGTACTAGATTCCTATATATCGCGCATTCCCTCTCCCTCTCTTCTGTTTCCTGATTGTGTATACATTTTATGCTATTATTTCAAATACATTGCCATCATCTTCATCCTCATGCCCATCTAGATGCTATCCTATCCCTAAATACACTACGTAACATGGTTTTGTATATTCCCACTGCACTTGGAGGCGGCCTTGCACACACCACGCCATCACGTTCTGCATCCATTTGCCTTGGCATGTATGAATCCAATTGTCGAAAGAATTCTTGATGGATGTGTGCTAGTGCTTCTTTTACGTGCGGAAACAGGCATACGGTCCACATTGGATTGTTCATTTGATTTCGTACCACGATAATGTTGTCATGTTGTTCGCTGGGCCACATCCTTGTTTCATCGTCAATAATAAGTGGTAATGCATATCCACAACCGAGAGATCGCGTGTTGAGTGCAAAGAAAGGATACAATGCTCGGAGATCTTTGGGTGGTCGATTGGTATCATGGGATCGTTTGATGTAATCGTGTTCAAATCGTGCTGAATAGTGTAAACCACGAATCCGGGTCCGTTGTGGATCAAGCACACTCACAACATTGTCAACGTAATTTTGATCACTATAAAACAAAAAGACATGAGTCATGAGGATCGTTCACCACCTACATGTATAAACTTACCCAAGGGAGCATACTGAGATCTCATAAAAGTTTTGTGCCCAATCCAGAAACTCGTGAACACGTTCCGTCAATACCACTCGTCTTCCATCGCTCAATGCTACTACGCGGTTGCCATCTATAGATTACGTGTGTAAGTTTATACCATCAAAGAGGGTGATTGAATGAATTTTACTTACATCGATGTGCCTCACTTTCAGGAACATGTCGATCGTTTCCATCCCCTACCAGACGAACGAGTGTATCATCAAGATCCAATACAAGGGGAAGCTTTTTGTTGAAGATGACTGATTCCATGGCTGTTTTTGCTGATTGTACAATCTCCTCACGTTTGCATAAATAACCAAACAAGTATCTATATAGAATGTCTCGTTAGACCCTATCCAAGCTATTAGCATCATCACATACTTGTCACGAGATCCTTTGAGATGAAGTTCATATTGCTCCCCAGTATCCGTTTTGAGTACAATATAAGCAGTCTATAAAAGAGCCATGAGAAACCATCCACCTTGTGATTTAAAGTCCTTACCCTTCTTAAACCATAAATGTCATCGAACCAGGGATGTTCAGGATTGAGGAAAACAAAGGTGTGGCTCAATTGGCGTTGTGTCAGGACATAAAAGATGCCACGTGGATCAGCGCCCTGAACTTCATAGCTGTCTTCAAGAATGAAATTGGGTTCTGTGCCTCGATATAGGACTTCGTGAGTGATCAATTGGACTTGACGAGAGCATGGCATGTTGTTGCGACGATCCATAATCACAGGTTGGTTTTTGAGAACGGTGTCGAGTGATAAATGAGGACGCCATTGGCCCGGGTTGCATACAACGTTGTGACCAAGTAAAAGTTGGGATTTTGAGTTGCCTGCAGGTGTTGTCTTTTGTTGTTGTGCACCATGGAGCTTGCTATCCTTGGCGATGACGTATTGAAGTGCTGTGCTCAGTTGCATAATAGTCTAAAGATGTATGGGATACACAAAGCAAAAAGGGAGCAAAAGTGGGGGGGTGGAGGGCGGTTGAAGCAGAATAAATGAGCGACCTTGTAATCCACGAGTCAACTAGTTTCAAGCATTTACACTTCTCTCTCGTGCTAAAGGGTCCATGACAGGTTTGGGACGTGGTTCAACGGGTGCTGACACCTTGAGGGGATCATCGTTAAGCATTGCTGACAGATCCATATTGGCAATGAAAGACAAGCGGGAAAAGAAAGGTGGCTGTATAAAGCGTAGACCACACTACACAAAATGAATACGTCGAGCTCCGCATTGCCCTGCCATCTTACACAGAGTGTAAATGGCTCATGCATGAATCAAGCGGGACACATTCCTCTTATCCTCCTCGCTATGTTCATGTCCTTTGTTTGATCTACATCCTATCTATATAGGGCAATATGGATGCCCTTTAGAGTACACATGACTGCTACTATAGTAGTAGTAGTGGTAGTGATGGTTGTCTCAACAACGAAAACACACATTCATCAACCCCCTTACCCGCCATGAAAAATCACCCCCTTTCGTTATCCAACAATCCTAAAAACGCTGTGCGTATACAGCTTCCTTTTTTAATGATAATAACGAGCCATTGTATCTTTACGCACACACGCATAGACGTCCTTGATGCGTTGATGTATTACATTCGTCACATGTTTGTATCAAAAAAGCCATCTGCTGCTGGTGTCGATCCCCACCCACCCATTGTACTACCTACATGCAATAAATCAAAAAGCATGTTTCACTCACGCTGATCATCCTTGTTTTGTACGCGATAAGCATTTGGCGGCTTGACATGGGAAAAAAAGATTTTGTGTGTGTGTGTTGCCTTGGGGTAGTAAACATACAAATGCCTCCTTCTTTCTCTCTCTCTCTCTCTCTATGGACGTGGTCCACATTATATCATGTCCGCCACTAGAAAGAGGGGTCAAGTAGAGTAATAGCAGCAATCTTCTATGTTACTTTGGATGATAATTAGTGCTCCTCCCCTAAGCCTTTAAATTGGCCTGTACGCCAATCACACTACTAGCATCAAACGTGCACTGCTCTCTAAAGCAGTAACTGGTTGAAGAAAAAGGAGATGTTCCAAAAGGTTAACCCGATGGATTCAAGAAGATGATGTTGCCTTCCTCTCTACATTTTTGTGTAACTAAAAGTTTGCATCAAAGCATTGATGAGCGTTCATGCATAACCACCCCTCACAGTAGCTGCATTGAAATCAAGTACTATTCTCATTTCCCGGGAAAATAGTAGAAAGAGGGAAAGTGAGAAATAGTATGCGTGAAAAAAAGGGGGGAGGAGGCAGTAATAATAGGGAGCGTTCAAAACCAGTAGCAAAGAGCTGCTCAATACTGCGCATATCACATGATTGGCACCCTGCACTGCAACCACGCGGTCCAAAAAAAGACACATGTCGTGCATCTCGCTTTTTCACCCCTCTCTTTCCTTTATCCAACTATTGTTGCTGGTATAGGTTTGTATACATTAATGGATCCATCGTGTCCTTTTACTCATCTACAAGCAATAAAGAATAGGCGATGACCGTGCTACACACTGCAGCCATCATGCGTCAACATCTTCTTGTGCAGCAGCAACCATTGATGAAGCAACCCGAAAGCAAAGGAAATGCAGCAACGCCAGAGCCATCATCCATATTTGACCAGCTTGGTGCATTACCTCTTCCTGACAGAGAGATCAATGACATTCTCAATCACCATGAAACTCTTTCACTTGATGATGTGATCCAACGACTCGATAATATTGTGCGGCATATGACAGGATGGCTCGAAACAGCGCAAATGGCTGTTTTTACATTGGAGATGGAAGCCAAGGACGACATGAACAAAGACAACAACATGTCCAATGATGCTGGTTCATTATTGGAGTTGTCATTTGGACGTATTGAGCCATTCGTGTCCATATTGAACGAGATCAACGACATTGTCATTGATAAGTTGGACGACCATGAAAGCGATAACGCTGGCGATAAGCAACAACAATCACAACGACATTATCAACAAAAAAAGCTTACGACACGAATGACCATCAACAAAATCCAATCCGAGTGGTCTGGATTACAGTGTTGTCTTGCATCCGTGCTTCACCAACTTGATAATGCATTGGCTGAAAAGGAGCTTACAGCGTTGATGGAGCATGTATTACAACAAATTGATGATCTTTTGACGACGATTTTTCAAGTTCAGGAGAGACGCCATATGTACGCCAACAATGACATGAACACTCCTTTGCCCCCAACTGCCGATAATATTGATGCTGCAAGCACAACAACAACTGAAAGTGATCAAGCTCTTATCGACATTGACAATCGCATTGAACCTTTGTTCAATCAAGTGCAGCGTATCTATACAGCCATGACATCAAATAACCCACCAGCAGACGCATCTGGTGTTTTGGGAAGGGTGCATCACAAGATTCAACATCGATGGGAGGCTTTGCGTACTGAAGTTGATTATCTCAAGCAAGAGCTCAAGGAAGAACGATGGCTCAATGTGTTTCGACAAGTAGCGGATCAAGTGGATGTTATGATTGATGGCCTTGAGAAGACTGTGAGCCAATGTTATGATGTGGTTCATCAAGCACAGCAATCGCATATTGAACCACCACCAGGATGTCGACGTGCACCACTCGTTGATCGAAAAAAATATGAGGCCGCTGAAAAGAGCTTTGAAGCCAAGCACAAGTACTATACGCCATCCATTGACAAGATGCTGGGTATGTTGCAGGATGGGATTGTGGCAAAGATGCAAGGAGACAATGCAACCACACGACGATTTGATGGGATGAAGCAGCGTTGGTTATCACTCAAAGGCACAATGGAGCGATTGATCACCAGGGATTTACCGGAAACAGGTCGCCTCATTGTTGTCTCACATGATGTGCCTCATGTGATGCACAACGACGTAAACATGGGTGCACGGATCCTTACAAGACAAGCACGACTTGGATCTGTGGATGCTGCAATGGATCATCGATTACGTAGAAGCATGTCACCTAGCAGCCGAGAAACTCCGGTTGCTATGCAACACCAACAACGACGACCTTCAAGTTCATTGGGACGTGAAGCTGCTCGACTACGACCTAGTGCATCTGAATCATCATTATTGAATCCATCAGCAAGACGCAATGGAGGAACAACACGACGTACCAAAACACCGCTACGTAACAACAATGGCATTCCACCCTCAGGAGCAGAATCCATATCGAGTGGAGATTCATTGTCAACATCATCATCACGTAGAGCTGATCCATCATGGTTATTGGAGCCACCCAAAAATATGCCTGGTAGACGTACACAAAGTGTGGATCATGGTGTATCACCCAATCGACCAAGAACACCTGTACGTCGTTCCAAAACGCCATCATCATCAGATTTACGTAAATCCAGCAGAACACCGATTACACGACCCAAGAGTAGCATGAGCCAGCATCATGCCAATGAGGATGATTCGTATCATATGACTACCACCAAAACATCACACACAACACCACCAGCACGTCGTTCCATGACCCCATCTTTTATCCCACGTCCAAAAACACCGACAAGCCGTCAACAGCAACCAAGTCTTATTCCACGTCCTCAATCCTCCATGCTATTTTGTTCACCTAGTAGCTCTACTGATGAAACGCTTGTTCATTCATCATCACCTGCACCTGAACGATCCACAAGTTCACGTATACGTAAAAAACATTCGATGCCATCTTTACGTACGAGTCGTGCTACACATGTACCAAAGACATCATCCAAGCAACACCATCAGCATTCTAGCTCATACGATTATTATCATCATCATCATCCTACGGATATCTTTGGTAGCAACAACAGCAACAATAGCAAAAAGCGAGAGAGCGTCTATCGACCTAATGCACGGGATGCATTGGATGTGGAGGTAGCTCGTATTGTGAACGCATGTCCCATCCGTATCAAATGTCAAAGAGGTCCTTCGAATGGTCAATACTATTTTGGCAATGATTTGAATTTGGGTGGCAGGAAGCTGTACACGTGCAAGTTGATGAATTATGCAGATCGAGAGACGACACGACGACCTTCCACCACATGCAGCAAGGAAAACAAGGTGCTTGTACGTGTAGGTGGAGGATGGCAGGATCTTGAAATGTTTTTGTTGGAGCATTCGAATCTCATGGCGGCTACACAAGATGTCATTACACGTCCTTACACAAGCATGGGATACAGACACCATCATTGACCATAAGACAACTTTAGTAATAAACATGATGTATAATTGTGTACTATATGCTACGACATCTAATAAGCAATGGATGATACTGAGAAAGAGAGAGTCCATGATTTATCAATGGTGAGATACTGTAATCCTAATCGAAGCTGCTTTTTGGATGCAAAAGGATATGATTCGATGACTGTAAACTCTGCTGCAACTATGTGAGCAAGCCATTGCGACACACACAGATCGCTTGAATGTTCATGAGATGTCCATTGAGATTGTCCATTGGGAGCTAATGGCCTTGCACATGCTGGTATAAAAGCCGTGTGGTAGATGCTGGAGCCTTGTAAAATACCATCACACGTGGCAACGTCGCGTTGAGAAGGACACTATTATATGTGGTGCTGCTCTAATAAAGACCATTTCATGCGAGCGGTAGTAGCAAAGCTGCCCCTTTTCATCGTCAATGTCCGCTGACGACATCATTTCTTGTCCGGTACCGTCCGGTCCGGACACCGAAAAAAATTGTTTTCAGATTGCTTTTTTCAAAGGAATATGGCACGGAGATGTTAGCTGGAATAAGTTTGGCAGTCGGATTGGTCGATTAGCAGTTTCCATATAAACTTTGCTATCAAGAACCCTCCGACACAGAATGATGAAATGGCGTTATATAAAAATTATGCTAGAAGATAGGGACATCGGAAACCAATGGTGTCGATATGCCATTATCTGACAAAATGCCTTTATTTATATCTAGTAGTCAATGGATCTATTATTTGCAGACACATTGTTGGTCTTGTTTTGCGCATTGAGGTCATAAACGAACCATCTAGATTGATCCACAAGATGCAAGGGCTATCATAGGAAACGAAATGGCGATGCTGTATATTAAAGTGGAGGTTGATGATGGTTGTATACACATGCTGTCGGCTGTTGTATAGCCGATACGTGTTTTTTTATTACCACTAGAAACCAGCTCTCATGTGACAATTACAAAAGTGAGGTTCCGGATGGATAGCAATAACAACAATTAGCTCGATGCATAAACGGCCTATATGGCAACAAGCGAAGGGATCACGATTGGATCAATCATGCACGGTAACTCGGCCTTCCGATTACAGTTTCGATTCCATGGGTATCACAACAACGCGTGTAACATGCCACAGTCTTGTGCTTCTGGATTGCACCAGGGAACGTGCGTCTCTTCATTCACAGAAACTCACAATAATGGGAGTATGGAATAAAGATTTTGATGTTGATGATGATGTGATATGACTGGCTGCATATGGATAACAAATGACAGCAAATGATCACTAGCTTATGCAAAACTTAGCATGCATGTTGTATTGTGGACAACACTGACAGCATCATCATCATCATCAGCTGGATGAGAAACAACTTGTTGGATTGGTCCTTTGATGTTGGTCTTGTGTGTGTGAGCAAAAAGGAAATTGCTCAAGGATGAGACAGGGTAAACTTTTAGTAGTAGTGTTTTCACTTTGCCCTTTCATAAATACAACTAGGATGATGCTCGCTGATAAAAGCTGGGACTACTATGTAGTCAACATCCTTAAGCAGCATGCTGATTTGCATATAGGGCTCCTTGTTATCATGTCAACTTGGCACATGCTTCAAGTCAAGAATGCATTGCAGGACATCAGATCATCTTTTACCCGTAAAGTATGTGTGGACATCAAATGATCTTGTCATTAAAGTTTTGGAATCCCTTAATGGAACGTCCCACCGTTGTGGCAATTCTTGGATTTTGCTGCCCAATAGGAAATACCCGGAAGCGATCAAAAAAATGGCTGTACCAACACATTCCCAGAACGTTGTTGCAAGGTGTTTTTGTTTTGAAAAACAAAGGAACAACGGAGATGATCATGGGTTAAAATCTACCACGCGTACTCTTTGTTCACGAGCATGCATGCAAATGATGAGGAGGTATATTGTATAGATTGATGAAAAGAGTAAAAGAAAGCGGGATGGATGATGATGGCTAATATTACAAAAGAGGAAATAGTAGTAGAAGGGATGAGAGTGGTAAATTACAATGAACGTGCATGGATTAAACAAACGAAGGCGATCGTGATGATTGTAGACAATGTCATTAAGAATGGGCTACTTTGAGCTTTTTGAAGCCTGATTGCTGTCTTTGATCTTTGGATGCACCCATAGACGCCTCAGGACGTTGGCAATATTGCTAGGATGATCGTTCTTGTAGGGTGGTTTCTGCCATGGTTTACAGGAAGGTTTGCTCTTGCACAGATCCGGGTGATCAGATTCATCATCATGCCGCACCAAAGGATCAAAGATACATTCAAATGTACATTCAAGTTTGTCTTGTTCAATACAATGGATCACTGGAGGTTCTTTGCTGATGGTCACCGTCAATGACTTTTTCCTCTTGGATGATGGTGATGGTGATGTTGCTTTACGAGGCTTAAAATGATTCAGTGCGAATGCTCCTCGAAGTTGTGAAATTGCAATTGCCATGATGTGTCTGTTATGTATCGAGAATAGAGAGAGAGAGAGAGAGAGGGAAAGTAGATGTGAGCAAAAAGGGCGATCGTGGAAAGGCCTTCTTCTTATAGGGAAGGGGGGTTGGTTGGGGGAGGGAGAAAATTCACACCACGCCTAAGCTAGTGACACAGGATGCTGGTGGTTCCATGGATAGACAACATACCCTTTTTCCTTTAGCAGATTGTGCCATGCATCTATCAGCATGGCTATGTGTAACAGCGCAAAAGATTCTTGCATAATCTTACCTCATTGCCGCAAAGCCCTTTTTCTATCCAAGGTTTCAAGGGCAAAGCCCAAGGGGGAAGTAATGGCGGGTACGCAAATGTCAGGCCACTTGCGAAAGACAACCTCCTGATTTCAGATTTGTGGAACGATACCAATGACAGCAGACATGTTCCGCTCGTATAATGAAAATTCCTGCATTTTGGATCACACGACTTTTGTACAGCCTTGTCAAAATCACGACAGCAGATCAGCTTTCATTGTCTTCCACTACTAGTACGGCATTCATTTTTCTTTCATGGTGATATGACCGTTAAGTTGATAGACAAAGAAAAAGAGCGAGCCAAAATTTACTACCTTTATTGTACGCGAATCTCCATGGCAACATGAGTTGCTGGATCCCATACAAAAGCAAAGTGTGAGTGCAATTGTGTGAGGTTGTTGAGTGCATGGATCTGTATGCCAAGAATGCAAGATGCATGAAACAATGACTCCGGCTGCTGACTGAGAGCAACATTGATACACAATGTGAGACGCTTAAGTACGCATTTATGCACATCTCTGAGCTAAATCGCCTTTCTCCTTACCACACATTGTCATGGATATGCATGCATCCGTTGCCAACCCTTTAACGTGTCTTGAGGGTGGCTGCTAGCAATGATACATGCATTTGATGAGGGGGCTCATTATTGCAAGAGCATGTTACAAAAGGAAAGCGTTTTACATTGCTGTTAATCTTGGAACTCAAATGTGTGCATACGTAAAGTAACTCCTGATACATGCCATGATGACGGTTTATTTAACTACTGTCGTCGATATCTTTAACAGTATGTTTGGGGGGGGCGGGGGCGATGAGTGCGACCCCAATGGGAATTTTTAATTTGAGGACCAGTAGTTCCAGGACTTGAGACAAGCGTTGCTTCTCTTCCTCCCTTTCCTCCTCATCCCCATTCACGGCATCCCATCAAGGTAATGCTCTTGTTGATTGTGAGGCATTGGGTATAGTTCTGAGTATTCACATACAGACAGTGTATCCAAGTGCTGTAGTCAAGGTGATATCGTCGTTCTTCTTGTTCGTTGCTATGCAGCTCTACGTTCGATGCAACAGGTACATTCAAAGCCCCAATGCAGCAACAAAACTTGTTCCATTGACGTATTAGCTTGTATAGAGGGCAAGTTTGCTATCAAGGCGTTGGCTAGTTTGGCGTCTTGTTTCGGCTCAAAATCACTACACTATGGTTTTCGGTTTCCAGCAACCCAACAACAAAGGTCTTTATGTGTATGAACAAAGGTATGTGCAGCGAACAAAGACAATGGAAAAGGCGTTTATTGTAATAATGAATGCTGCTATTATTGAATAGGTTCTTGGTCAGGTAGTGCAACTTTGGGCATCATCTCTCATTGGGTTCGACTCCCAGCCTGTACCTTTTGGCCACTTGTTGATATAGCTATTAGAGTACCGTTAGTGATGCCCACGAATGCGTAAAAATATATAAATGATAAGGTGGCAAATTAGCTTCCATGGAAACCCATGTACTGACAAGGATGGCCACGCGAAGGCTTTGCCGTCACCCTCTCATCTCTTCCCGTTTCTCCTCCCTTCCCCCATTTCCCCCATACTGGTCTCAATCATCACTTTGTGTTATACACAAAGGTCCATGCCATGCCACCCAAAAAGGTCCATACCATGCCACCCAGAAAGCCACTGACAACTCCATTAAAGCCTTCCAAGAACGAAATTGCTTGCCATATGTTTGGCCAACCCAACCCAGAGGAAGAGATCCGTTTGTTACGCAACTACTGTACGAAACTCATAGCAAACGAAGAATATTATCTTCGAGAACTCGCCAAATACCGCCAAGAACCACAACAGCAAAGAGCTCACCATAAGCAGATCAAAGACGCCGTAGCACAAGTCTCGATCAATCAGCCTCATCCAGTACTTCTTACTACCCATCGAACCCACCAAGAATCCCAAGCACCCACCAACGCCATTACGAAAGCTTCCCAAACACTCAACGATCTTCTACAATCTGCTCCAAAGCCTGAAAAACAAAATACTACTTGCATGCCACCACTCCCATCACCAGTAAAAAAGACTACTGACACCCAAACCCAGTTGCCAACCACGACCACCTCTCTAGCAAAAGAAGGCCCTACAACTCATACCACTCCGTCACCATGCCCACCATCCCGAACCTCCTTCAAAACTGGACAACCTCCCCAATCTATCCCTGAAAAATTCAGGAGTACACGAACAACCCCTACCATCAATGCAGCGGTCCAATTTTTCAGAAAGCCCGAACCCACCAATCACCGTTTCCAATACCTATATCTACAATGCCAACAACGAACACCACGCAATGAAGTGCGTGATTATCTCCGTGCCCTTGACATTAACCCCAACCGTGTCCTAGATATCTCATTCCCAGCTCGACACGTTGTTGGTCTACTTCTTCATGTAGACTATGTAACCCATGTGACCCAGCAACTCAAACAACATAAGCTAGTGTGCCTCAAAAACTTCAACCCAATTGATCCACAACATCTTCAAGATCCATCCTACTCTTCTCTCCCAACAACGGAACGTCAACAAGTCGCGATACGTTGCCAACGCAACCGTTGCCTTCGGGCACTATCCTCTCTCCATGGAAGAGTATTACATGCAATTGCTTCGGCCTTCCAATCCAATGGATGGCTCACGAATACCGACATTACGCATGTCCTTGCAAAGACTACTCATATCAAGATATGATGGATCCACCTTTATTTTGTTTTCCCTTTTATACCAACTTGCTCACACTCCCATTGAATGACACCCCAACCACCAATTTAGCTTCTGGTACCCTTGCCACCTTCTGTGTCACCACACTGTCACTTACACAGCACATCTCTTGTGACCAATTCCCAAACTACACACCTTCTTGTTCCCCCACATTTTTTCCTGTAGCCTCACAGGTTTTTAGTTCCCCAACTTTTCAGATCGGGCTAGGGCAAAAAGCTGATATCAGCGCGTGCTCAATTCGTAGCCATTTAAATAAACTTATCTTAAAACCGTCACCCTCTCCCCTGAGTATGAGCCTCAGTCCATATACTCAGAAGATCCCCCTGGTCATCGCTTGGTACAATGGTTATCACAAGAGTCTACTGCCATACCATCTCCTTCTGATTCATCTCAAACTGCTTCTCGCTAGATCCCTTTTATTATTTTTTCTTTATTTCTTTGTCTTCCCTTTTCTCGCCCCATCTTATGATTGTTTACTCTTCCCACTTCTGAACTTACCAACCATACTCTCACCTTGTATGTGTTACCCTTCTACCCTACCTTTTTTCTATTGATCCTATACATCTACCCTTAGTAGTTTTACCTCCATCTCTTTTAACCATCCGGTACTTCTCCCTTTTGTCCTGACGCATATAAGGTTTTCAGTACTCTTGACTTGCTGGATCGGGCTAGGGCAAAAAGCTGATATCAGTGCGTGCTCAAATCGTAGCCATTTGAATAAACTTATCTTAAAACCGTCACCCTCTCCCCTACGGTGCACCGAGCCGGATAACGGGGGCTGCCATTGTAAACAACAGCATCTTCTATAGGTGCTGCTCGAGCCAACATGTTCGGTCTGATAAAAGGATAGCATCCCACGCCCACAGAGGCCGACCCATAAGAGCAAAAAGCAATACATGATCCCATATCTACCACAAGGCCACTGAGTAACAGTCTAACTTCCAACGGCTAAGGCAGTAATCATTAAATGCAATTGATAGGGCCAAGATAGGGCTGACCACACTGTCGCATGTAAATCATAGCTGCCAACGATGCTTTACACAAATGAGCAAGGCACCATCCCGTTCTACCCATAGCAAATAAACATCCGCCATATCAGTAGTTGCTGCCATCAAGCGACCTTTTTGGGTTGGCGTCATCAGAGAGACACATCATGCACTGCAACAAATAAATCCGGTCTTGATGAAATAGCATACGCGAGGATATTGACTTGCCAAGAGAACGTCCAAGGTATCCATACAAGTACTTGAGGAATGAGATCCGCCATGGCACCGATAAAAACATTGCTCTGAAGATCCACCGATAAAAAGACGACTTGCAGGTAGCTGATTTCCAAAACCATGGAAACGGTATCCTTGACAACCACAACTATAAGATAGAGATCGCTTGCTTGCTTCTGAGACACCCACCCAAATTCAAATGTTGATCTTCGTCTTCGAATTCAATAGGATTCGCCATTGACAACTGTAAGGAGAGACTTTGATGGCACCAAAGAGCATGCGAAATTATAGCTTGATGGAATGATGGGCCTATAAAGCTGCATATCACTAATTTATCGTTGAGGTAATGGTAACAATACTTAGCCAGTGTCATATGAGAATACACGATGTTTCACGCCACCCAGTAGTCAGGACACATTTCCTTGCTGTAGAGATGTCGAACACAGTGACCAATTCTGATAGCCGTTTCTCCAAACGATACTTGATGATGAATGCCATGAGAGATGGATACATCTTGACAGCACCAAAAGGACACGTAACATTGCTGTTTGTTGCTGATGTGATATATCCATAAGATACGTGCGGTGAAGAGAGCTTTTGAAATCAATTGGCCAATAACGAGAACACCAGAGGATCAAATAAATGTTGTTGACACTAAAGATGTGGGCTCTGTTGTTCATTGCTGCTTCTTGTTTGTAGCTGATATGATCCACCGATAACAGGCATGCGTAGCAGGATATCCATTGAAAGGGTTGTCAACAACTAGGACCACAATAAGACGAGATACAAATTGGTGACACCAAAAGGTATAGAACTTGTTGCCTTGCCGCTGCAGATGCAAATAAAAGGAAGTGTCCAATAGGTGGTACAGTAACGAAAACCATCGAACGATGTAATAGGGCAAGCTGACACTGAAGGATGCTGTCGACGTTGCTCTTTGACCCTGACATGATTCACCTATAAAAGATGCACGGTAAATAAACAGTTTCCCGCATCCATAGAACGATACTTAGCAATGATAGCTGCATCCATGAATATTCCAAAGGACCAAAATACAAGTAGTTTGCTGAATAGCACACATACTATAATAAAAGAGGGGGTTGGTTGGGATTGGAGCCAAAAAACGGGTCATCCACTATTTACCAATGAAAGCCATATGAATGAAACCCTGTCGACATCCAATGATAGCTGCATCCATCAAGAATCCGAAGGGAACAAGATAAGTAGCTCGCTGAATAACCCACATGAAAGAGGGTGTTAGTAGGCATTGAATGAAAGAATGGATCATTATTTACCAATGACAGCTGCATCCATAGAAATCCCAATGCACCAGAAGACAAGAAGCTTGCTGAATAGCCCACATCCTATAATAAAAGAGGAGGTTGGCAGGCGTTGAAGACGAGAACGGATCATCATTTACCAATGATAGCCATACGCACGAAAACATGTAGGCATCCGATGGCAGCTGCATCCATAGAAATCCCAATGCACCAGAAGACATGCAGCTTGCTGAATATCCCACATACTATAATAATAGAAGAGGAGGTTGATTGGGATTGGAGCCAAAACACGGATCATCCACTATTTACCAATGACAGCCATACGCACGAAAACGTGTTGACATTCAATGATAGCTTCATCCATGAAAACCCAAAGAACCAGAAGACAAGTAGCTTGCTGAATAGCCCACATGCTAAGATAAAAGCGGAGGTTGGTTAGGATTGGAACTAAAAAACGTATCATCCCATATTTACCAATGATAGCCATACGCACGAAAACAGGTTGACATCAATGACAGCTGTATCCATGAAAACCCCAAATGACCACGAGACAAGTAGCTTGCTGAATAGTCCGCACACTATAGTAAAAGAGGATGTTGGTAGGCATTGTAGAAAAGAACGGATCATCATTTACCAATGATAGTCATATGCACGCAATCCTGATGATATCCAAATCCAGCCGGTTCTTTGCAATCGTCCACTTGTTGATAAGGCCCGCTACGGTGGTACTCGGCTTGAAAGCGATGGAACGATACTTTATGGGCATATGCAGTGAGAAGGTTGAGTAATATTGATACCACCAAAGATAGCATACTTACATGATGCCGAAGAGCCCTTACAAAGAGGGACAACGAGACAATCCTTGCTGCCCAAGACCACATGCAAATCGAGAAAGCATTGTGCATCGAAAAGCCCAAACCAGATCCTAGCTGCGGAGTGACGTACATATGGCTAAAGAGCGATGTGAATGGCAATCGTTTTTCATTGGAAATCGAATGCAGCTTGACGATGAATGCCTTGAGGAGATGCATAAATGACCTTGGCAACACCAAAGATGTCAACGCGGGTTCTCATTGCTTGTTGATGACATGATGCATCCATAAGACACGTATAGTTGTAGAGATCCATCAAAGGAATCGCCAATAACCAGAACCACCAAGAGATAGAAAGGTTGCTGATATCAAAGATATACAAGTTGTTCCTTGCTGCTGATGTGATCAATCGATAAGAGACCTTCATTTCAGCATGCCCACCGAATTGCCGATAACGAGAAGAACCAGATGATGGGAAAAAGCTTGATATGACACCAACGATATGGATGCTGTCACTTGTTGCTGATACAATCCACTCATAAAAGACGTTCATTGGCTGACATTCCCCAGAGAAATCGCCCGTTGCTTGGTAACCAACCACCCGAGACGCAATAAAGGTTGACACCACCAAAGACATAAACACTTCCCCATGGATGACATGATTCACCTATAAAGGATGCACCATAAACAATTGTCCAAACTCATACAACAATACTTAGCAATCATAGCTGTGATCTTCTAAGCTCCAAAACACCAAAAGACAAGCAGCTCTCTGCAATAGTCCCTCTAAATAATGGTAGGCGTTTCAGCAAAGGTCTCCAAAAAGCACGAGAGTCCTACATACCTGAACCATGGTGATCAAAAGGAATTGCAACCAAATACACCATCCGAAGGCAATACAATAATCAACCTGCAGCGCCAAGGTATGCCACCATATGTACCATACTCTCATTGGATCCTGAAATTGGCATCATAAGAGATATCCACCTTCTCTCTGTAGGCAAGGAAATCAATAGCCGTACTTGGATGGAGGCCGTGCGCACAGCGGATGCCTTTTCAAATTGGCCTTGCCATCGCATCTTGAGTCACACTGTTTCCGGGCCAAAATTCCCCAGGAGAGCACAGTACTATACAATGACATCCTTGACGTGCAGCCTTGATAATAATAGTATCGCCGAAAGAGGCTCTGCCACTGTATGGCGTTTGGTAAGTCCACTTGAATCCAATCAATCCCACAATGAACACTCTTACCTTGTAGTATTTCTCAATAGCATTATTGCCTCAAATAAAGCCGTATCTCCATGCCATCCATATTGTCTTGCTGCTGTTTCACTGTAAGTCTCGTTAATTCACAGGTTTCGCTTTGTAGATCCAATACCACGCATACCATTGAGCCAACCATACAGCCTTCTTGCTTTGAGATCCGTATCCTGTTGCTGCCAGAGGTACCATCATCCAACATGTTCACCTACCATAAACGCAATGTGAGATAAGAAGCAAACCCACCCCACACGCTTTTGTTGTCAGCATACCCAAAAGAGGCAATGTACAGACGTCTTGAGAACTCCCATTGTGGACGACTCGGTAAGGAGACACACGACGCCCTGAACCATGGTGATCACAAGGAATTGCAACCAAATACACCATCCGAAGGCAATACAATAATCAACCTGCAGCGCCAAGGTATGCCACCATATGTACCATACTCTCATTGGATCCTGAAATTGGCATCATAAGAGATATCCACCTTCTCTCTGTAGGCAAGGAAATCAATAGCCGTACTTGGATGGAGGCCGTGTGCACAGCGGATGCCTTTTCAAATTGGCCTTGCCATCGCATCTTGAGTCCTTGCCATCGCATCTTGAGTCACACTGTTTCCGGGCCAAAATTCCCCAGGAGAGCATAGTACTATACAATGACATCCTCGACGTGCTGATTGATCAAAATAATCGCCCAACCAGAGCCTGACCTAATATTTCTTTCGTAAGCACACTTGGAGGGACAAATTCCATAATGAACACTCTTACCTTGTAGTATTTCTCAATAGCATCATTGCCTCAAATAAAGCCGTATCTCCATGTCATCCATATTGTCTTGCTGCTGTTTCACTGTAAGTCTCGTTAATTCACAGGTTTCGCTTTGTAGATCCAATACCACGCATACCATTGAGCCAACCATACAGCCTTCTTGCTTTGAGATCCGTATCCTGTTGCTGCCAGAGGTACCATCATCCAACATGTTCACCTACCATAAACGCAATGTGAGATAAGAAGCAAACCCACCCCACACGCTTTTGTTGTCAGCATACCCAAAAGAGGCAATGTACAGACGTCTTGAGAACTCCCATTGTGGACAACTCGGTAAGGAATGCACACGACGCCTCATTGGGTCTTGTATAGACGAGACAACACCAACCTACACGCAAACTTTAGTACCACAATGTTCGACTTGAACAATAAAGGAATTGCAGCGATTGAACTTACATGTTGTATTGGAATGGAAGCTTGTGTCATGGGTAGATCGCGCACGTGCTTGTTGTAACTGAATGTGTCGCCATTGACCATCTGTTCACCCATTGACGGTGTGCATTGTTGGCAATGCCAGAAGTGAGTGGTGTGGAGAGTGTAAATGGAGTTGGTCTTACCTTGCATCGTTGTGAAGCGGGAGTGAGAGAAGGTCGTCCCTTTCATTGTTCCTGATTTGTGCACTCCACGCCGCCCCGCTTGTAACAGTGTGTGTGCCTTAACAATATCCTTTACACTTGGGCCAATAACGACAATACGAGGTTTCATGTGAGTATTGGTCTTCGAACAAGCACATCATAACTTCCTTACTGTGAGAGGGCGATCGGCGTCTATCATGTCCATGTGCATCGACTCGTTTATGCAGCTAGATTCCTAAATTTGTACAACCAACGCGCGACCTCCCCCTACCAATCGTAAAAGAATATGATATCAGCGTATAAATTCATTGTCATTGTCATGCTGGGTACCTTCTTCATCAATTAGCGATCATGTATAATGAACAAATACTGCAATGTTTTGCTGACATGGCTATTTTAATGGCAATCAATATCATCACTATCATGCAAAAGACAATACCAGCAGCTGTTGTAGTACTTTTTGGTTTCGTTTAATGGTGCAAGTCGTACGACCTTTTCTCGTAGAGTGTACGTGTGAAAGATGGTTGCTCTCTTTTTGGGAGGTGCTGCTCCTTCTTTTGTCTCCTTTGATACGGTGCTTAGATGGTAACCAGCTGCTTTGAATATGCACATAGCAATATCCCCATAATCTTGGGCCAGTAAATCGTATAACTAAGTATCCAACTGAGCATAGCGTTGTAGTCACCTTACTATGGTCGAAGTGCTATTAGGAATGAAGTAAAGCCAATGCATAACCCCTACTGCAGCAAGCCATGTGAGCGCGTATAGTTTATTGTTGTCATCCATTCTTGAATTTTATCATTGGGCCATTTACAGGTCATGTAGTGTGCAAATCACCTTATGCTCGACCGATAATAGTATCATCATTGTTCAATATTACCTCCTTCAATGATGAAATGCGCCATGTTTTATCAACATCTGCGATGATACTACAAAAGATGGTGATTTACGTATATAGCGTACTAAGGAGACTTTATACAGGATTTCCCAAAAGAAGTGGAACATGAGGATAATGATTTCGTGGTTAAGGTGATTGGTTTCGTGGGTGATGATTATTTGTTCGTGGCTAATGACAAGTGAGTTCGTGGATGGTGGTTTTTGGTTTCGTCGGTAGTGCTTTTGGTTTCGTGGATAGTGCCTTTTGAATTGGTGGGCAGCGTCTTTTGAATTGGTGGGTAGCGCTTTTGATTTCGTGGGTGATCATAAACTATTCTATGCAACAGCGTACATCAATCAGCAAGTCGTATGCAATGTTGACCAGCAATACAGCGTATGAAACGTTTATTATCACCCACGAAATCAAAAGCGCTACCCACGAACATTAAAGTCATCCTGCGCGAAAATTAAAGTCATCCTTCACGAAATAAAAAGCCGTGCCCACCAAACCAAAAGCGTCACCCACCAATTCAAAAGGCACCACCCACCAATTCAAAAGGCGATACCTACGAAACCAAAAGCGTTACCCACGAAACTAAAAACCATCACCCACGAACTCATGTCATTAGCCACGAACAAATAATCATCACCCACGAAACCAATCACCTTAACCACGAAATCATTATCCTCATGTTCCACTTCTTTTGGGAAATCCTGTAAAAGGATGTTTTAATACGATATTTCTGTTCTGGCGAAGCTCTGCTGTAATCTCATGGCATAGCTCCAAATCCCCTAAGAACACAAAAAAAGGTCACGTGACCCGTTCTTCAGACGAAGAAAAAGGATTAACACCTTTCAAAGAGGCTATTACAAAGACGAGATGCCTACTACTGGAATCGAACCAGTGACCTTCCGCTTACTAGGCGGACGCTCTGCCAACTGAGCCAAGCAGGCTTTAATTACGAAATCACCAAAAACATGATAGGCGGGTCAACTTCCCTATATGGAAGGTGCGTCGAATCGTTTGGAAAAAATTGTTTGATGCAGCGGAGCATGTGCGAAAGACGTTGGTGACAAGGTTGCATTGATATGGGAGGTCAATAGGAAGTAATTTGGAGGAATAGGATGAATGGTGTCGGGGTAAGTTGATCCAACCTATGAGATCAAACACCATTATCCCCAAACCCCGATTCTGTGTAAGGGTAGGTGTAGGTTCAGAAGGCAACGCGAGCAATGTTACGAGATCAGAAAGCAGAGAAAGCGGTAGATGGGATACACACATACATATATAAACACAAATTGTATATTTCACAGTTGCATGTAAACTAAAATGATCTCATCTAAACGATTTGCTGTACATAGCTACATGCTAATCCATTGTCGATAACTGCATTAATCGTGCAAGCAAGCGGATGGCCTTTTCTTTAAGCTCGTTTTCATTTACAAGCTCCATTATATCTAATGATGAACATGCTGTTAAATCTCTATCATCTGCCATACTAGATATGGTTCTTACCTTCAAGCCAATTCTTGGTTGCTGCGAGTTGTAGGGTATAATCTTGTAAAAGTAACTTTTCTTGATGTTGATAGCTCACGTTCAAAATGATATCGATCCCCGTCAATAAAGCTTGGACAACGCTTGTTGCAATGTTGGCATAACGTAATGATAAAGCAAACTCAAAGTATTCCATCACAATGCGCCGTTTATCTGGAGTATTTGCTGTTGAACGTATGTTAGTTGGAAATTCTCAGGAAAAAGTGATACAATGCTTACTTGCACAGTGCATGATAACGTTCAATGCCATCACAAATCGTTCCGCAAGTATTGTGTCACGGCCCAACCAGAACCTATGCAAGATACGGTTACATGGATGTTATTCATCTTTTTCTTCAAAATGACTTACTTTGTACGGCCTTGAGAACCTTCCCACCATCCAACCAGCAAAGGGAAAAAGAAACATGATCCAGCCAATCCACTCAAGCGATTGCGTTGTGTGCTCTTGTTTTTCTCGACTTCCATCCTCCTTGAAAACACTCTTATCTTTCCAATTTTTTGTTCTGGTGGCTCCAGTGAGAGTCGTTCAAATTCAATGTGTGGTGCAGCATGCTTACTTTCGGATGCCTATTCTCTTTGGTTAGTTGTCATTTGGTATACCCAGCTTGCTACAAACCTCTTCATTCTCGGTCCAACCTGCTAGCTCTCTTACTCCAAGGATAATAGATGCCAAGACAACCTGCTTGATTTCAATTGATGTGTTGCGTCCATAGAGCGCGTCGATGAGAAAACTAATAAAAGTTTCAGCATAATGTATAAATCACCCATTCGACGCAATAGCATCATTACCCAGCAACTCGATCAGGAACAGCCACTATCAACGCTGTAATGGCGTGTTGTTGTCGAATCTTCATTTCTGGTAGCTCATAGGATTCAGGTATATCCATCAAACGACGTGCCAATACAACCGCGGAATCCTCTATGGGGGAATCAAGCAAGGTATTAGCATATTGAAAAAAGAATGAGGGTATCCATTTCTCATACCAAGCTCTGTGCCGTAACCCGTCTTTTGACGAATTAGCTCTTCTGCCGATTTCAATCCTATCTCCAATTTCACGGGATCGTCATGGTCTTTGAGGTAGTTGATCAAATCCAAAATGTATCTATAGGGCTTGACAATGAGCGCCTATGTATTCGATCAAGTATTTCCTACTTACACTGGCTTTCTTGCACGTGATTTCTTTGTCCGTTTGTCCTGCCCATATGCGCCTTCCTCATCTTCGGACGATTCTTCTTCCATAGGATATGCATCCAAATCAGATTCATCCGTCTCGGTATCATCTTTGTGTAAAACCAAGTCAATAAAAGATAATGAATGATACGCTGGATGTGTGAACAATCAATCACCTTGATCATCAACGGAAACAATTGCATCTGGATCAAGTTCCTCTTCCTCTTCCATATCCGATTCCTCGCTTTCAACAATATATGCAACATCGCCTTCTTCGGTCAATGGTACTATCAACAAACATTACATTAGTATTTGGATCAAGTTGAAGAGAAGGAGACATACCAAGTGCAAGTGCATCGCGTGTTGCATTGAGCTTTTTCAGTTCAGAGAAATGCTTGTTTGCTTCATCATCAAGTATGCCAGAGTGAAACCAATTTTCTTCCTTGTCGACCAGCGACGATATACTTTCAGCAACAACCTATTGAGGGAAATTAGTAACAATCATCACTGATGAGGGATCATGAATACATACGACACCGAATTTGGCAGTTGTCATATCCTTGCTTTGAAACCAACGGTGAATGTGTGCCATCAATGAAGTGTCAAAAACCACGTGTTGGAGTTGCTCTTTGGGGAGATAGCCAGCTGCAATAAGTAGACCACTGGTGATATCTGGATAATAGCATAGTCATAAGCTGCTGTGTCGTTGCGAATATGTAAAAAGACCTACATTCTTGTTCCTGATGGGATCCATGCATAATAAAAACGGGGTCTGCCCAAACATCCACCAACTTTTGTATCAAGCGGTCCACCATTTGAATCGAATCCAAGACAAGTAATCGCTCCTGCTCTATGCATATACAGTGAGCTACCTATCACTTTGATGATCCCATCACTATTATTTACCGTTGTACTCGATACCCATTGCATGCACTGCAGCCGCTATAGCAATTCGTAATATCACCGTGCTGGCAACTCGTTTCTTGGCCATTTGGATGAAGGCAACCGATAAGAATTCTTCCACTAAGCGCAACCGTTTTTGCTTGTCATGCATCGAAAATAGCACCATTGATAGACCAAAAGCTGCTTTCTGGATATCCCCTGCCGTTTCTTGGTTGATGGCATGCCGCACATGTAATAACATCATCTCTGACAATTTCTCGGTGGTGGACATGGTAGTAGCCGCTTCCCATAAATCAGCCCAAGCTTGTCCCATCTTTGATGGATCTTGTCGAATACGTGCAAGTGCAATAGGATACAACGTCGATACAATGATATCTATGGATGATGCTTAGCGGGATGATGACATTGAAGGCTTATCATTCTTTAGTTACCTGTATAGCCTTGTCGCATCATTTTACCAAGCAACTCGCCGGCAAACGCGCTTTGATTCGATTCAACTCGCACCGCATGTCCCAATTGCTTTGCTACAAGTGGATAAAAATTCCTACATGATGGATCAGCCATCTTTTCATCCCATACCTTGTGCCCATATATACGTACGTGTCTTGATACCAGTCGCTCTGTTTTTCCAATCCAAATGCATTAGCCAACTTTGCGGGGAAAGAGCAAATCAATGAACAAAAGAAGCGAGGGTCATCCAATCCATTGTAGTGCATATAAGCTGGAAAGAGCGGTTCGCTGATAGATCGCTTGAGAAGGCGTTCATACAAATGCAATGCATCGAGTCGGGCGTTATCCACCACTTGTAAGCAGTCGAGTATGATAGGTAAACTGATCTGGGCCATGTTACAAAGCAAAGCATCTTGATCGCCTCTTTCACATTCGATGCCAACACCAAATAGCGTTGCTTCCAAAGCCGTAACAAGGGATGCTGATGTCGCTGTGAAGATAAAACTCCAAGAGGGAATGACTTGTTGACACACGGTCCACACATGGTGCTTCCAAGCTGCATGCTGCACAAACGTTAATCGTTCCTGGGGATCCATGTCGTTGCGAAGCCATGCTACAGGTTCTTCGATACAGGCTGCAATGCTATTGCGTGTCGGCTGTTTATCGGGCAATGTCGCATTGTCTAATTCGCGGATCGCGTTGGTGAGTCGTTTGTCGGTGTCAACCATACAGAAGGCCAAGATGGTAAATGTTAGTCCAACACATCCCATTTATGCAGGTGCCTTATGCATGGATGGCTTGGATTCATGATCACTTTCATTGTTCCTCCCTCCCCCTCATTATTTTATATTCATTGTAAATGAAAAGTAGTGATGTTCTTTTACTACCTTTGATTTAGAATAAAGTAGCCTTGCTATACTCTTATCTAGTAGTCTACTTTTTCGTATGGTTGTGTCTTGGAAAAGCAGGCATTGGATCAACCAAAGAATGAGTAGGTAGCAACAATAAGACATTTGTTATATGAATGATGGTAATACAAATCTCTACTAGGTGATCTTACATACTCAACACAAGAACTAAGATGATATGAAAAGGAGGATATTAGAGAGTGGTCAATCATGTACAAGTAGGTCGAATGTGATAGCTTGATTCTCAGACCACCAATGCAAAGCGTGCAAGTCGATGGGGGGCTAAAAAAAACGTCACGGGGGGCCATATGTCGAAGCAGGTTGTGCCAAACACAGCTTCTTTGTCTGCTCTTTTTTAGCTTTGACACAACTGCTTTCTTCTCTTTATCCCCCTCTCGTCCCAGCGTACTTGTCTTCGTTATCAACATGACTACCAACATGAACTTCGGTCCCGAATGGTAAAGGAATTGAACAGTAAAGGGTCATAGAGGGTTCATACTTTTATTCACACACACACACTCTATTACTTCTTCATAGGATGCGCCCAGGTGTTCCCAAGCGATCCAGCACGTTCGATTCCCAAAATGCTCGTCCAATGCACTCTTTGAACCATCCTTCAGGTGTTAATGGAGGTCTGCAGTCCTTCATGGCACTCAACCAAGCACCACTACAACCGGGATTCAATGACGAGTCTATTTCTTCCATCTCTGACCATCCAAGCCTAAATGCCACAAACCTGGGACAATTGTCCGAAAGTGCATTCGGTGTATCGACTGAGAATCCATACAAGTACTCGAAGGAATTCATGTTGAGCTTGTATCGACCCGTGGATCCTCCAGCAGACTTTGAACGCCATGAATACGTCGCCGTTGAAGAGCCTCAGGGTCCTCTATCATTTGTGGAGTTATCTGAAGAGGAGAAAAAGGTATAAGGTTGTCATGGGTATGTTTGTTTTCATCATGACTAATATGGTTGCCCCTCCCCTCCCCTTTGTAGTTGTTGGCTGGTCCTGTACATTCTGAAGTTGGACGTCGTATGATCATTTCAAACAATGAAAGAACCAATGGACAAAGAAACAACAACAACAACAACAACCATCGCGACTTGTATGCCAGCCCATTACATAGTCCTGCATCTGAAAATGCACCTGGCACACCGGGAAGAATGAACATGGCACGCTCCAAAGGTAATGAATTTGGGTTTTGCATGGTAGGACAAGCTATTGATTCCTTTTAGGTCGCATGCATGATTATTTCACCAGAGATCGTGATCAACAAGGTTCCAAGCGACATGATCAAGGTACACACTTCATTCGTATTGAAATAGAGGATGATGATGATGTCTAATTGAGAGTGCATTTATAGAGGGTGGCCGACAACGTGAATGGTCTCAATCGGATGGCCTTGGTACTCTCACACCCAACAAGTCGCGTGATGACGAACAAGAACCACCAGCTTGGGGATCCGTCAGCCAAGAAGCTGTGGGTTCATTTGACAGCAATGGTGTATTCCGACTTGGTGGTGGCAACATGGCTGGAATGGATACCCGTCGTGGTGATTGGCAAGGGGATTCGGATATGAGTAAAAGAGGAGGAGGTTTCCAAGGTGATGAAGCTTTTGGTTCCCCACTCAAAGGTGGACATGGCGTACTTGGTGGTGCTGGTGGTGGCATGAATGGTGAATTTTCATCCGAAGCTGAGAATGGAGGACCAGCATCCATGTTGAATACCAAAAAGCCAGTGACTCAGTACAAGTGGTTTTACCGTGATCCTCAAGGCACTGTGCAGGGACCATTCGAGGCACAGGAAATGCAAGAGTGGTACAAGGCTGGCTTTTTCGCTCCTACGCTATTGATTCGTCGTGAAGATGAAGGCCAATTTGAACCTTTGATTGTGCTTATTCGACGCCTTGGCACCGATGATGAACCGTTCTTGACCCCATTCCCTTCGTCGCATTCGGCTACTGGATCTCCAAGCGCGTTGCATATGCCGCCACGTTCAAGAGCCTTGGATCCTTTCAGCCGTGGTCCTGCTTCAACAGGCTCATTGATGGGTTTGGATCCTTCTGCTGGTGGTGGCTTCTTTGGCAACTCATCCCAAGCATCCGATTTGTTATCACCTCAAGCAAGCGGTGCTGGTGGTGGTCTTGATTTTGGTGGTGCAAAGTACAATCCATTAGGAGGAGGTGGTGGTATCAACAACCTATCCACAAACTTTTTGCAGCAGCAAATGGGTCAAGGTCCTGGTTCTCCTCATTCGCCATCACTTCTTCAAGGCCCTCTCAATTCTTTTGGTTCTTCATTGCTTGGTTCACGTGACAGTGGCTCGCCATGGGGAGATAAGCCAAGAACACCTTCATGGTTGAATAGCAGTGGCAGCCAAAATGATTTATTTGGAGGTGCAAATGACACTTCGGGTATGCCACCATTGTTCCGTCAGCAGCAACAACAACAACCCTCGTTGAATCCATTATTCGGCTCCAATATGGGTTCACCAGGTCTTTTTGATTATCAACGTGCTATGAACGAGCAAATGTCGCATCAACAATACTTGCAGTTGTTACAACAAAAGCAGCAGCAACATTTGCAGTTCCAACAACAATTGCAACAACAGCTATCGCAACAACATTCTCTTGAAGCTATGCTTGCATCTCAACAATCCCAGGCTTATCAACAACAGCAACACGCTCAGCAGTCTCCTCTTGCGCAATCTGCTTTTGCACCAGCTACTAGTGTGGGTTTGGAATCAACTATGCCTACTCGACCACAAGCATCTCCCGCTGCTGCTCCTGGTTGGGGTTCAGCTCCTGGTACTCCACGAGGCGTTGGTAGTGTTACTGCTGGTGATGGAGGATCAATGTCAAACTCCTGGTTACAAGGCAAAGCATCACCTACTCCTGCTGCATCTCAACAAGCTGCTGCTACCATTCAGACCCCAGAAAACAAGGTTGAACCAGAAAGCACTTTGGATGATATCGTTACACCAATGAGCACTATGCAATTGAAGGAAGAACCAAAGGAACAGCAGCAATACAACGCTATCAAAGAACCATCTCCAGCACCCGCCAAGGAAGTTGTTGAACCCGTAGCAGAGACATCACCTTCGAAACCAGCATCTGCACCCGCTGTTAAACCTGTATCATTGCGTGAAATTCAAGCTGAAGAGATGCAAAAGCAACAAGAGCTTAAGGAACAACAACAAAAGCTTATGCAACAACAACAGCAGCAGCAACAACAACAGGCAAAGGCTGTTCAACAAAATGGTGCTAGTACCAAGGGTGGATGGAATGTTACCAACAATTCTCCATGGGGTGGTGTGGATCAAACGCCAAAGGGCCCTTCGTTGCGTGAAATTCAAGAAATGGAAGCAAAGGAAGCTGAATCGCGTAAGCAAGTTGAAGCACAACAAATGGCTGCATCAGCTGCTTCTTGGGCAAACACATCCAAGAACCCAACCATCGTATCCAATGCATCTTCTTCATCACCAGCATGGGGTGCTACCGCTGCTCCTAAAAAGACTTTGCGTGAAATCCAGCAAGAAGAAGAAGAAGCCATGAAGAAGAAAGTAGCCAAACAACAGGCTGCTGCTGCTGCTGCTAATGCCGCTGCTGCCGCTGCCGCTGCCGCTACTGCTAGTGCTACAAGTGTCAACAACATCCCTAGTAAAGGCTACGCTGGTATTGCTGGTACTACTACACCCAAGGTAAGATGCATTTCATTATACTCTATAGGCAATGATGCTAATTTAATGATGATAGTCTGCAAGCTCCAATGGTGGATCATGGACTACAGTTACCAATCAGCGCTCTGCTCCTAAGCCTGCTGCACCCCTTTCATCTATTAGCAACAATGTTCAACAGCCTGCTGCTCGTCAACAGAATGATGGATGGGAAGTAGTTGGTGCCGTCAAGAGTACACCTATTTCATCTACCCCTGCTTCAACTCGACCAGCCACTGCTGCTGCCGCTGCTGCAAGAAATGCTCCCAAGAATGATGGTGATCAAAAGCCTCCCAGTGAAGAGTTTATGCGTTGGTGCCGTCAATCCTTGCGTGGTTTGAATGCTGGTGTTAATGGTAAGCAATATTGAGGAGGGGGGATCATTACATTAGTGGCCTTTTACTAATGTTGATCTTTATTAGGTGATGAAATTCTTCAAATGTTGCTTTCCTTCCCATTGGACAACAGCTCTTCAGAGATTATTCAAGATATTATTTATGCAAACTCCACTTCCATGGATGGTCGTCGATTCGCTGCAGAGTTCATGAAACGTCGAAAGGCTGATATGGCTGGCAAGCTCAATGTTACCATTCCTGTGATGAGCAGCGCTGCCCTGGATGAGGAAGAGACTTTCCAAGTGGTCACCAAGAAGGGCAAAAAGAAAACCCAAGGCTTCTAATGATTCATTCCTTGCCTCCCTTGCACTACAAAGACACCGTATTTATGATAGCGCATCGCTCATAGTGATAATTAGACAATGACCAATATAATAACATCATTATTGCTTCACGTGATTAGACAAACTCAAGCTTTGCAAAGATAGGCAAATTGTGACGTATTCGGTCTAGCATGATGTTGTTGATTTAGCTCATCCTGGATGATTGGGTTACGCAGGGCGACAGCGACCAAGAGTGGCAATGAAAGAAATAGTATACCCTTGAGCGGTGTTATGCTACGTATCTTGTTGTTGCCTAGTTACCAGCAAAGCTGAATTGTGAGACATGTTTTTCAAGTTGCACAGCAAGCAGCGACAGCTGTCGATGTCAAGCCAACCCAATTACGGTAAGGGTCCAAAGGTATACGTACAACAACGTAATCACGAGAAAAAGCTTGCACCACATGGTCCAGTGCTTGTGTTCCCAGATCTACGCAATAGTGGAAAATGAATTCGTATGATGGCAAGGATAAAAAAAGAACTTGGGTTTATGCATGGACATCCAATCACACCATACCTGGTGAAGGTGCCCAACACTTTTGACCATTCCTAATCGAAGATTTATTACCCTTCCTCGCTTGGATTGCTTATATGTATCTTCAATGCACAATTACCATGATGAGGGGGCACATTCTATTCCTGCAGGTGACAACATGGCTGAGTAAAAGAGCTATACCCGCTTTGCATTAAGCCATTTATATTGCTCAATCATAGTCCATAACCCGATTGCGCTTATAAAGATATCATTTAGACAAGTGAAAGAGATGATGCATAGATATATACAAAGAGAGCGAGCGAGAAAGAGTTGGGTGGTGAGGGGGGGGGAATAGGTCTTGCAAAATTGGCATGGAAACGTGTGTGGTGGTGGGCTAGGATACATAATAGCGGTATTGATGATGATCATAATAAAGACGTTATTGGTTACCAACCAATGCCACCCTTAACCCAAGTGCCGTTTTGAGCAAAATGAGCAAGGAAGTTGGCGGTTTGGAGATAGAGATGGGTATCGGCAGGATGTTGATCCTGTGCTTTTTTCAAGGCTTGTAAGGTGAGGATGGCTTTAGGGTCGGCCGACTCAACAATGGTGGCAACGCATTGCTCCCAAGTAAATGACGTGGTGGATGAGAATAGGGAAGCTGATGCACCCATATCACGAGGTCGTCCTTGAACAATGTACGTGCATAATGTGGCGAGGAACTGCAAGTTGACGAGGGGCATCATGATATTAACGTGGGATGGAGCATGATTGATCAGTGTTTGGATAGCCAGGGCGGATGAAAGCAATTGCCCACCACCCAAAAACCAATCAAGCTCAATGGCACCCACACGCTGTTGATGGCTGCTATAAGTAATTAATCGTACGCTCATAGCAACAAGCTCATCCAAACGTTGCTGAAGGGTTTGATGTCTGTTACGTTTGGTCCACTCGAATAGATATGTCTTTAGCAGATCGCTTTTGCTTTTCAATAACACCTTGACAGCCGAGTGAAACGTATTGCTGCCATCAATCTTGCCACCAAAACGACGATCAGCACCCACAAGGTCAAACAGCAGCTGTTCATCGTTCCAGAACGTGGCGTTGGTATCGTCATTGTTGTCGTTGTGGATGGTTGTTAGCTCCGACACATCCAAGAAAGTGCTTGCCAAATACGCTAAACCTTGTGTCACCACTAGTGGGAGTCGTTGCTCAATACCGAATGCCAAATGAACAAGCGGCTGTAGTTGGGACCCCACAGAATAAAGTAGCACGCTATCGTAGAGATAGCGTTCAACGACACCTTCCATGCCATGCGTTTCTAATTGCTTGTCGAAAAAGTCGAGGTAATTTCCATAGTAGCTGCACGACATGATAAGCACAAAGACCCTCTTTTTTTGGTTGGTTCATTGTTCAATTACTTACATGGGGTTGCCTAGATACTCTTGCCAATTATTCTCGTCAATTTGAATGGGTGCCATTCTCAAAGGAGTCAACTCAGCATAAAGTTGATCATATACACGAGCGAGCTGATCGTTACTAGCTGGACGAAAAGAGTTAAAATCATCATTACGAAGCATGTATTAAGCTTACCACCAAGCTCATGCAAGGTAACAAGGACACGTGCTACAACGTTGGGGCGATCTCGATGTTCCATAAAGTAAAGCGAATGGTGATCACGGACAAGGTCAACCAGTAGCTTTCGGTTATTATTATCATGCATGCCACCACCGTCCTCATCATTGTCGTTGTTGTATGGCTGGCAAGGTGTGTAAGATAAAGTCTGGGCTGGTGATTCTTGTTGTTGCAGTGATAAAAACCCGGTACTCGTCATGGTTGCAATGAAAAATGAAGATGGGAAGAAAGAGGGTAAAATGGCATCATCAGCCAATGCATTTTATGCCCATTCATATAGGCGATCCCCCAATCCCGCACAATAGCAACGTCGAAAATAGCAACAAGTCACGATCCCTTTTCCTCTTCTTTTCTCGGTACACCGTCATTGCGTTGTGCCAATAAGAACAATCTCTGCGTCGTTATCGGCTATGATTTGTCAGGCGATTCTTTGTTTCCATATGATGTTTTGTGTGTCAGTCCCCCGGATAGGCGGATGTTGTTGTATATGCATGATGGATGAGATGTGCTGCTTAAGGGTGGTGGTACTTGTTCACCATTGGCTTTCGGGGATGTTGTTCAGGTATATTCTTTGAACTAAATTAGGCACAATCAAGATATCAGGCTGTGGAAATGCACGGTACGCAATTTGCAGGGATCGTTTTAGTAACAATTAGCCCGACACAGCCATTTTAGTACGTTTGTGAGGCACATACGAAAGTTTAAATGGATGGCACTTTATCCAAAACATGGCCATGTTGGATAGTCGCTGTCATCCAATATTCTCGGATCGCACTTGGCACTTCAACCTTATCTGCAATGACAAGTTTATTGGGTCTCCTGATACTTGCGGCGGAAGGGGCTGCTATTAATACCACACAACATAAATTGAATGAATAGAAACAATGGATGCTTTCGCTTAAAGTTACATCCAGTAATGGCAAAAATCATTGAAAGGATATCCTTTTATCGTATTTGACTTGCACTGAAAGCTGTAATGGGGGAAAAACTGGTTGATTATTGCTATATCGGGCCCTTCAAATGAGAACATTCTTCATACCCAAACATGAACAGCCTAGTAGTAACCATTACGCCAACCAGGTCCTCATGGCAACAAACAAACAACAGGGATGCTCTCACTTCCGAGGTTGGTATATCATACCATATTTTCAGGCATATGGGTGGGCCCAATTCTTCCAATAGTAAAGCCATTGGTGGCGGTTTCTACTGCTACTTGAACAAATAAAGTCCATAGGTGTGGAAATGCAAGGTGATGCATACGATCGATCTTGTGCAGAGACGTGTTGTTGTGTGTGTGTGTGTGCTTCCTCAACTTTAATGCTGCACACAAGTGTGGCTGATGCATCAAGACTTAATGCATCGTGCACGCTGCTGCATTTTATTCTTCTTTTACCGCCACCAGCTAGCGCATTAACATTGGTGGTGGAAACACTAAATTGCTGATGACAGCTATTTCCCTATTCTCTCTCTCACACCCTTTCATCGGAATATTTGAGCGAAATTTGGTTAAAGCGGTTGATGGTGTAATGTGAGAACATGATGGATGTACGACGCAACAGGCTTGCCCATGGGGTTTACATACACGTGGCATCTTATCTGTAATATGCAATGAGATGAGTGCCATATATGGATGGGACATGCAATGTAGGAGGGGTAATTGTCATTCAAGCAGCAAAGGATACGTGATACTAAACGCAACAAGTAGCTGTCGACGAAATACGGGAAGCAGTAGTGAGCAGTGTGAGTGTGGGAAAGATAGGCGACTAACATGGGATTATTACAGTTACACAACAAGCATGGGCTTTATTATTCACGATGATGATGGAAGTAAGCGTTGTGGATATCTTTCCCCACATTGTACGTATTGCGAGTGGTGGTTGTGATGGGGGTTTCTGGTTTTGCGGATGTGGGGTAAAAATGTGTAGCAGCCGACCTGTCAACCAATCCAATGCATGCAAGAACGAACAATGAGACGCCGTCGTTAAAGCAAAGAACAAAGAGAATGGATTTCTTTTCCTATTAGAGTTTTTCTCATCGCACACATTCACCGCCCTTGTTTCCTCTCTCTCGCTCCCCCATTCACTCAGCTTAGCAACTGCTGTTCCTTGTTTGTTATGCAGGCACCTTCTCAGCAGCTGCTGCCGCCGTCTTCGTCTGCAACTCAAAGACAACTTCCCCACAATCTTCCATCGCCAGATTCCGATCTCGATTCAGCTTCCATGGTCATTTTACCTTCCTCTCCCTCTTCGGCTCTTGTTAATTCTCCTTCCACTACAACAACCACAACTACTACAACAACAACAACAACCAATGACGCTGATTCACAACCCACGCCTATGGTTGTTCCCGCAAAACGTGGATACAAGTCTCATGTCCCTAGTGCTTGTAAGCAATATCCACCTTGTATGATTCAATCTTTACTAATAATGTCATCGTATAGGTGTCAACTGCAAAAAGGCTCATTTAGCATGTGATGGTAAGTATCTAGAGCGAGAGAAAAGCTGAAGGTGCTCATGGCTTTAAACGTATAGTATCAAGACCGTGCAAGCGATGTGTGTCATCAGGGAAAGCATCGACATGTCAAGATGTGCAGCATAAGAAACGAGGACGACCAAAGTTGAATGATACAAAACGACTCAATATCATGTATGGGGGATCAATGATTATTCAAACGCCTGCTTCAATCATGCAAAAGAACACGCCATCCACGAGCTTTTCCTTTGTTCACGAACCTGTGGAATCATTTCGTGGTCAACAGCAACAAGAAATCACATGGAACAAGGATGATCTTATAGCCACTCGTAAAGATCAACATGAATCATCGTCAATATCACCAACCCCCGCTGCACAGCAACCGCAACCACAGCAACCATCACCATCACCACGACAACCATCATCATCATTTTCATCTCCTGCATTATCCTTTGTCACCACATCATCTTCACCAGCAATACAATCATCCTCATCATCCTCATCCTCAACATCACCAACTACGATTACCATGTTTCTATCGATGGAAATGTGCTGTGCTCGAGCATCGGAGGAAACAAAGGAATCATGGGGATATGATCCAAACGAGTTGATGCATCGTTCCTTATATGGTCTCATTTCTTCGCATGACACTGACCGGCTGGCACGGTTACATCGATTATTACTTGATAATATTATGGATATTACACGGCAATACGGCAAAGAGTTCCGACCAGATGCTCGACCACCCCCTTCAGAACGCACAACATCACCACTTTTTCATCAAATTGAACCAGAAAAGTTGATGGTCCCTGCGAGAGGATCGGAAGTGTTTATGGATACCATTCATGTCAAGAAACAATCCGGGGATTATGAGCTATATCAAATGCAAGTCTCATTGGGCGCTGGGCTTGGTGCCGATTTGACAAGGCCTTCAACATTGAACAAGTTGTATATTGTGGCAGAATTAAGGAAACATGAATATCGAGTGAGAGGACCTTATCAATTGGATCAAGTGGTGAGCAACAACAAAGACAACGTCAACAACAGCAACAGTGGCACCAACAGCAACAACACTCGTCAACATATGAATAAGAACAATCGTCGGCCTTTATCAAAGTTCCAGCCTCTTCCCAGCAATAGCAGCAACCACATTAACAATAACGTCGGCCATCCATCTTATCACCATCGACCTTTGATGCCACGTACACTTACATCACAACCTCCTCGATCAGGATCATTACAAGTACGACAAGGATTACTGCCAGGTCATTTTACTACCAATTCACAGCTTAATACGGTGACGTTATCTACCAAAAAGTTGGATATTATGCCCAAGGTGAATGTTGCCCCGGTGACAGCAGATAAGCGACATCAGCCAATGGAGAATAAGGTTGCCGATCGACTATTTCCATCGTTGAGTGGATCTTGTTTTCGGCAGATAGCCACCAATGCTGATAATACCATGCGGCGACAAAGTGGAGGAGGAGGAGGAAATGGCACTAGTTCCACAACGCCGATCCATGTTAGTCCAGGCCTATCTTATCGATTACCGCCTAATACTACTGCAGCAGGAGGTGGTAGTGGAGGAGCAGCAGGAGGAGGCAATACGATTCCATCAAGACGAGTGATACCATCAGTGACCCATCCCACCACACAATATTTTCTACAAACATCCAGCAGTACTTTGAATGCAGCAGCTTCAGCAGCGCAAAGGACAATGAAGCAAACAAGTATTCCTGAATTGGAGAGCAGCACAGCAGCGGCGGCTGTTGGCAAGACGGACTCGAATCGAAAAACGGAAATGAGTGTCCGATCGCTCTTGTGCTAAAAAAAATACCAACGTGGCACACTGAAGAAAAAGAAGGGGGGCCACCACCACCACATCTTACGTCGATCACATCACGTTTTTTATCACCGACATACGAAACACACGCACACACACACACATTCACATCTCAAAGTAGTGTAGAATTTATATATATTGTACCATAGTCCTTTTCCCTCCTTTTATTATATATATATTGAATCATTATGCAATACACAAAACTAGTGTAATCTTGTATACCTTTTCTCTCTCTCTTCTTGGGTCTCTCCCCTGATCTTTTGCCAAGATGGTAAAGAAGAAATAAGCAATATCTGCTTCCATTGGTCGGATGCTGTTAGCGTTGTTCGCGGTCTTATCATAGCACACTAGGTTGTGTAACCTGATGCTTATCCTTGTCTCACTATATAAAAAGAAAAAGACGGAGGCAGACCTCCTCGTCTATTTTCAGTTTCCTTCATCTCAACTTCATCATGTCTGAAGCCCGCATCGCCGCCGTCAAGATTGCCACCAACTCTTCCTTTACTCTTGAAGAATACCGTAGCCGTAAGGTTGCTCTCATCACTGGTAAGTCACCCTTGTCCCCTTTTTCTTGATCTACCATCTCGATCGGGTGGTACCTGAGAAAGGATATGGAAGAACAACAACCCACGTTGCCATGGCAATACTAACTCATGATGATGTGAATTTAGGTGTCACTGGCCAAGATGGTTCCTATCTTACCGAGTTTTTGCTCGAAAAGGGTTATGAAGTACATGGTATCATTCGTCGATCATCCTCTTTCAACACGGGTCGTATCGAACACATTTACAAGGATAGACATGATCAAGGTATGGGAAAATGGCCTTTAGTTGGGAACAAAAGGATAGAGGGAATAACACGATGCCTATAGATGTCAAGTTCTTTTTGCACTATGGTGATTTGACCGACTCTACTTGCCTTGTCCATATTATTGCTCAAATCCAACCCACTGAGGTGTACAACTTGGCTGCTCAATCTCACGTCAAGGTCTCCTTTGATATGTCTGAATACACTGGTGATGTGGATGCCCTTGGTACTTTGCGTCTTTTGGATGCTATTCGTACATGTGGTTTGCAAGATCGTGTCCGTTTCTACCAAGCTTCTACTTCCGAGTTGTATGGTAAGGTGGTTGAAACCCCACAAAAGGAGACCACTCCCTTCTATCCACGATCGCCCTATGGTGTTGCCAAGTTGTATGGTTACTGGATCACTGTCAACTACCGTGAGTCCTATGACATGTATGCATGCAATGGTATTCTTTTCAATCACGAATCTCCTCGTCGTGGCCGCACCTTTGTGACTCGCAAGATTACTCGTGCTGTTGCTGATATCCATTTGGGTCGTCAAGAATGCTTGTACTTGGGTAACATTGATGCCAAGCGTGATTGGGGCCATGCACGTGATTATGTCGAAGGCATGTGGCTCATGCTTCAACAAGATAAGCCTGATGACTTTGTGTTGGCTACTGGTGAGACACACACTGTTCGCAGCTTTGTTGAAAAGGCGTTTGCTGTCACCGGTCGCAAGATTGTCTGGGAAGGTGAAGGCGTTAATGAAATCGGCAAGGACGCTGAAACCGGCAAGGTCCGCGTTCGTATTGATCCAAAGTACTTCCGCCCTGCCGAAGTCGAACTCTTGCTTGGTGATCCTGCAAAGGCAAATGAAGCTCTCGGCTGGAAGCGTAAGGTCAGCTTTGACGAACTCGTCACCGAGATGGTTGTTGCCGATATTGAAGGGTAAGCATAAAAAAGGATCTACTCCATATAACGTTTTTACTCATCCTTTTATTCTTTTCTATCTAGCTCGTTGAAGAACGATACCTACAACTAAAAAAGACATGTTGCATCCTCTTTTTATACACACACACACACATCTATTTGTTTCCCCACCCACCCCCTCATCACACATTTTGTCATCCTGCTACTACCTTTAAACCATCCAATGCACGCTTTTTGTTACTTATTTCCCCCCACGCACACACACACACCTCCTCCATCGCCATCTTGTACACTTTTGAACAAAAGCAATTGCTAGTAAATGATTTGTTTATCAATACATGTACACTTTTTATCTTTGTAATGATGATGATGATGATGATGGCGTTGTTATTGTTGATCAACTATGTATCCTGCTGTGTTTTCAAGGTGCGATGTTTGAATGAGAGGGCGCGTGCAACCGACACCTGGAGCGTTTCAGACAGCTTTCTCTTTTTCACAGCAACCACCACACTACCACCACCACCACGACACCATGAAGATATACGCTGCTGCCTTGTTATCGTCCCTGGCATCCGCTGTCGTTGCCTTTGAAAGCACTGTACCATGTCTTATGTGGTCTCCCAAGGAGTGAGTGTTACTAGCACCATGACTACACAGCAACGCATTCAACGTTATACACGACATTGAAACTCATTGTATATACAAACAGCTACTTTACACCTACCATGGATGCCATTGAACAGTTCATTGTTGGCAAAGATGATGCCGTCACTACCATCTGGTCGTCGCTCTCACCCGACATTTGTGATGCCAAGTTGATTGCTGTCGTTGACCAACCCGGCGTATGTGTATCTTGTTGTATACTGTTGCAAAAAGGGGAATGCTAAAGTGTTTCATATATAGATCCATGTCAACGATTTCTCGCGTTCAGAAGCCTTTGCTGCCATCAAGGTATATGTGACATATCAGAAAAAAGATGTTGGTATCTGACAGTGGGCTATGTAGCAATATCGCAAGGATGCTGCCACGCGTACCGAGTTCGAATACATTGCTGATAGTGTCAACGTCAATCAACTTGCACAATTGATTTCTGAGGAATGTGAAGGTAACATGGTACAAGTGGCTCCTCGACAAGGTAAGAAAAGAAGATCATGCAAAGCGTGGATTACTGATCTTTTGAATAGGTCTCGATATTGATCAAGATGCTCGATCACCTACTGTCGCTGTCATGTCATTGCCTTCCACCTCTGGTTCTGTTGCCGCCATGCAGGAAAATGGTATGTGCCCGTGTGGGAGGGAAAAATGAGGGAGGGTAGCTACTAATAGGAGATTTGGGTAGATGCTTCGGTGGATGAGTTTATCAAGTCTGTTCAGGAATATGCCCAAGACGATTATGCCGTCATTTATACCTCGAGTTCTGCAAAACAATCAGTAAGTCGTATACGCCATCTTCCACCGAAACACGCATTCTAATGTCATCATCATCATCCTCATTCTAGTCCTCACATATGAAGAAGCGCAGCATGTTTGAACGTCGTGCTCCTGCATCCGATAACAGCGCACCCATCTTTGCTAAATATCAGTTGTTCTCACCTGGTATCTTTATGGCCATTGGTGTCTCCATTGTCGTCGTCTTTATCGTAGCTGTTGGCGTCTCCTGGCTCGTTAATATCCAGACTCCCATCCGTTTCGAAGGGAAGCCCAAAAAGAACTAAGATAGCTGTTACTTGCTGATCCTTTATTCCATAAAGAGAATGAGTTGTCTTTCAACTTGCAATGCTTGTTTTTCATCTCGCCTTCATGTTTGCAGCTCGGCGTTGTAATAGATGTTTTTGAGGCATTCGTATTACGATCCCATAAGATCTACAACCCTCGGTCTTTACAGTGGAGGGCTTTATGTAACTTCTTGTCGCCAATCTTCATCTCTTACTTAGTAATGGGGTATCTTAAAAATGATACGAGGTGGGACTTGTCTATGGTTATTGGGATTGTTGATTAGCATTTACTGTATGCTTCATCAAACGTAGCAGGATGATCCTTATAGCAAGGGCCAAATAGCATAATGACGACCAAGACAATGAATGTAGGGTGATAATGAAGCACTTTGAATAGCCACCACAAAGATCAGCCCTGACCATAAAATTGATATCCAACATGATGGTGTTGGCAATATCCATCATCAGACAACGACAAAAGCCCGGTGTCAAAGTACTTTTTCCAGTAATCCAGGGATCATTTTATTATGCTAATACATACATCTCATTACAAAGAGCATCATTGTACTTTAGCGTGGTATATGTATTGGTACTTGAACGCCGCAAACACCAATAATGATCCAATTACATGACATCAGCAATCACTAGAACTACCTACGCCAGGTAACATACGGCTTCTAATACGGGGTATCTATAGAGGAAATGCAAGCCATGCTTGAAAAAGAAAACGGCCGTCTTTTGCAAATGCAACAACGTACCCTATTGATGTCCATATCTTTATAAGCAATGCACCCATTAGATCCAGTTGTTCCCAAGGCATGCTTCATCTCCAATATGTGATGAGTTTATTGTATTCAAATAGCAGCTATTCTCTATGGGTCATGCATTAAAGAAGAACAAGATCTGGTCGCGGGACTTGAAAGATAGCAGGTAAACCTCGTCACTTGTCGCCTCTTTTTCTCTCTTTCTACAAAGTATACAAGTGCATCGCAACAATGAAGTTAGTCAGGTAAAGTACCCATGAGACAATGTCGATGAGCGGCAGCAGATGCTTTCAAAGGACAAGGATCTGGAAAGAACACGCGTTTGGATGCTCATCCTGGTGTATCGATCTCTAGGTTTTTGATGAAGTTGAACAACGAGACGGTGAGCGTCGAGCTTAAGAATGGCACAGTGGTCCATGGCACTATTACTGGTAAGTATGCAGGAGAGAGGTTGTAAGAAAAGAGGATTCACTTTGTATCTATGCTTAGGTGTTGATATGAGCATGAACACGCACTTGAAGACTGTAAAGATGACCGTCAAGAATCGAGATCCCACCAGCCTTGACTCTCTCAGCATTCGTGGCAACAATATTCGATGCGTTATCTTGCCTGACAGCTTACCACTTGATACATTGCTTATTGATGATACACCCAAGGCAAAGGCTAAAAAGAAAGAAGGCAAGTGGTACTATCCAATGTTTGATTAGGAGGATTGATTCTCATGTATTGGTTTTCATTTACAGGTCCAGCAGGTCGTGGACGTGGACGTGGTGGTCCTGTACGAGGACGAGGAAGAGGACGAGGAAGACGCTAAATATCAACAAAGAGAGAAAGAGAAAGCACATTCATCCAACACACACACACACACACACACATCCACGCACAACACACGTTCACGCACAACACAAGTTAATCTCGCCCTTTTTTTCAGTTGCATATATATATACAACCCACTTATCCATCGTATGCACACCACTTCGCAGTAAACAAGACGAATAAAAAAAGGGGATGGCTCTCGTTGCTGTTTACTCTTGACAATGATGAAAACGATTTATACATGCTATACCATTTGTTGATGAGGCAGAGCTCGATGATGATGACGATCCTGACCGGTTGTTGTATGATGACGTTTGTTGGCATTATGACCTTGTACACGTTCATGACGGCGAAGAGCATCCATACGAGTGAATTTCTTTCCGCATTGTGAGCAGTAACAAAAGGGACGATTCTTCATGTGAATCGATTGATGCCTTGATAGATCATAAGAACGGCGAAACGTTTGACCACAAATACGACCTGATGCAGGATCCACAAGATGTTCACAAAGAAATTGACCAGGCGCTGAACCACTAGATGACTTGCATTTGGATACTCGACGCATACTACTACTGGAAGTACCAGCAACAGGGATCATGGCTGAGTTGGGTGATGATGTCCCTGCAAAAGTAAATGCAGGATGGCGGTGATAGCTGATGTTGCTATGACTACTACCACTACTATTGCTGCTGTTACTACTGCCAGGGTTGCATGGAGATAGGGGAGGTGGTGGTGGTGATTTGGCACTATGGGAGGAGGAGGATGGTGTCTGAGGTGGAGTGCGAATGTCGTCGTATGAAAAGTGGCGGTGAATAGGTGCTAGTTGAGAAGAGGAAGATGGTGATGATGATGGATGATGATGATGATGATGGTCATCTTGCTGATTCGGTTTGGTCAACGATGTAATTGCTGGTAATTTGATAGGGGCACCTAATGACAATGATGGTGAAGGAGGCATAGTCGTTGATGTACGGCGGAGGTCAAGCGGATGTATAATAGGCGGCGACTCGAACAAGGAGGATCGATGTTGTTGTTGTTCTTCGGGTGTTTGGTGGATATTAGGTAATTTGAGTGTTTTGAAGGCAACATCACTGTCAATGTCCATCTTGGTCATCTCCGAACTATCTCCAAGCGAAATACCGGAATCTTTGCGAATAGACGATGTTAAGGAGAAAGAGTCATCATTCGTGCCGTCGGTGTCATGTGTTGCGTCTAGAGAATATCGGCCTAGCCGCATTTCCGTATTATGTACCGGAGACCACCTGAAAGCATTCGGCTTAATCACCGGGACATCATTAGAAGCTTGTCGCGGGTGTACTATAATAGATGAAAATCTCGCCTCGTTATTAAAGATTGACACACAAAAGTCATTGTTAATATACTTGCCTGGAAAAGAAGATACGCTTTCTCGACGCCATGTTGGCAATGGTGGGGATAATGTTCTTGCTCTTTTGTTACGTAAAACCAATTCCATATAATGTCGCTCGGACACCGCATTTAATGCATCACGCAGTGATTGATCGTCATGCAGCATGGCGCCACCTTGCTGCGTGTTGCTCTTTTCGGTCGTGATGTAGTAATCGCTCATATTAATGTCCTAATAGGGCCATTAGGACGGCGTCTTTACATAATACGTTTTCCCTGCTTTTGGTATTACCTCTTTTGACGCTGCATTGCGCATCTTGTCAAAGAGATCATTAAACTTGAGCACCTCGTTTTGATAAATACAAAGATGTAAAGGAAATTGGATAGCATTTCCTTCCACTCGCACGCTACATACGAAAGGAAGAATAGAGTTAAAAAAGGATGTGTAGATGTGGAATGGTAGTGAAATGAACGTACCGGAAACGATAAATGGTCTTGTACATTATTATGAGTGGATCGCTAGATATATGGAGTATGTGTAGCTTGTATTAGGTATATTGGTATAGAGGTTGTTGAAAGAGTGGATGGGGTAGGGTGGATAAATATGGATAACGAGAGAAGAAAAGAAGGAAAGGAAAGGGCAAGTGAATGGTAAAGAGAGCAACCGAATTTATACAATGCGCTTTTAAAAGGGTTCTGCTCTCTGGTTTAATCATCAGTACATGAGAGCAATATCGGAAAGGTAAATCCACGAAGGGGTGGCAAACCCATCATTGACAGTGGTATCCTTTGCATTTGGCGCAGATACCTCGTACCTGCTCGTATCCACCCTTTTTTCTCCATGCTTGAGCTTCTCGATTTGATCATCTCCTCCTCTTTTTACCCTGATCCCGTACGCAATACCAAGCCATGTAATCCATGGATGGTGTTTGCTACTATATTCGAAGCATAATAGGAATGATACAAAATGGCAAAGATATTCTCAACAACAACGAACCAAAGGCAGCTGTGACCTCCCTTTACATGTGCTGATATGCCAACGTGGAATCTCCTCCTCTCGCACACCTTCGCTTGCTTATTCGGGCCACCATTGCTCCTTTAAAACCTTGTGATTGTTTCGTAAAGTGATTGTTTTGGCTTCTTGCCACATACATGCATTCAACGCGCACAAATCCATAGGCCTCGTAATCTTATTCCTCGCACTGCCTCCGTGATTGCTCATCCCTGTGTGATGATCAAATCCACCCATCTCACGTTCTCTTTCAACTTTACATTTTACGGATCATCAGCAACATAGGGCAGCCCCTATTGGGAGCAAAGCTGTGTTGTATGTATATGAGAGATGTCGTTTATAGTACTTGAAGAGGTAGAGATCTGCACTAAATCATGTAATACATATCACCTCCACCATGATAGACACGCACATCCATCCAATAGAAAGCTCTTATTCTCCTATGGCACTAACAAATTCTAATCCGTGCGTCATATTGGGATTTCCTCTCTCCTTCTAATCTCTTCCAAGTAGCAGCTCACCCTAACACACTTCTTCAAGAAAACATGATGCGTATGGAGAACCCAACCTCGTAACCATAAATAGAATGGCATCACACATACATACACATAATACACACGGTCCTTTATGCATTTACCACTATTGACATGCTCTCTATTAGCAATGATCTCCTTTAGTCAATCAAACTAGTATAATTTTGATAGCAGCGACGTCTGAGATAGAGCTCCTCACTTGACAATCTCCTTTCCTTGCCGATCGAAGGGGATGATGGATCCCATAACGAAAACTCACATTTATGCATTACAATGTATGATGGTATAGAGAGGTATGTGTGTGTAACATACATACATATGCAATAAGAATGTCACGCATAGCACGTCAAATCATCCACCCTTTCCTGCATCGTTACACCGATGCACTCTGACCTGGGTCTAATCACAATGCATTCATGTTTAGCCAATGGACATTTATAAATATTACTCGTAGCTGTTTTTCTCACACACTCTTTCACTCCTTCGTTGCAGGGAGTTTTACCACCAAAAAGTAATGCTCCTTGCTTGATTGATTCGTTTCAGTTCATTCGACCAGTTTTGTCCCCCACACACGTATCCATTAAAAATGACAAAGGACCCTGGATAGAAGGAGATGATTCGTAAAATGCAAGTGGATGTATGGTAGACGAGGGATTATAGGACGGTGGATAAAAAGGAGAAAGAAAAGAAAGGGGAAGTAGCTGGTTGGAAGATGAGAAGAGCGTATGCTCTCTATGCAACAATGTCAAGATCCCGTCGGTAAAAGAGGATGATGATGCATGGCTCATATGGCCCTGCATAAAAGAAATCACACACACACGCACTCGCACACGCACACACCCACGCCCATTTGTTCCATCATCATCCACGGAGCAATCTATACAAGACAACACTTTTTTTTTGGGAGAAAAAATGAAAATGCAACATGCTATCTGTAGGTGCTGAGTTTATTCTTCCGAGGGTCCAGTGGTAATCACATCATCGATCTTCAGGATCATCTTGACCAATTGTGTAGCCAAGAGGAATTGTTGACGCTTGGAGATGAGAGGATCGTGCACGTGTAGCTCCTTCATGTCTATAAAGTAATCATTTGTTAGACATCATGCTCCAACTTCTAAACACAATTTATGCCGAAAGAAAAGGGTGGGTGGGTGGGTGGGTGGGGGATGGGGATAAAATCACTTACCATTAGAGCTCTTGTGAAGACAATCAATACCCAATCTTGAGTTGTTGGTAGTTGCTTGTTGTGCCTTGACTTCAGCCAATGTTTCAATGGGCGACAAACCAGAGTTCTCTGCAAGAGCAAGAGGAGTGGCATCCAAAGCATCTGCAAATGCACGCATAGCATATTGTTCAATGGAAGAGATCTATATAAAAAAGCATGTCAGCAAATGGGATCACTAGAGAGAGAGAGCGAGAGAAATGGAGAAATACATACTTCATCGGCAACCTTGGCAACTGCCAAAGAGCAGCTGATTTCGGCAGCACCACCACCATATACAACACGGTTGTCACGAACCAAATTGCGAACAGC